CGGGTTGTGTCATTGAATACATCCGGGGCTTGGGTAGCTTCGCCCCGGGTATTAACTCAATACTGCAATCCGTAGGCCGGTGAGGGGGCAGGGTCTCACATTCCTCCTCACTAAAGACTCTGGCGAGATCCCTATACACATCAGGATACGTCGTGTCTACTGGTGGGCTCTCTGCTTCTATTCCCCCTGCTGGCTCCTTTTCCTCCTTGGTAGGGGGAGGTCCCAACGGTAATCGAAGTTTGCGAAAACCCCCTTCCCACCATATCGTAGGAGCCCACTTGTCCAACCATGCTAATCCTAAAATCACTGGTTCTAACATTTTCTCCACTATAATAAACCGAATAGTTTCGGTGTGCTCCCCAATATCGAGGTGCACCTTTTCTGTTATATGAGTCACTGGTGCCCCTCCCAGCAATGAACCATCCATTTGTTCAAAGGTAATAGGGGTTCTCAACCGCACAACCCGCAGCCCAAGCTCGTCAACTATCGCCCTACGAATTAAACAACGAGTACACCCTGAATCAATCAATGCCTCATATCGGCGTCCAGTGGTGGCCCGTGGGTTTCGGAGTACGACTGGTACCACAAAAGGTCGGATGGGGTCGCTCACCATCGGGTCATGTGGGTCCTCATCGTCATCATCACTATCCCCAGCCGCAATCGGGAACTTTTCCGCCACCACTTTCTTAGTATCTGTAGCCAGGGGATCCCTCTCCATACAGGATGTTCGAGTCATTTGGGACCGTTCGGATGTTGGTCGGCCTCTGCCTCTCAACACAGCTCTAGGAGGGGGGTTTTGGTCCAAGTTACGGGGCATGGGATGAGGACAGTCGGCTGCTCGATGACCAAGGCGATTACATCTGAAGCAACGAAACGCAGGCCGCTGGATCCTTTCCCCCAAGCCGGAGCCAGCATTCGGTCTAGTCTCCTTGGGTGTTTGTGTGCGTTCTGCTGGTCGTTTTCCTTGACTTGCAACCCCTTCACCCCGTATACGGAATTCTCGGAGACCGACGTCCAATTCGATGGCTGCCTTGTACCACACACTCAACTTGGGGGGCAAGCCCCGGTACACGCAGGCTTGCCGTAAATCACGGTCTAGTCCTTTATGGAATTGGTGCACCAGAAGACGTTCTGGCCACCCCACCAACCGAGCCGCAATCTTTCGGAACTCCTGTACATATTCCTTTGCTGGTACGCCCCGTTGCTTAAGCGCAAACAAATCCCCCTCTGCAACCTGGGCGCTTGTTTCGTCTTCAAATCTGGCACGAAGAGCCTCCAGAAATCGTCCCAGGTCCACGAGTTCCCTTGCATGTTTAGCATGGAGGCCTGCCACCCACTCAGCTGCTTCTCCCGTCAGGACCCCTGTAACAGCAACCACCATAGCCCACTGGGAGGGATACCACTGTCCATATTGGTCCATATGGCTTATCACCTGGCTTAAGAAAATAGCCACTCGTTCAGGGTTTCCGTCAAAGGAAGTCTGCAGGGCAGGTGGTCCCCAAACGGCCTGCGGGACCCACAGCCCCGGCGGGGCCCCCGGAGGCCAAGGCATGGGGCCTGGGGTCCTCGCTGCTCCAGTCGCTCTCCTGTCCTGCCTAGGTTGGTCCCTCGCCGCCCCACGACCCCCAACAGGTAAGCCCCCTGCCAATTGCGTTGGTTGGGGCTCAGGACCGGCTCCAAGGTCTCCCGATGAGGCACCTTGGTCTTGTTCTGGAGGGGGTTGGTCCATGGATCGTCTAGAGGTCCGCTCCATCCTCAATTTAGGACTTGTGAGCCGGAACTGGGTCTCCGAAGCGGTCACCCCTGTATCCTGCCAAGAAGAACCTGGAGGCTCCAGCCCTGCAACCCAGGGCTGCCAGGATGGGGCGTCACGAAATCCAGATTCCCCAAAACGCTCACGTAGCGTATCCATGGTGCTGGGACCGGATGAAGCAGGATACCCCCAATCCCCTTCATCCTCCTCAGTCCATCGTCTTTCCCTCCAGCCCTGGAAAGATGCTCCCAAGCGAGGGGGTGTTGGCATCCGTGGCCCGAGGAGAACAGAGCTGTGCCACCAATCCCCCGTCCGAGCCCGTTGTCCTGGAAAACTCTCCTCCTCCGGCCGGGGCGGGGCGCTCTTGGGTTGCTTGACTTTTGGTTTCACTGCCAACTGTTCCACACTCTCCTTCACCTCCTCTATCAGTGGTTCCTCCCCCTCCACATCTCCACCACACTCCTGCTCTTCCAAGGCCGTCCCTTCTGCCATATCCCCCTTTGCTGCAAAGCCACAGGGAATCCTCACCTCTTGCGAAAAGGAACCAAGCGCTGACTTTCTCTCGGCTTGTCGTTCGTTCAGAACTGCGATAGGAAATAATCACCAGTAACACACAGAGAATCAGGGTTTACTTTGGCAATGATAAGCTTGCAGTCAAAAGTAAAGTACAAGTCGGTGTTTTGGTTCAAAGTCAGCGCTGGGTGTAATCACACCACAGTGCTATTTAACAAAAACTCAGCCCCTTAAACATACATCCGGTGATTATCAATCAAGCACCCCCCACTCCCTTAACAGTAACAGCTGCGAGCAGCGAGGACAGCAGAATCGGAGAGGCCCAGCAACGTCATCAATCATTGCCCTGAATGCTGCTATCCAGGAACTGTTTGTGTGTTCTCTGCGGCTGCTTATCTCCACTCCTTCGTCTCCCACACACCCCATTGATGGCGAGCTCCGGCAGGACTCGACAGTAGTACAAATGAGCGATCACAAGTAGATAAATAGTTACCACTTTGGTGGGTACATTAACAGGGACATGAAAGGAGCCCCCAACCAGATGTTCCCAGGGCGATGGGGATGTCACCAGCTAAGCCTTTCAACCCAAAAGCATGATAGGTGCTTCCATCATGAGCACGAGTGAATCAGTGGTGAAATTCAAAATTTTTTACTACCGGTTATGTGGGCGTGGCTTGGTGGGTATGATGTGGCTTGGTGGGTGTGGCTTGGTGGGCGTGGCAGAGGAAGGATACTGCAAAATCCCCATTCCCACCTCATTCTGGGGCCAGCCAGAGATGGTATTTGCCGGTTCTCCGAACTACTCAAAATTTCCACTACCGGTTCTCCAGAACCTGTCAGAACCTGCTTGATTTCACCCCTGGAGTGAATGGTTTATAATCCAGAATTCTCTAAAGAGTTGCATAAAAGAGAAAAAAATTGTGCTGAAAAGTGAATGAACCAACTTTTTTTCCTTTTTGTTCCACCTGTTATTTATTCTTTGAAAATAATGATTCATCTGGCCTTTTCAAATCTGAATAGCCAAATCAACAGTTCTGAGCAATAATTGTGACAAAAATGAAATAAATTTATAGATCCCCATTCATCTCCTACACGTCTCCAGGCCCGCTTATTTCAAAGGATGGGACTTTGGAAGGGGAAATGAGCTCATTTAATCTACTATCTGGAATTAAAATGTTGTTCTGCATCTGGTAAGAGATTTGCACATGACTTTACTGATCTGACACACTATCTGAGCCCCTAAAACAGGGCTGTCTCATTGATTTCATTGAGGACTGCATCAGGGGTGTGTTTGACCTCAGGGGCCGGGGTGGATGTGGCCAGGAGGCATGACCATCTTGACATCACTCGTGTTGGGGGTGCCTGTGTTGGCCCAAGCACTCTGCCAGCGAAAATGGGCTCCTGAGATCTATTTTCACTGGCAGAGGCACCGTGGGCTGGTCCTTTGCTGTTTCCTGGGCAGCCCCATGGGCCAGATCTAAGCACCCCGCCTTGAGTTTGACACTCTTGAGTTGACCCCGCCTTGAGTTTGACACTCTTGAGTTGACCCCGCCTTTGAGTTTGACACCCCTGCCCTAAAATAGAATAACAGAGTTGGAAGGGACCTTGGAGGTCTTCTAGTCCAACCCCCAGCTTAGGCAGGAAACCCTACACCACTTCAGACAAATGGTTATCCAATGTTTTCTTAAAAACTTCCAGTGTTGGAACATTCACAACTTCTGGAGGCAAGTTGTTCCACTAATTAATTGTTCTAACTGTCAGGAAATTTCTCCTTAGTTCTAAGTTGCTTCTCTCCTTGATTAGTTTTCACCCATTGCTTCTTGTCCTGCCCTCAGGTGCTTTGGAGAATAGCTTGACTCCCTCTTCTTTGTGGCAGCCCCTGAGATATTGGAACACTGCTATCATGTCTCCCCTAGTCCTTCTTTTCATACCCAGTTCCTGAAACAGTTCTTCATATCTTTTAGCCTCCAGTCCCCTAATCATCTTAGTTCTCTGCACTCTTTCTAGAGTCTCCACATCTTTTTTACATTGTGGCGACCAAAAACTGGATGCAGTATTCCAAGTGTGGCCTTACCAAGGCATTATAAAGTGGTATTAACACTTCACATGATCTTGATTCTATCCCTCTGTTTATGCAGCCTAGAGCTGTGTTAGCTTTTTTGGCAGCTACTGCCCACTGCTGGCTAATATTTAAATGGTTGTCCACTAGGACTCCAAGATACCTCTGGAGGAGGGGAATATGTCTGTAGGAAGCTGCACCCCAAAGTCGAAACCACCTTTTTGAAAGTAGGAGGGAAAGCATTGGGCAGAGGGCAAAGGCACGGTAGATTGTTTGTAAAATTTGCAAGATCCAAAGACCAAACTGTAGGAATCAGGAGCGTCACTCTAAAGGGTGTGGTCAGAAATGATGGCTGCCCCAGTTGGATCGAATCTTTGCTAGATGCACATAATAAAGAGGTGGAGTTTTGATCGCTTTTGCCGCCACCATTTTGACAGGAAGGAAGGAAGGAAGGAAGGAAGGAAGGAAGGAAGGAAGGAAGGAAGGAAGGAAGGAAGGAAGGAAGGAAGGAAGGAAGGAAGGAAGGAAGGATTCTGGGAATTGACGTCTACATATCTTCAAGTTGCCAAAGTTGGAAAACATTGCCATAAACCATGTACAGTAAGGAAGCCACTTCTTCCTGTCAAATAAAGCCCAGGATGTGATAGTAGCTTGCACTCTTTTGAAGGCACTCACCTGTAGAGCGGAGTGGGGAAGTTAGTTTCTAAGGTGTTAAGAGGGACATATGGACGATTTAGTACCAAATCCCGGTACGACAGGTCACGGAAATCCATTGCAAGCCTGTGATGTTCCCTCCTGCAGCCCAGGCCAGCTTAAGAGAGTTTTCCTTTGGCTGGGGAGGGGAAGAGCAAGATGAGTCAGTCATTGTTTGACTTACACACCTCCTGGCAACCATCCCCTTAGCAACCAATGCAGCAACAGGGAGACAATGAACGATGGAGTGTGTTAGGTCCAAAGGAGCGGAAGGGGGAGTAAAAGAAGGTCCTGATCAGGAAAAATCCCCAATTTTTACAGAAGAGAAGAAGGGACAGTGTCCTTCCCCCCCTCCCTTTCTCCCTCCTGGCATTACTTGCAATTGGTTGGCTGTATTCATACATCTTTTGGGGTCTTGGAGTGATATTTTGAGAAATGGTGGAAACTGGGAAAGGAAGGGTAGAGAGCACAGGTACCAAGAAACATGGAATCATTCTAAGAGACTCTGCTCAATTAACCACCCATCAATATGGGACGGAAATTCCTCTTACATCGGTGTTTGTTTTTTTTTAACTTTGGCACTTTAAGACACAAGGAATTCATCTCCCAGAATTCCCCAGCCAGAAGGCTGGCTGGGCAATTCTGGAAGTTGGTCTACATATCTTAAAAAGGTTGCCAAGATTGAGAAACACTGGTCAAGGGGTTCAGATGGAGGGAGGATCCCTTTCCAATCCCATTCCCTGCCAATGAAACAAATGTTGCTCAAGATTAAATTATCAAATTAAATTAAAGACTCCAGCATCCCTCCACCAGTAATCAGCTCTCAGATCAGCATAGATTAACTCCAAGGTCAACTTCAGACCAAGAATCAAGTAAGCAACACCCCAATCAAAAAACTGCCAAAGAGCCATTAGTAAACAGCCCAACCAAAGAATCCCTAAGACCAGGGGTGAAATGCTACCGGTTCGCTCCGGTTTGGGCGAACTGGTAGCGGTGGCAGCACAAGGCTCCACCCATCTGCCCAGACGTCACTTCTCTGGTTTTAACCAGAAGGCTTTGCGCATGCGCAGAGGGTCCAAAATCAGACATGAAGATGGCACGGCGTGCGCACTTCCGAACCTGTAGGGAAGGTAAGTAGAGTTCACCCCTGCCTAAGACCGCTCCCATCCACACACAAACAGGCAAGACACTAGAATATAAACTGACAGCAAACAGCACTCTTTACTAGCACTGATGATGTTACCTAGTTAGGGTAACGAAATGTCTTCAAGAAAGCAAGCAAGCTCAGAGAGCACCAAGGACCCCTCATTAAATTATTTAAATTTATTGGCCATCTAATCCCAGTGGATTCTGAAGCTTTCCAACTTTTTAAAGAAGGGAATTCTTTAGCACGGGATTCAAGTCCACAAAACATCTAAAAAAAATTGCCCAAAAGCTTGAAGTTGCCTTACATTTTTCAAGATTTTGCATTTACCCCAAACATTAAAAGTACTTACTGCAATCTGTATTGTTCTTGCTTCTTTGATGTTGCTCAGATCCTTGGGGCTTGACAGATCTCTGAATCCAAGCATGCAGTTTATAAACCATGGCATCTAGCTTGCTGTGTTGTGTGAGTATAGATAATTGTGGCTTATGCAGTAAGCCACAGGTAAGCAATTAACAGCATATCCTCCCCTTGTGACTCCATTTGTTATTTTAGCAATACTGCAAATTTTGCAATTTTCCACAATTTAAAAACAATCCTTGTTTTTAAATTAACATACAATCCTATGTTCCTATCAAGAAAACTGCAGAGATTAGTTCCCAGGAACTCAAAGTTCCCAGGACTCAAAGGCATCAAAAACAAACCAAGAAAGATTTAAGCACTTTTGCTGCAGACAACCAAAATTGCTTGGTGAAAGAAGTTTGAGCATGAAGTAACACTGAGATGCATACTTGAAGTTAGTACACAGATCATCCTAAATTCTAATAAGAGTTTTAATTTTGGGATAGTTAAGTGGCAATGGATATACATCATTGGAAGATTGAAGCATTGGTTGGGGACACATGTTTCTGGAGGAAATCTATCTTATGTGGTGGCTGAAAACCAACAATTGATGATAATTAGCAATACATCTACAAGTTTTGCATAATACGTTATAAGCCTGGTCATAGCTGCATGCATGCTATGGTTTATGATTTATTGTAGGAGAAACCCAGATATTTTAAAGTTTGTTCAACAACTTATGGTTTAAGCATTTGTGGATGTTTTGATATCCAGCCTGGTTAACACATTGAGCTAAATGAGTTAACTATGATTAAACAACAATGCTAAAGTCAAATACAGCATGAAAAACCAGCAGCAAACAGATGATATTATGGTATGAATGCAACGTGTGAAATCAGTGTCTCAGGCTAGCCAAAGATTCAATGACAGATTGCTTGCTTCTATTAATGGAAGCTGGAAATGGTTCCTATAGCAACTAAAAGCGATCTGCTGTACCTTTAACATTTTGAGATGATTACAACAGATGAAGAATTTTTCATTTTCCACATTAAGTTTAATAGAATCATCTGTAATTATTATTCCATCAATTATTTTCAACCGTGTTTTTGTCAATTTTAAATTATTTTTTAAAACTATAATTTGCTAAATCTCAATGGCTGAATACTCACAATACAGTAAGCCTTAAACTATGGATTGTAAGCTACTGTTCAAAGGCACAGATATTGTATGAGGATATATTGTATGAGTTTGGCTTGGGCTTAAACATGTTTTGTGTGAACAGAGGCACCATAACTAAAGATCAGAAAGCCTGGCCTAAATCTAAAACTGTACAGTATCTTTAAAAAAAGGAAATTCTTTGGGATTATGCTCCTCGGCACCAAGGACAGAATAAAAGAATGTTACTATTTTGTTGGAAGGTCCTTAGAGGCCTTCTAGTCCAACCCTGTTCAAGCAGGAAACCCTACACAATTCCAGACAAATGGTTGTTAGATCTCTTCTTAGAAACCTTCCGTGATGGAGCACCCACAACTTCTAGAGTCAAGTCCTTCCACTGATTAATTGCTCTTACTATCAGGAAATTTCTCCTTAGTTCTAGGTTGGGTCTCTACTTGATTAGTTTCCATCCTTTGCTTCTTGTCCTGCCTTCAGGTGCTTTGGAGAATAGGTTGATCCTTTCTTCTTTGTGGCAGCCCCTGAGATATTGGAAGACTGCTATCATGTCACCCCTAGTCCTTCTCTTCATTAAACTAGACATACCCAATTCCTGAAACTGTTCTGCATGTGTTTTAGTCTCCAGTTCCCTAATAAGAAATGGGGTGGGGGGGTATTCGATTCATTAATCAGCTTAAGGCTAAACCCTAGAAATGTCCCAGCAGTTGTGAATCATATCACTCAGCGAGAAATCTAAACAGTGAAGTGAAATTGAAAATGAAATTGTAATACAGGCAGCCCTTGACTTACCTTTCATTTAGTGACCATTCGAAGTTACAATAGCACCGAAAAAAGTGACTGATGATGGGTCCCTGCAGCTACAACCATCGCAGCATCCCCACAGTCACATGATCAAAATTCAGGTACTTGACAATTGGCATATATATTTATGATGGTTACAGTATCCTGGGGGTTATGTGATTGCCATTTGTGATCTTCCCAAGGGGCAAGGTTGAGAAACACTACACTAGTTGAACACTACCCATCATGATAAAGGCAGAAAAGTGACTCTTCTCTAAGTAACGACAAGCATGCAAATCTCAGGATATGAATGGAATGAAATACCAGCCTTCTTCTTTCTACCTTGTTTCTTTTTATTGTATAGCAACTCTTCCATTTACAAGTGTCTATTGTCATCGTCCAGGTAGGTCATGGTTGTCCCAAAAGTGCTTTTTCAAAATTTTCAGCATTTGTCATGGTTCCTTCCTACTGGAAGAGACTCCTGTATCAGTTGCCCTTGGATTTTAGCATGCCTGATTTTTGGTATCATCTGCCAGATATCAGGGTTCCAACAAAACCCTCAACAAAGGAAGACTCTGAGGCTTGAGTTTCCTCAAAGTTCCATTTTATTAGCACATCATATTTATTAGCATGTCATATTAGCACATCCGGAAAAACCTGAAAGTTGCCAGGTTTTCCCCACCCAAAAGGAAGTTCATGTCCCTGCCCAGCACCCACATGTCCATCACATGATCTAATCAGGCACCATCCAACACTGGAGATGCCTCCCAGTCACCTCATCACAGCTGCAGGGCAAGGTGGCCTTGACTTTCTGAGAAAAGAATGTTATTTTGACTATATATCACCCATACTCTATGCAATCCCCCCTCCCATTTTCCCACAGTAGAAAATGTGGCAAGCCTGAAGGCCCAAATGTAAAAGATGGCTTCCAGGTCTGATAACAGATCAATTCTGGAGAATTTAAAAACTTCCCCACTTTTATGCCATTTTGCTTATTATTAATATAAATGTACGACCCAATGAAGGACAGTGCATTTTAAAATGTAACCCGGTTTTGAAAAATACCAGACACTTGACAAAGTAAATTGTTCCATTCATAAGTCTTTAATGCCAGATACATTAACTTTACATATGAAGCTATACGCTTTTTTTTTTTTGTACCATACCCCACACATCCTATGGCCCCTTATGTGACGCACTGCATACATAAGAATGCCAGACATTCATACAAAACAGAAAACAGAAACACCCCATTCCAAAAAGAATTTTCAGATACTTCTGGCCAAAAAATAATACATAGAGAAATACAAATTGTGGAACTTGTATTTTTTTTAATCCTCTTGCGTGGATTTTTGTTTTTCTTACACATGACTAGTCAACATGCATCAGTATAATCAACTCTTGCAACCCATATGAGAACTGAGACAACACACACACACACACAAAATACTTATTTGGAGGCAGCTAAACCCACCACAAACTCCCCATTTGCAGCATCTGCTCCAGATGGAAAGCAAGAGTTGGGAGATTCAAATCATTCTCTTCTCTAGGAACATGATTTCAAGATGGCACGTTGTGAATGGAAGTAAACAAGAGGGACCCTCCTTCAGATGCTGGCAGTCCATGGGCATTTTTTTTTCGGAAAAAAAAAAAACTGCTGGGTTTGTCATGTTAGATACTACACAGAGGCAAAGCCGGTTGTTCAAACACCAAAACAAAAGGGGTGCCACCGTATAGAGCAGGTGGGCATCAAAAAGGTGGCAGGGACTCGGATGGAACCGAAAGAATCTTTCCAAGATTCGCATTCTTAGCCACCCAGGAGAACGCTCTGCCTTCTGTGTGGAAACAGGAGAGCTCTATTCAGTACTTCCTTTCAAGAATACTCCAGTTGGTTATGTGATATTTGTACATAGCACTTCTTGCATAGTCTAAGAAGCAGAACATTTTGCCTCAACTCCAGTATTTCCCCCAGTCTGGTGCTATGTGACTACAATCAGTGTAATCCTAAACCCTCTTGGTCAAAAGGGCTCAAGGATGATAGCAACTGGAGTTCCCACATCAACAGAACACAAAGCTGGAGGAAGACCAGAACATACACACGATGCATGAAGGGCCACAGGTTGATTCCTACATGCTCACAAAGAGAACTGGACTTCTGCAAATATTCTATTAAGTGCAAAGACACCTCAAACAAGCAACAGTTTGTACAGCTGGGGTAGTTCTTCACAAAGAGGAGTAAGGGCTGCTAAAATACAAAATACACTGATTTTAAAAGCAACACGTAGAACTCAAGTGCTGTAGTCTTCATATCTCAGACCTTCATGGCATTTCTGACTGGGCTTCAAATAAACAACATCATTCTGTCCTACTCAACCAAATTTAAAAATTAAAATTAAAAATTCACTTTGGACTGAATTACAGGACTTCATATAACCAAAATCGTTCCATTTATTTACTTCTTCCTAACACTAAACATAAATCCATCAAACCTATGGCTCCTTCAGGGTGAATCATGACTTATTAGATATAAACTCTTGATTCCCTCCTTGCATTCTCAATTTGGTCTCTTATTTTTCATTCTGGACGAGCCATAAGTTATCCGATTTTTAATATTGGGAGACAAAGAAGGGAGTGCATCGGTCTAACATTCAATCCTAAGAGCCGAAATTACAAATTGTCTTTTTTAAGTACAGGATGAACTCAACTTGTATGTTTTTCTCCTTTTGAAAAGTAACGTTTTTTCCCCCCCAACACACCAAAACAGAAGCTGCCGAGCCTCAGCTTTCAAATCTCTGGAATCTCTTTACATTTGCTCCCAAGTCAAGCTTAAAAGCCAACACTTCTGTTCTCTCGGCTCTCGCCGGGCAACTTGTGCTTATTTGCTCATTGGAAACTCTTCAAAATCAACTCTTCATTCTGAGCCTATGAAATGTTCAACATAAAAACATTGCTGTGCTTTTTGGGGACAAGTCGCTTTATTTTGGTGTACCTAAGGAAGGGATGAGTAATTTTTTTTTTCAGCCAACGACTGTTCTTTCTTCTAAAAGAGATGTTTGGTCCAGGGACTGTGGGGTTATGGCTGGTGAAATGCCATCGCTAAGAAGGTGAACTCAACACGTTTAGCCCCTTTTTTCTGTCCGGGAAAGGGGAGGAGGAGTTGAGGCATTGGATGGCTCTTATAAGCCTTGTTTTCCCATCAGCAGAAGGGGAAAAGCAGCCCTTTAGGACACGGGTCTCCAACCTTGGCAACTTTACGACTTGTGGACGTCAACTCCCATGCGCTGGCTGAGGAATTCTGGGAGTTGAAGTCCACATGTTGTAAAGTTGCCAAGGTTGGAGACCCCAGCTTTAGAAAACAAGATGGCAAAATTTCCCCCACCTCCATTTTGTTCCTTAAGTATATTCAACGATTGTTCCTCCAACTGTTTAAAAAAAAAAAAAAGCACAAATAATGGGCTAAAAATTTGGCTTTGCCCACTGCAGAGGTGTTCTGAGGGCAATAAAAAAGGATGCAGGGGGCCGTATGTGGCCTGCAAAAATACTGCCTTCCCTAAGTTGAATACACCCAAAGAATAACACTCATCCCTGCTGTCTGAGCAGCCAGTTTGGCCTCCTGTTTTTCAGGCCCTATCCCAGCCGTGCTGAGACTGACAACTTGTTTGCGCTCAGCACAACTAGAGGACAGAAGGATTAAGGCTTAAATAAAAGTACTCTTCTCTTCCCCTTTTCAGTACCGCTCCCACAAACCAAGCCACCATGCACTCAGGGGTCCATCCAAATGCCACTGAATGGACATCGCCAAACTCTGTACGCCTTGGAAAATAAATTCTGCAAACTTGTCTTTCCTCTTTTGCCACTTACCACATTGGCGAGACTTCCATCAGAGCTGTCTTACTTTCTACAGATACACAAAATTTGTTTTCTTTTATTCATCTTCATGGCCAGGACCTAAAATGACCCCTGCTCCTTTTCCTTTTTTTTTTAAATTCATCCAACAGGCAGGCACACTTGGGCACTTGCTCTCTTTTTCTCTCACTCACATACACTACACACAGACACACACTTCAAGATCCTCCTCTCTCTGAAGCCCTTCTCCCACTTGTCCCCTGTCCTGGAGGACAAGAAAATATTTCTTCTTCTTTTTTTTGCCAGCTTCCCTTCCCTTCCCACCCATCCCTCCCCCCTAAATAATGCTCAATAGCATTCATACTCAGGTATTTAATAAGTATCTCTGAGTCCCCTCTAAACAGATTGACACCTTGCCCCCCGGTTCCCACCCACCCCCTCTCCCCAAATCCAGGCTTCTGGCTCCATGCACGCCGGTTAGTGGTCTTGACCCCAAAATATAGTCCGTGGGTTGATTTTACCGTATCCTGGTGAAGAGGTTAAGAACTGAAACAGACTCCTAGGATTGAAGAGAAAGAGAAGGAACCATTAGCATTGCATTACTTAGAAGTGTTTTAACAGAAGATCTCCAAATGGGATGTAATATCACCTAGAAATGTAAACATATTCTAACACTGAGAAAAGCAGTAAAATAAAATGAAATAAAGAATATGGGATATCACAACCATCCTGCAGTCATTAGTCATTTGTGACCTTCCTTACCAGCTTCCCACAAGCAAAGTCAAAGCGGAAGCTGGCAGGAAGTCGCAGTCACGTGAGGTCCTTGCTTAATGACTTGCACAGTTCCCCCTTAATTATGGCAACCAGAACTGTTGAAACTGCTACCGTTCAGCAGCACACTTCATGCGGTTTTTCAACTTACGACCACCTCGCTTAATGACAAGTCTCTAGTCCCAATTAGCAACATCAAGCAAGGGCTACCTGTATTCCCATCAGCTGATTCATGCAGGCACAAAGAGCTGTAACACAACAACAATCTCTCTTCTAATCCAGAACAATCCAGCACTGAATTTCTAACATTGGTGTCTGGAAGTCTCCAAGAAGCCAGACAGCAAACGATGGGAAAATCAGCCCTTGTCTACTACCAGTCCCAAATTTTAGTATCCAGAGGTATCCTGAATTTGAACCTGAAGCCTCTACCTAGCCATCAGGACTAATAGTAATAGTATCCTCTTTCTCAGGGTATCTGACTGTGCCATTAGATCTGAAAGGATGGGCATGCTCCAGGTCCCTTCCCTAAATGTTGCCATAGAGTGGGAGATAGGCAGCATGCCTTCTCAGTGGTGGTCCCCTGCCCTTTGGAATATCCTTCCAGGGCTCTATTCCCATAGCCTTCTGAATGGCCTTGAAGGGCTGGCTTTTCCCACAAGCATTGGGTCAGTCCTAGAAGAGATCAACCCTGACTGCTCTTTAGAAGTCCAAATCCTGAAGATGAAACTCAAATACTTTGGCCACCAAATGAGAAGGACGGACTCACTGGAGAAGAGCCGAATGCTGGGAAAGATTGAGGGCAAAAGAAGAAGGGGAGGACAGAGAATGAGGTGGCTGGATGGAGTCACTGAAGCAGTCGGCGTGAGCTTAAATGGACTCCAGAAGATGGTAGAGGACAGGAAGGCCTGGAGGAACATTGTCCACGGGGTTGCGATGGGTCAGACACGACTTCGCAACTAACAACAACAACAAAGGCTTGAGCCTAATAAAGTTCTTTATGGATGTGTGGGAATGTTTCAGGGCACTGGTAATTTCTGTGTAGGATTTTATGTTTTTTTTTAAAAAAATCATTGTTTTTACTGTCACTTGTGAGCCACCCGAGGTTATGCTGCATAAGATGGGCAGTTACATAACCTTTAAAACAAATGAACAAGTTACTGACTGCTCAGCTCTGCCTTTCATGTCTTAACTCCACAGAGGCTGCCAGTTAAAATCAAAACAGAAAAATAGCTGTACTGGGTCATAGGGGACATCTCACTCTATGGTTCCCACCTGCCCTTGAGAACTAGCTATACGCCTATGAGAAGTCTCTAGCACCCTTCTGACAGAGGCATCAGACATTAAGGAGGAAATTCTCCAGTACAATCCACTCACTGTTCTTCTTGGAAGAGAAGCATGATTTCTTCACAGTCTACTTTTCAAAATGTGTGAGTTCTTCTAAGACAGCCTTCAATTATGTGCAGAATACAACAGTGAGGATGAGTCACTTATTCGAACTTCTGAACTGACACTACATTGGAATGGAATTCATAAATCCCCAGAGATACATATCTAGCCACTTACATGGCAGAAGATAGAAGATTTTTTAAAGACAGACAGCAACTCAGTTTGAGGCTGAAGGCTCAGGTTGAGGCTTTGTCTTCATTCATTAAGATGGCACATTGCTTGTAAGCCTCATCTCATTATCTACCACTGGAACTCAGCATTAGCTTCCAAGATGATTGCTCAAGTACATGAAAAAGATTTTACCTTGGTAGAGCGAGTTTTGCTGAAAACATTCCAAAACCTCAGTGTCTCATCCCCGGCTCCTGTCACAATGGCTTCTCCATCTGGTGACATTGCCTATAAAAAGAGAGTTGAGGAAAATGATTGTTACTGTTTATTCCATTTATATGGCAACCCATCTCATTTATGTGACTTCAGGCAGCTCACAACAATAATTCAATAAAAACAGGTTAAAAACAATAGATGCACATATAAAAAGTATCCATAATCAATTAAAAAAAACCCCAGAAAATCATGATCAGCAGCAGAATTCATCCTACATCAGTTCAATGCTGTCACTGTAAGAGCTCAGCACCATTACTGACCCATAGGCATGGTGGCAGTGCCATGTTTTCAGGGCCTTCCTAAAAGGCAGAAAGATGAGGGCCAATCTAAGTCAGAGGGGATGATCTTCCATGGGGTGGCTGCCATGGAAATAAAGGCTCTCTTTCTGGGTCTCACCAGATGAAATTCTTTTGCAGACGGGACCCGTAACATGCCTCTCATGATGGAATGGGTAGATGTAACTGGAGAGAGGTGTTCAAATAACCTGGTCCTATGCTATATAGGACTTTGTATGTCACAACAAGCACTCTGAACTGAACTCAGAAGCACATGGGGAACCAGTGCAGCTGAACCAATGGAGCAGAGTATAATGATGTGCTGATTGAGGTGCACCTAATTGCACATGCTGCTACGTTCTGTACCAGTTTCTGGATGTTCTTCAAGGGCAGCCCCATGTAGAGCACATGATAGTAATCCAGTCGAGAGATGACCAGGGCATGAGTAACTGTGAGCAGAGCCTCCTGGTCCAGGAATGGGCACAACTGGCAAATAACAAGGAGTTGGCCACAGCTATCACCTGCTCTTCAAGCAGGACCATGAGTCCAGGAGAAGCCTCAGATTGCACAGTAGGTCTGTTTGGAGCAGGGTCAACCCCATCCAGACCCAAAGGTCGTAGGTTCTTGGAACCAGCGGACCCCAAAATCCAGTGCCGTTCAGTCTTGCTAGTGGAGCCAAAGCCTATTGTTCCCATTCAGACTTATTGTTCCAGATTTCAGAGAACAGAAAAGGACTCCAACAACATCACTTAATTTGCCAAGGGTGGAGAGATATCTGGGTATCTCCACTGGGAATCATAAACACAGTGATGATATCTCCAGTAGATGACCTCATGCAGCAGTTTTGTGTAGATATTAAATGAGAGTGGGGAGAATATCAAATCCTTCAGAACTTCACAAAGCAGGGACTGAGGAGGTGGGGGGGATCACATGCTCCTTATCAACATAGACTGGAACTGATCCCAGAGAAAGGAGAAGAACCAACACAAGACAGTGTGGTCCTCCAGGGGTACCAGCACAAGACACTGTCAACATCAACTTCTGGAACCAGAGCAGAAGATATCATGGTTGATGATACTGAAGGCAATCAAAAGGTCAGGAAGAGCAAGGATGTCTGCACTACCCCCATACTCACCAAGTAAAGGACTCTGTAGGAATGCCCAGTTAGCTTTGCAACCTGAGTCAAGGACGGGTATTTCCAAACTAGGATCTGGTTCTGTGAGTATCCATGGGTGCTCACCTACAGAAAGAACACAATCTTCAGGTCTTAGCTACAAACAAAAAACAAGCACAAAGGCCGAGGAAGGGATCCCAATTATAATCGGACTTTTGAGGGTGTTGATGGTAGCCTCTAAATAGGTTTTCCATAGAAATCCTTTTCAGTTAAGGTGGTTAAGAAGTATGAATTGACTCGTTGTTCTTCGGTTGCCAAGTCATGCTCGACTCTCTGTGACCATATGGACCCCCCGTCCTTCACTGTCTCCCCAAACCCATGTTCAACATGCCAATGACCCTATCTAACTATCTCCATTCTATGCTATCTCCTCCTCCTTTTGCCTTCAATTGTTTCAGGCCAAGGAATTATTTGGTCTGTTTCATGATGGGAAAGAGATCAAGAGATAGAAAACATTCCTCATAAGCTGCTGAAGGAAAAGTTTATACAAGTGGGAACTTTGAAGACCCAAAATAAAAGCAAAAAACGATGTTTTCATTCAGTTCCTTTTTTAGTTCAGATTCCCTCTAACTATGTCACTTCTCCCATAAACTGAGGCATTATTCACAATAGCCCTGCAAGGTAGCTTGGAATGAGAGGACAGTGTTCAAATTATTAAGGGACATAGCAGAACATAGGCAGGCTTTTATTAAAATACGTACACTCTGCCCTAAGCCCACTAACAGCAGCTAAGGGCCCCTGACTGCTTTTGAAGAGAGGAACAGCCCTACTCTAGCAGAATGATTGCTATTCTAGCATCCAGTATCTTCTGCACTGGTGACAGCTAAAGAAAAACATGGAATACGTTATTTGGCCAAGTGTGATTAGACACACAAGGAATTTGTCTTCAATGTAGAAGCTCTTAGTGTATGTGCAAAGCAACAGAATCATCATCATCACCCCAATAAAAGGGGGTAGTAAAGAAGATAATAATAAGGATATAGTGATACTACATTCATACTACATGGTTAAATATTCATACCGTGTTTCCCCCCCAATTTTTGCTCCAAAAGACGCATTAGGGCTTATTTTCTGGTTAGATCAAGAGGGTCAAACTGGCGGCCTACGGGCTAGATGGGTCACGCGCAGGCCACACCCACCCCAGCTCCACAAAAAAACATCGTGATACTTCATGTGACGCCAATGTGACATGGCAAGTTTGACACCCATGGGCTATATCTTATTTTCAGAGAAATACGGTACGAAGTACGGTACTAAATGGGTATATGTTGTTTTAATATGGCTGTACACCGCCCTGAGTCCTTCAGGAGAAGGGCGGTATAAAAATTTAGTAAATAAATAAATAAATAAATAAATAAATAAATAAATAAATAAATAAATAAATTCGTCCATCTTGCTGACAATCTTAACTGGGGCTTATTTTTGGGGTAGGGCTTATATTATGAGCATCCTGAAAAATCATGCTAGGTCTTATTTTCAAGTTGGATCTTATTTTTGGGGAAACACAGTAGACATAAAGCCCACCTGAAGGGAATTATTTCTCAAAGCTTCCAAGTTCAACATGATGTTCCCTGTGTCACATTGAATTCTGTTAAAATAAAACCAGTAGCCAAACTGGGAATCCTTCTCCTATGCCTCAACCAAGGAAGGGATGCCACTTTGCCATTCCCATACCATCCCGTGGTCCTTACCAGTTCGTTGGCATGCTTGGACCAAGCCAGGTTGCACACTTGTGACCCTGTGTCAATGCACTGCAAAGGCTGTCCAGTTAAGGTATTCCAGAAACGTATACAGCGGTCAGCAGTCCCACCTCCTGAAGCGAGGAGCCCATGCTGATGAGGGGACCAAGCAATAGCTTTGACTGCCGCGAGGTGCTCTGTATACTGCTGGACGGGGCTGAGGCTGGAATGGTTCCAGACAAGGAGCTGGAAAGGAAGGAAAGAAGTTCATGAGTATCGTGCTTTCAGAGCACAGGGACTCTGCTAACACTTGAGGCAGAGGCTCAAAGGAGTTACCACTTGTATTCTTGCCTCCAAGACTATGTTTTGCACAATGGGAGGGAGGAGGAATAGCAACTGGAAAAAAGAACTTTCTTTCATTGCCCAGTTTTGATTATAGCAGTCCACTGAGTTCTAGACTGTATTTTTAAATGGAAAAATCAATACCATCAATAATCAAACAGATTTAACTGGTTTGTGGATTGAACTGTTCTACTCGCTATTAGAATACAGTGACATATTTGGAATTAGGCCTCAGGCTTAAGAGAAATTTGCTATTTCTATAGACTTTGTTTTGAATTTGAACATTTCTATTCTTGCCTTTCCACGTTTTTTACATTTTCCATAGCTGTTTATTTTTATTTTTTAAAAATTAAACCATGTACAGGTAGTCCTCGTCTTATGATTGTAATTGAGCCTGGAATTATGGGCGTGACAGTCGTTAATTGCCTCTTGATTGTGTCACCTCTTCACTCTGCCTGATTTTACAAGCTTTTTTACAGCAGTCGTTAAGAAAACCCATTTTCACCAATGGGAGGTTTTTGTCAGAAGCTGGCAAAAATAAGCTGAAAATCATGGACATGTGATCATGGGGCACTACAAACAGTTGTAAGTATGAGCCGCTTGCAAAGCACCCAAAATGCCATCATGTAAGTGGTGTGTGTCCATCAGAACCTTAAAAATGGGTTGTAAATGGCTCTGGGAAGGTCCCTCAGAACTTCAAACGGCAGCTAAGCTTAAGTGTATGTTATATTGCATCCCTCAAAAGGGTCATCAAAGCAATATCCAATAATAAAGATAAACTAGAAATAAACATTAAAAACTGCACATTATTTTCAGAAAGGAATGGGAAAAGATAAAATTAGAATCAATGCCAACCTATATAGAAAAGCACACCTTTATCAAGTTAAAATGGAACCAGATGGATCTTCCTACTAATGTACCAGCCAGTGAGAGGCTGAGGGCTAAAATGTCTCCCCAGTCTCAGTAAGAGAACAGATGAAATTTAAAATCTTATGTGGTGTTTTAGGGAATTGTGTTAGATCTGGAATAATGTCAGGTTTCCAAATGATGAAACCCATTCAAAAAGAAATAGGCAAAGTCTATCTTCCAAAACAAATTTCTTTTATTTACGTAGGCATCAAATTGGCAAAGTCTGTTGTAATTCCGGATCTGACACAAACCGGAATTACACCACATAATATTGTAAGTTAGAAACATCCCTCAAAAGTCACATTCTCCAATAAACACTCAATCCCCTTTTCCCGGTGTCTTCAAACTCCATCTTCCATTCTCACCAGGAGCAACCTCTGTTCCCACGGGAAAGAAAGTCACCTAGCCAAAACAATCCTCACTATCTATTCACTCCTTCCCCCCACCTTAAGAATGTGGAGAGCCCAAAAACCCACCTTACATAGTAAAGAGAAAGAAAAGAAATAAATGAGTATAATAGAGAGCTAGATAAAATGGCTAGACATATGTCAAATTCGGGCTCGACAATCTCTTTGTCATCTCAGATACCGTATTATGAACATACTGTTCAGGCCTATTTAAATTCAAAATAAAAAACAGTTGACATATTCTGTGTCAAGGTCAACTTCTCTCGTGTGCTTCTAGCATTTTCTTAATTCAAGGTCCATCATCTGCTCTGTTACAGAGTATCACAGAACTGCAGCAATCACAGATTGTGTAACCTCGGCCACCCTGGATCAGCAGAGGTTAAGACCAAGCTGGTCACCTCACCTTGTTGTCATTCCCACCAGATGCTAGGAGCTGGTGATCTGTGGACCATTTCAGCCCACACACTTCCTGCCTATGGCCTTGAAGGCGCCGTTCGGACTGCAAGGGAGGCGTCCGGATGTCTCTCTGGAGGATCATCCGGTCCCGACTGCCAGAAGATAGCTGGTCTGCATTCCATGCCAGAGCACCTAGAACAGAGGAGTGTTGTGAAAACCACGAAAAACGGTGTAGTTGGGAAAAAATCCTTTATGAAAAGAAATTCTGTGTATCACTTCTAGAGCACTCCTGCCCCTGTTGGGGGAGCGCCTGTGAAATGTCATGCTCAGAGCCATTCTAATCACTGAAAAAACCAGCCAGTTGCCAGAGGAAAATAATGTCAGAAATGGTTGGAATTAATACTATTTTTAAGATAAGAACTACGTTTGGGTTTTCTAAAGCAATTCTCTTCCAGTGCAACATCCAGCATAGGATGCCAGATTTCATAATTTCATCTTTAATAATGAAAGAAAGCTAAAAAACAGAACTGCCCTGAAATGATGAAGGAATTACAGTCTTGAAAGAAAACTGAATATCCCTGTAGTTTAAAGCTAAGAAGTGATTAAATTTTGTATATGTCACCTCTTCTGAAGCATCTTCCAATAACTAGTGCTTTCTAGATAACTAGTTATCTAGAAAGCTATTGCTCACCTATTCCAATACTTGTTTTGATTAGCAACAGCAACTCTACAGGTCTCAGGAAGGTTTTTTTCCCCCAATTGCTGCATGAGGAGCCCTTTTCCATTTAGTTACTAGGTGTGTTTCTAGCCACTGGATTAGATACAACATTAGGTAATTGCTCATAGAGAATAAAACCAGATCGCTATGCAGTACGATATATTATTTCTCTTTTGTAAAAAGGAATTATGGCTAACCAAAATAACACAAAATTATAAACAATCTTCTGCATGCTCAACATCCAGATTAAAAATTATCTAAGTCCTTGAAATTTTAACATTTCTCCTAAAAAGTAAAGAGCATCTACCCTGTTTATCAAATTAAAAAGCATCTTAACAATAAAAACAGCCACAGTCAAAGCATGAGTCTCTCCACAGAAAGCAGCTAAATATAAAGGACTTTCAAATCCTAACCTCTTTGGAACAAAACCATTTTCATTTAGCATTTGAAAATTAAGGGAGAACACATGGCAAATACATCCAAAAACTTGCAGCAACCAGCGATGTCCCTTGTCAGTTACAATATTCTAGCTTTTCAACAGAAAATGAAGTAGGGTTATCAAAGAGGATCTCAGCACATGGATAGGTTCACAGACAGGTAGAAGATGGTTTGTGAAGCATTCAAGTCACTGGTGGGTTGCCCCCCGTTCGGACCGGTTCGCAAGGAACCAGTAGTAAAACCGGTGGGAGACCCCACCCACCACCCCGGATGTCGCCATCAGCGATCTGCACATGCGCAGTAGCAAGGCGCGTGTGAGAGCGAAGCGAGTGCGTGCGCACGATCCTGTTGCGAACCGGTAGTAAAGGTAAGTAGAACCCACCCCTGATTCAAGTCCCAGATAATTTAACCTAGGATTATGGAAGAATGGGGCTATATCATCCACTGGAATGTTCTCACATTAACCAAGAGTTGTCTACAATGCTAAGTATAACGCGAATTCATTACTGAGCAAGGAAAAATTAACATTCAAGAAGGGATGGGATGTCCCTATAGGCAACATCAGTCAGCTTTCCTTACCCACTCTGGCCGTGTGACCTTCCAACATTGAGAGTTTCTTCCCTGCTGCAGCATCCCAGATCTGTACAAAACCTTTGTGGGTCCCAACTGCCACCAAATTGCCCTAAGCAGGAAAAAAAAAGACATCAAACATACGGCTGCAGGAACTATCACTCTCCAGGGAAAACCCTGCTCCAAATACGGTCCCAGTTTTAGAGCAATGTTGAAGAATGTATTCTTTCTCTCTCTCGTTAGCAACTGAACACCTAAACATCTGCTGTTATTTATTTCGCAGGCATATGTATGCAGATTCACTCGCACAACATTTCTGCAGGACGCTGAATTGCACTTTTTATGGTAAAGGGGCTTTGTTTGGTTTTGCAAAATAAAGTTGTGTAGGATAACATGTGGTTGTGCAAACATGTAATATGTATAAGTAGATGAAAGTCATGATTTTGTATCAGTATAGGCAATTACTGGATCACCTGATCTGGAATTGCCCAGTATGCTCTATGGTAGGGGCATCTCTGCAAAATTTCTCCATCAATTAACATCCTTTAACAGGCTATTTCAGAGATATAATCAAGAATCTTCTGTTTACAAAGCACTGCTGAGCTACGGCTGGTGGCAACATAGTATAAAGGTTTAAACAGTAGCGCACCTGTCTTGGTTTTTAGCCCTTTAGCCCTTTTATACAGTTTCAGTTTAAGGAATTTTAATTCTAAAGCTTTCACTGCATTATCCATTTTTCTGGTCTCCTCCTCTTTATTTTATCCCACCTTTTTTATATATAACTAACTCAAGTTGGTGAACACATTTAATACTTGTGCCTCCTCCTATTTTTCTTACAACAACCCTTTGAGGTGGATTGACTGAGAGAAAGTGACTGACCCAAAGTCACCCGGCCAGCTTTCAGGCCCAATGGAGGCCTAGAACCCACACTCTGATTTCTAGGCCAGCACCTTAGCCACTATAGCAAACTGGCTCTCAATCTTTGTCTCAGACCTGCAGTGACCACATACTGACCCGTTCTGACCATCCTACAGAGGTAACAGAATCGCCTTCCACAGATAGATCACACAGCCGCGTCACCTTGAGGGGGAAAAAGTCAAGAATCAGAAATCTCTGTAAAGGCAATGGGGGAAAAAGGGAATTCATAAACTTGGGTTTCAGAAACCTCTCTCGTACTTTTGGCTTCAGAAATCCAAGCAGTAGGAAAATCCTGTCCTCAACAAAAATTTCAAGCCAGGGATTTTCAAACTCGCAGCATCTGAAAGATACTGTTTTTCAAATTTAAATGTGGTGCATGTTCAGAGCAGGCTACCAGAGCAGAAAACCACAAACTTAGTCAAAAGAGACACTTCTTCAAGGGGCGCCAAAGGTGCTTTTTCAGGAGGAAACTAGATAAAAAAGCACCTTTGGGACAACCATGACCTGGATGACTGAGAATCTCTACAGACTTTTAGCTATACAATTTGGATTGAACACCCTTTGAATGGTGTGGGAGTAAGAATGGATTTCCAGAGAAAAAAAATTGCAGACTACAAGAACCAGGAGCACTACTCAGGTGACCTTGAGGACACAGATAAACCTCTAAGTGCTTCAACAACCCACTAAAAGGATGCAGATTACCAGCTGTCTGCAAGGAATATAAATCCTTCCATTCCTCACCATCCTGTCAGAGCTGAAGAAGCTTCTTGGATGAGAAGCAAAACGTCTTCAAAAGAAAAAAACAAGAAAGTCCACTTGTCTCCTGAAAAAGCACCTTTGGGACAACCATGACCTGGATGACTGAAAATCTCTACAGACTTCTTCAAGGGGCAAATAATATTCTGACTCTCTATTGGGGGAGATGTCCAAGGGCAGGATGTAAACTCTTGTCCCAAACAACAGGCTTTACCTGGCTAGTGCAAGCACTCCAAAGGTAGACACACGTCCCAAGACCAACACTAAGGACGTTGAGGGATGACCAATCAACTAGGTTCAAGTAGAAGTCATCCTGAAGTTCTGGAGCATCCAAAACCTTGAATGGAATCTTGGATATCTTCCTTGTGGGTTTTCGAGGTGATCGAAGTAATTTTTGACTATTGGAAGGAGGAAGAAAAAAAAAAGTTGCGGAAAGTACCAAAGAGAAGGAATAGCCATTCTCCCCAGATTCACCCTAGTTTGGTGACCTACCTCCTACAAATACACACAAAAAATAAAATATTTTTAAAATGTCAAAAGAATCTGGCTGTTCTATTATTTCATGAAGTCATTTCAGGAATTCCAGACCATTTAAAGGACAACCTCTCTCCTATTACATCCACCCAGCCTACCAGGATGGGAAGGCAGGGCACGTTGCAAATCCCGTCTGCTAGGGATGTATATTTGGTGGAACCATGAAAAGGGAGTGGTGGTGGGACCTGGAACGTCATTCCCCCCCAAGGTATGATTAACCCTCCACTGTGTTGCTTTCCTGAAAGGCCCTGAAGACGTGGTTTTGTCAGTGTGCCTGGGGACCATGAATGGAGAATGGTTGATTTGATTATGTTGCTGCTATCATGGGGAGAAGGTATGGGTTTTTATGTTGTAGACTTTTTAATGCCTGGGGTCACCTGTATGGGAGCTGGACAGCCATATAAATAACCATCAGCAGCTATTAGAGTTACATTCTTCTGGCAGAACTGGAAACAGCATGCAAGTTGGGTGATGGCATTGCCCTTCTTCACCTATTTAAGGCTTTTCACATTTTGAGAAATGAGTGCTAGACAAATTAACTTTTGTTTAATCCAGCACTGCTCTTCTTGTGTTCTGAAAAATATATTTCTTTATATTCTTTCTCTATATTATAAACAGCTAGGGATCAAGCAGGGGCTGGTTATTCAAGTGCTGGGGATGCTTTCACTGAGAGTTGTGTTTTGAGCAATGGCAGAGACCGAATGTTCTAAATTCCACACCACATTTCCTCCTTGTTTATTCACACACTGACATTGTTACATGGCTGGCTGGCTGGGGAATTCTGGGAGTTAAAGTCCACACATTTTTATGTTGATATGGTTGAGAAACACTGCTGTAGAGGGTTGCCCTGTAAAATTCCTAGAAATAATATATTCATTGATTAATGGTCCAGGAAGCAACATTAAAAAGAAGAGAAGGCTAGATCAGATTAAGCTATTCTATCAAATGCACCACACACAGTTTATGTGATTCAGATGCCTATAGAATTGAATCGAATCAAATCAAATAGAACAGAACAGAACAAGAGTTGGAAGGGACCTTGGAGGTCTTCTAGTCCAAGCCCCTGCTCAGGCAGGAAACCCTATACCATTTCAGTGTCATTTCAAGACATATGGAAACTCCTACCCACCCCAAATCCAACACAATTCAAGAGAATTTCCCCTTCCCGTTTCTAAAATCAGTGCAAGAGAAAAGCTGAACCATGAGGAAAGGGGATTTGCAGCTTATTTTAAGGGAGCTTTATCCTAACACCCTCCCCCCCCCACTGTATTCCACCCATAATAGCAATAAGACATAATACCGCTTCATAGTGCTTTACAGCCCTCTCTAAGTGGTTTTACAGAGTCAGCCTACTGCCCCCAACAATCTGGGTCCTCATTTTACCAACCTCAGAAGGATGGAAGGCTGAGTCAACCTTGAGCTGCTCAAAATCGAACTCCTGGAGTAAGCAGTGAGTTAGCCTGCAGTACTTCATTCTGACCACTGCGCCACTATGGCTCTTAATAATAGAAACCACAACGAATTTCAATGCAACTTCTAGTTCCCAAATCACAAGGTGGCATTAGTTCCAGGATTATTATTGTGCATGGATAACCACCATCCCATTTCAAATGGTAGCCAACCTTTTGTTGCTGACAGGGGAGAGGGAGTATGGAGAAACCTCGTTGCCATCATCAGGACTGGAACGTTTTGTGGTGAGGGAATACTACATTTAACAAGGAAAAAACAATTACCCCCAAATTAGCAAACTTGAGTTTTCTGCCAAAGAACAAGCACTTGATTTCACAATCCATTCAGACTTCACATATTGCACTAAGCTATATTTGTTTAATTTTGGCTTAACATGCTCTCTGAACCCCAGTCATTGTGACTATTCAACAAGAACCTAGCTTAGTGCAATGTATGTATAAAGTCAGCCTTTCCTTCCTATCTGCCAAATGCTTACAAACAGCCTGTTTAGTTTTCTTTGTCTACAGCTTTCCTTCAACAGCCAACAAGATAAGAAACAGAGAGTGTCTCAAGAGTCTGCTCCAACCACATCCTTTTCAGCTGTAATTAAAAAAAATAAACCTGAAATAGACTCCCCAGAATGGCTTATCTTTGCTTGCTTTCAGACAAGCAACATATTAGAAAGACAATAAATAACTTCACATTATTTTATGATGTAATTCTTTTCAATTTGTTTCAATATTTTTTACCATTATCCCAATGCTTCTTTTGTTGTACTTTAAAATTCTTTTTTAATTTTAGTGGGAGGCGACTCAGCAACTTTAACAAGGGCCAGATATTAGAATATGCAAAGAATTCAAAATAACTACTTTATAAACATGTTGGGGAATGTATCACGACTCTGTTCAAGGACAGCTGTTTTGCTCTGGCTGTTGCTTCGTGAGGTATCCTTTTCAAATGTTTTGCATACTTAAGACACGATATCTGAATATGCATTTCTAAAAATGTGGGAGAATATTACTGCACTATTGGTATTCCAATAACCATCAGATTAATTTGAGAACAGGAAGCTGAATTAGATTCCACTTTCGCCTGATACACAAAACTTTGGTTTTTTAATGAATTTGCATTTAAATTAATAGCTGTACCATGCCACCATGTGATCTAACAATTGTAAGTTCTTTGTTTTTAAATAGTTAATGAAATACAACAGATCAAGGGTTTTTTACCCACAATGTCTTAACTGGGACTTCCAAATCCAGAAACAGTCTAAATTTCAGCTATTAAATTGACCACTTTAGAAAACAGGATGCTCAGCTAAATAGATTCACACCCTGAGTTTAAATGAATACTGATTCCTAAATGAATAATTTAATTCCTAACTCCTAAATGAATAATACTACCTCCTTTTTATTGTAGGTCACCACCTGACTATTTTACAAAAAGGCAATATCATTTTCAGAGAAGAATACCGTGAAAAGGCTCTTCTTCTCAGGCGTGGAGGGCTGCAGCCTCCTGTCCTCAGTCTGTGGATCTTGGACTTTCTCAATCCCGGCTCCAAGGAGTTCATTTTTTAGCAAGGCGGAGTAGGCAAGGCCATCTGCACAAACAAAAACCTTGTCAAACTGATTGGCCATTTCTTAAAAAATAGGTTAACTGGAAGCATGTAGCAACTTACAAGAAAAAAATACAAAAAATATTTTTTCAAAACATTTTTTTGAAAAATAAGAGACATGTTACCAAAGATATTAATTAGCAATCAGAAAGTTGGAGACTGAATTTCAAAGTCAGCCAAATTGTCTTATTGGTAATGTACTAAAATTAACAAATAGCTATTATTATATTTAATTAACTAACAGAAAAAAGGACATAGAATTTTAAAAAAATATTATTTCCAAAAGATATTAGTAACCAGGTGGTTGGAGATTACATTTCAAAATTAGTTAAATCTGCTTATTACAAAGCACTAATATACTTAATTACAAACATGAAAGATGAGTATAAGTAATGCTGAGATCTTACTAATATTAGTTAAGGATCCCTTATTCTTCCTTAAAACTTACATTCATTTTGGCAAAAGCTTACGAGACTGCTAAATATCTTCCACATGGCTATTATGTACTGTTCTCCCCCAATGTCTATGGGGACTCTCAGTCATCCAGGTCAAGATGGCAAAGACAAACAGCAAACCAGGGTACTGCAGTCTAGCACAAACCAGCCTACCCCAATCTCTTCAGAGGGCCTAAGGCATGCAAGCAATAGGCAAGATTTGGTCTCTACCTTTGCCATTGTCTGAAGTGGCATCTTTTGCTTTTCTATTTTGACTTGGAGACTTTTCATTTTCCTAAAAATGCAGATAAAACAATTAGCATGCACCCATTTTGAGAATTTCCAAACGTCATAGTGGATCTTTTTTTTTTTTTGCTTTCAAAAGGCAATATAATTGTTGTAAAGCTTTCTAAGCAGCCTCACTGCAGAAGATTCTGAGTCACATATCAGAGGCTCTATTTTGACTGCTTGCCAAATTTGGCACTATTTATACTCCCTTATTTCCCTAAATTTAAAAACTGTTCCAGAATCTTATCTTCTCCTCTTCAGTGCTTAAGACATTTTAGAGGAATATGGAGTTCAAGGAACATTATCTATTACAGCTGATCTTTTCACTCAGAAATTCTGATATTTTTTAAAATGCTAAAGGTTTTCAAAATACCTCTTCAATAAACATTGCTATCCATTCACTCAGCTTGGGAGTTTTACAATTTGCTTTGCAGCTCCACTTCAGCAGCCCCCTCTCTGCTTTCAAAGATTAAATAGACTGCATCAGGGAGGAGACTATTCAGTTATTTTAAAAGCTGTGATCAACTGGCCCCCATCCCTTTTTCATTCAAACCAGTTTTTTTTTTAAATTTAGTCTTTCCATACCTATCAAACAATCTTTGCATCTATTGTTTTCCATTGATTTTAGAGTTTGTCTTGCTGGTATATATTTATAACCAATTATTAAGAAAAAAAATCTTACTTGTGTAAACTGGATATTTTTAAATAACTAAACCCATCTTCAAGCAGTCGCTTGAAGTTCCTCAGCATTTTTAAGACCGAAAAGTCTTGCATCACAACTTCTGACACTCAGAACATCTGGACAAACTCCTGCTTCACACATAAAAAAATCCCCAAATTTGACCAAAACCTCCAACTCCAGGTAAGTAGCTCAGATTATCAGATTTCTTTCTAAATACTTGGAGAGGATTGCTAGCCTAACTATACATGGTAGGCTGGATGACCTGATTCCTGACAATCTTGGTCATGATAGTCCTAAGACATATGGTACCCTCCATATGGTTTAAGATCACAATTTCCATCACTGAACATGTTATTTTCTTTTGGATACCATCAAATGTTTAAGGGAAACCATGACTGTAAAATATATATTTAAAACAAAACAAAACAAAACACACAAATGGAATGACCAACAGGAAGAAAGAAAACATCATGTCAAGTATTTGGGAACATCCGGTCACCCACAACCAGTCAACCAACTAAATGGCCTTTCTGCAAAGCTCACATTTATTCTATGAAAGCTGATGCTCCAATTTGCTCCAGCTCGGGAAGGAATGAATCGGTCACCATGTTTACTAGGGGAGGAAACGGGTGAATTAGAAGGTGTCAAGGTCCTCCTCATATCTGTTACCTGGAATTTTGAAAGAACGAGAATGGGAGGGAAGGAAAGGTCAGGAAAGCAGCCATTGGAAATCCACAACAAAGACCAGTGACAAAACAGAATACAACTGCATTAAAAATGAAATTCAGCTATTACAGAAAAACAAGATTTCAGAATTTTTATGCAGGTTGTCCTTGACTTACAACAGTTCATTTAGTGATCGTTCAAAGTTATGATGACACTGAAAAAAGTGATTTATGACCGTTTTCTACATTTACGAATGTTGCAGCATCTCCATGATCAGGTGATCAAAATTTGGATGCCTGGCAGTTGATTCATATTTATGACAGTTGAAGTATCCCGGGGTCATGTGATCACCTTTTGCGAACTTCTTACAAGCAAAGTCAATGGGAAAACCAGATTCACTAACATCTGTGGCAAGAAAAGTCGTAAAATGGGGCAAAATTCACCCAACACTTATCTTATTTAATAGAAATTTTGGGCTCAATTGTGGTCATACGTCAAGGACTACCTGTATATTATATGAGCTTGGCACCTTTGTATAGCTTACCTCATTTTGCACTGTTATGTTTATATTTTTTTAACATTTGATTCCAAACTAAGTTAATTTAGGACCACTACCAACACAAAGTCTTTCTGGGCAAAGAAATAACCTTACATATACCTAATTAGAAGTAAAGACCATCGATCAATAAACAAACAAACAAACCCAAGAGGGAATTATATTTCAGCAAGTACAACTGAGCAACATTTGAGTAATATATTATAATCTGAACATCATTAGAAGAGATAAAACAGTAACTCTCCAACATGTCAAACCAAAAGTCTAAATATGATTTCTAGACATACTGATTGTGTCCATTAATTAACCTGTGTTTATCAACATTTTTTACTGTATGAATATTGCTGATATATATATTTTAGTTGTGTATCATTCAGTGCCTACCAATCACTATTTAATATAATACTACTTTTTCCATTAGAAACCATTTAACATTTCTAGCATTCTAACATTATAAGAGTGAAATAAGGGTACCTCATTTGTAGCATTTGCTAGGCTAATGCAATCTACCCACAGAATTGCAGGAAAGGACAACAAAATCTTCACATTTAAAAGCTATTTCAATGGCACAAAAACCTTATTTTTATCTGTTTGGGCTGTTTTGCTTTTTTAAATTTTCAGAGCCAAAATCTATTAATGAATAAGTACAGTCAGTGTATTAAGCAGGGGAGTACAGAATGTTCTGTCTTTAAATAATCACCCATTCCAATTTAGGAAGGCCCACTCTGAATACTCCAGATAGGATTTAACCTGTCACTTCCAGAACTGTCATTCTGAGAGTTTTGTAAATCATGGCTGAATCCTTTCTGGACATTTAGAACCACTTACAGAGTATTCTGAATGGCTTGGAACAGTTTATTTGGGACAGGGCATTCGGTGCAGAGTTTAATGCAAGTTTACTTATGACCACACTAACAATACATAATCTTGCAAAATTGTCTTGTTATATTTAGCATGTATCTATATTTTTATATTTTCATCATATTGCAGAAAGATAAAAAATGAGCACTAAATTTCAATTGCCTGTTATCAGTCAATTTTTTAAAACAAAATAATAATAATAATAATAATAATAATAATAATAATACTGAATTACTGAAAAAAACCACTAAAAATATATGAATTGGAATGCTTCCCCATTCATTTCATTTTCACTCTTCTGTTGCGAATATCAATGGGCAATTACAATATTCGGCTACTAACATTACATATAAATATGCATTATATAATTTTAATGAGATCTTTTATATTTCTCCAAAGCAATAGGAACGTTCTGAATCTGACAAATTGAACATTTGAAAATTCACAAGTTTCTTCTAATATGAGTTCAAATTGCTTCTGTTGCCTCTTTCATCACTTTCCTTAGGCACCATACATAGTCTCTCAAAACAGGGATGCAACCCTGAGAGATCCTGAAGTTTCCTAACTCTTAAGAAGTTGTGACCAACTTACTACTTTACAGTTAGGGTTAAATTAAAATTGAAAGGTCGTTTCAATTTTAATTAAGTTTAAATTAAATGCATTTTTCTACCATTCCCTTTTTGAAGTACCTTCCTCTCTAAGATACACTTTATGATTACAAATACAACAATGCAAAACTAGGTAATCATTTGTAACTTAATCATGTAAACAACCCAGCATCTGTTTGCTCAATATCTCTTGCACAACATGAATCGTTTTTAGAGATGTATGCCACAATAGAAGGATTTTATTTTTTGTACCATATGCAGGAAAATTTTAAATGCTTAATAATATTTACAGAAGGCATCATGTTTTCATTCTGGATGTTGATCTGACGGAGAAGGCGCCTTTCATAGTCTTGATCCATGATGGACAGGTGCAGGACAGTGGAGGGAAAGAGCCAAGGTGTCTTATAATAGTCTCACACAATTTTTTTGTGCATGGAGACCAGGGAGTGACCAATAGGCTGCAAAGAAAAAGGCAGGACCATCAAACTCCAAGCAGTTGAAATGTTAAAACCATCAAATGTTATAATTGTGAGTTCTAATTCCTCTTTTAGTATTAGATGACACCTATTTTCACTTAATTACAATGGATTTACACACTGGGCAAATTGCTCATTTATAGATATGATCAAGCCCGGATCATCCTATGTAGAAATTAGAAATGTTTTCTCCAGCCTACAAGCAAAAAAGTTGTGTAGACAAAGTCTTATGTGTTAAAATCAGAATGATTGACATCATTCTTTTATTAACTGAGGGGATTGGCTGGGACTAAGAATTCATTGTTCACCATACAATTAAACTTATCAACTTGTAATTTAAACAATCATACATTTCTTCTGTGAGATCTCCATTCTCATGATCTATTGTAGACAGTAAACTCCTCAGTGCTCACCTGTTTACATGTGATAAAGCATTATGGGTAGTGACAGTACTACAGAAACACAAACAATTCAAAATTTCCTTACTGCTATTTAAATTTGAAAGCTGGTTCTTAAAAAACCTTGAAAACTAAAGTTTACAAAATTTTTACCAAATTCTGCAATGTTTCTCTACAAAGCAGTGGCAGATACACTCAAGATCCTTCAATGCCTGTGCATACCTATCAATGAAACCTTACATTACCCGAAGTCAGTTTTGACTCTGAGGAACGCATAACCAACATTTTGTTTGCAAAAACATTAATCCAATACTTATGGCATAAGAAAATGAAGCATAAATCTCATTTATGTGTAGAAATGTGAAAAGTCATATTCTCTTCTTTCCTTACCTAAAATACTAAACATTTGTGAAAGTCATAGAAAATACTCTTACTTTTTATTTTCCATTCAAAATATGTACTCCTTAAAATATATTTCTGCACCTCAGAGAGTTGCAATGCAAGGTCTTCCTTGCCCCTCTGAATGAGCTATGATCATTTGTACGCTGATAAACTTTTATGAAATTTTCATTTCAATCTGTCTCTCCTGTCTGGTTTATCTGACACACAGCTTGAAGTTATCTATTAGCTCCATCAAACAGCAAGTGGCTTCTGAGAAAATTTATTCAAGACTTTCTCTAAATTCCACAAATGTGCCAATTCTGGGCCTTTCTTAGGCATGAAAGCCACCTGGGTGACTTTGGGTCACTGTCTCTCAAACCAACCCACCACACAGATTTGTTATGGGGAAAATAGGACGCAGGAGTATCAAGTATGTTTGTCACCCTGAATTGACTAAAAAGTGGGATAAAAATATTATATACATAACAGTGTGAAATCATAGTTGCTAGTTCTTTAGTTGGTGTTGGCCTTCATACACAGTTCCTCCCAAAATAGAACCCAGGATGTAATGTATTATCAAAGTGTATGTGCAGTTCCAAAAAAAGTGCCCTTTTGTGATTGAAAGATGGAAATGATTGAAAGATGGAAATGTTGTCAATGCAGAGATTTTGTAAGTGCTGCCAACAAGCACTGTAATAATTATTATTCTATTACCTGACATTTTAGATTTTTATTAGATTAGATTTTATTAGATTAGATTTTAAATAGCCTTATTAAATACTTTGTTCCTTACATACAGTAGTTTTGTGTTCCCTTTAGGTGTTTGAGCAGTGTACAAACTACTGTATGTAAAGAACAAAGTATTTAATAAGGCTATTTCATTCATTCAGATCTCGGATGTCTTCTGCTTGTGTTCCCTTTATTTTTTTGAGCAGTATATTTTACATTACCACAGCAGTGAACTGACCCCCCGAAAAAAAAAATGCACGCTGGGCATCTTCTCTATAATTTTTCCTCATGAAAAAAGAAAAGGGGAAAAATGGGTATTTTTCTCCTACGGCTTCAAAAACTCCCAATAAATAAATAAATACATAAATAAATAAAAAATCACAACCCTAATTATCATCCAACAAGTGCACCCTTGCTTAAAGCCCTCAAGCTTCCTTTACAGCACCCTGATTCCCAACTTCTTCAGTGGACCCCAATGCCTCCCCATCCCCTTAGCCAGCTGATCGGGTTCAAACCCATTTCCGATGAAATTAAGACATTTCCACATCTTAACACAAAATGCTTTTTTTAAAAAAACAAATAAACAAAAAGCAATGCACAAGTGGGCAGTGTTTAAACAAATACAGGTAAATATAATTTCCTCTCCCAGGTTTCCTTTAGTCTAGTCTAGTCTAGTCTAGTCTAGTCTAGATATATATATCTAGACTAGTCTAGACTATAGTCTAGTCTAGACTAGACTTTGTCTAGACTAGACTATTATAGTCTAGTCTATAGGAATAGGAAGAAACAGCTGCGATCACACATTGCTCCTAGAAGCATGAAGCCGAAAACACCAGCCTGAAGATGATGAATGAGACTTCGTCGAAACGTCGCCAAGACACTTCCAATTTTACACGGGAGAAAATCCGAATAACCAAAGACATACACACATATACATATACATATACACATACACATACATACATACATACATACATACATATATATATATATATAATTGACTAGTCTCTGCTATACATAGGTTGGGGGGGAGGAGCTGCGCTTAGCCTCTATCAGTGGACTAAGGATGGAGATAACCAGCATTTGGGAATTCACCTCCAGCCTCCCATGAGGAACCCTCCGCGCTGCAAATCGCTTTTATTAGAGAACAAGAGAGGCTGCAGAAGAGGCCTGTAAGGTGGGGGGGGGGGAGTGTCCCCCGAGCTGCCTCCCTCTCCTCCATATTCACCCTCCGCCTTAAATGCCTGTCAGCCTGAACGCTCCCGTAACAAGACAGTCCTCCCACCGCATCCAAGCCCAGGCAGCCCCGTCCCAACATCACACGGGGGATGCAACAGAGCCTGTCTCCAGAAGCCCCGCGCCCACTTTCACCTGGGCGCAAAAAGAGAAAAGAAGTGGACCCTCAGGTAAGGAAAATATAAACCCTCCTCCCTCTCACCTGCCCTCAGCGAGAGCCATCCAATATGGCGCCGATCCGACTCTCTTGCCCTCCCCTTTTCCCCGCCCACTCTTCCCTCATCACAGGCGCGCAAGGCATCACGGGAAGAGAAGCCCTCTCTCTCCCCCCCCCCTAACCCTCCAATCCACCGCCTCCTTCTCGGCCTCGCTTGCTGATTCGTCCCGTTCGAATCAATACAACGCAGAGGGGAGCGTAGCCCTAGCAACGGTCCCGAGGCCTAGCTGAGACCCAGCGAGCATGCTTTGCGTGAGGTAACCGAAGCACAGAAGTACGGGAGGAAAGACGGGCGGGGGGAGTAGCAAATTGGATCACGGAACTGGCTTTTGCCCTTCTTCCTCCATATAGAAAGCCGAGGAATAACCAAAAAAAAAAAAAAAAATGGAGGGGAGAAAGGAGGGGGGTTTCTAACATTGGGATGGTTTTTAAAGGAAATGGGGAGGGACAAGAGGCTGTGAAAAAGTGTCCGATTACCGAACAGTTTGTTCATTTGTATGTTGCACTGAAAAAAATCATCAAATAAAAATAGAACGAAATTGGAGAGAATCTGATGTTGCAGTAAATATCAGGGCTTTAAATGTCCTTTTGTAAAACCTCTGGGTGTTTGCCTGTTTCTCAGTCTAATTTTACCGCAAAGACTGGGAGGAGAAAATTGAGAAGAGGAAATTGGGGGAGGATGACGGGGGTTTATAATAACACTTTTTGAGGTACAGGTGCGAAAAGATTTTTAATGTTGACCTTTCAGCCTCTGGATAGATGCAGGCTCAGCCATTGACAAGTTTATTAATAAGGCATGACCTGTATAATGGATGGGATTTACAAACGTGTAGTTCACTACAGAAAGGATAAGATTAAAAACAATAACTACTATAAAGCAGTGGTGAAATTCAAATTGTTTTACTACCGATTCTGTGGGCGTGGCATGGTGGGCGTGGCAGGGGAAGGATACTGCAAAATCCCCATTCCCTCCCCACTCCTGGGGGAAGGATATTGCAAAATCTCCATTCCCACCCCACTCTGGGGCCAGCCAGAGGTGGTATTTGCCGGTTCTCCAAACTACTCAAAATTTCTGCTACCGGTTCTCTGAACTGCTCAAAATTTCCGTTACCGGTTCTCCAGAACCTGTCAGAACCTGCTGGATTTCACCCCAGCTATAAAGAACATAACATCTATGGTAATACAGTATAATATTCTGCCATAAGGAAACAGGCTAACACTGGGTAGAACAGCCATGAAAGTCTTGAAAAGGATAATCAGCTTAAAATTCCAGGTAACAAAATGCTGGATGTGTGTATATCTATAAAAAATCAGAATTGTGCAAACTATAATTCCCTGTGACGCTTTATAGAAGGGAAAGTTGGACTTTAAAATGCCGGATATAAAAAATATTGATGCTTTTGATCATTAATGTTGCAGGAGACTCTGAATGTGTACAACCAAGAAACAATCTGATGGATCATTGAATAAATCAATCTAGAGATCTCATTTTCAGGCAGAAATGGCCAGGCTCAAATATTCTACTTTGGACAGATCCCACTCTCTGGAAAAGGCTGCAGAGAAAAGTGGAAAGAAAAGTGAAGAGGATGACCAGCAACATGGGGAATGGCTTAGTTACAATGGTGGTGGGAGCACTGTTGGGAGGCCTAAAAGAGTGGGTTAGGGACTGCCCATCATGAAGGAAATCTATTGATGTCACTAGGAGTTGAAAACGTTCTGTACTTGATTGTACAAAAGTAATCAATAAGGAGATAACAGTGAAGGGAAGAGTTGAGACAGAGTAAACAACAGAAGAATGTTTATTTGAATCGTGTATAAGTAGGCATATTTGCTTATTACATACTTCTTTTTAGTGTACTCTCTTGGTGTACATTGTACTATTTTGCAAGCTATTGCAACATTAATCTGGGAATAAATCCCACTGAACACTAAAATATTTATTTCTGAATAAATCCACTAGAAGGCACAGGCAAAACTATTCTTGTTGAAGTTGGTCGCATATTTTTCATCTTAGTTGTTTCAGTTTGAACTGGAAAGTGACCCACATAATGCCAGGAGACGAGAAGAGAAAGATGGGGAGGGGAGAGGGGGAGAGTAGAAATTGAGGTTATCTAGATAAATTATAAATTGGTTAGATTAATAATTGTTCTGGGATCAGTTAACTATTGTTAAAGTAAATGGCCTTGATATGCCCCTGAAATACTTCTGCTATGTGAGTTCTATACTAATGGTCTTCCAGGTGCAATTCAGGTAATTCGTCTTAATGAACTTAGGAGACATGCCTTTTCTATCATTATTCCTGTGCTTTGGAACAGAATGATTAATTCGGCACAAAAAACAACTGGTTGTCCCCTAACACCACTGGATGACATCGCCAGGTATCGCTGTTTCAGCAGAGTAAGGAAGATACTTAGGGATGATTCAAACCCTGGCCAGTGTCTCTTTTCACTTTTACCATCTGGTAGAACACAGAGATATAGCCAGCTGGACAAACAGGTTTAAAAATAGCTTCTACCCATGGGCTGTCAGACTCCTAAACACAATATAGCACCACAAACAGATTAATATGATGAATTTCACTGGTGCCAGTGTAGTGTGTAATATGTATATACCATGATATAAGATCATACACCAGAGTAACATAGATGTTGCACAGAATACGACGTACATATGGAAACATATGATTAGTTTTTTCCCTAACTACTTATATAAGGATTATTCTTTATATTATTCATGCTGTCTTGTATTCTTGTATGGACTGCACCAGTAGAGGCTAAACCAATTTTGTTGTATACATGATGTACAATGACAATAAAGGCTTTGAACTTGAACTTGAATCCCCCCTCACCCAGGTTCATAACTGTTTCAGCAGGCACTGGGCTATGACACTGTGTGAATCCACCATCTGAATTAAGATTATTCTTCCCTATCAACCATTCTTTGCCCAGAGTAGTTGGTAGAGGTCAGTGGCTAGAAATAGAAATAATAAAATCACTAATTCGTTTTTCGCCTCTTTTCTACATCCAGTTTTCTTGTCATCTATATGCAAGTTATCACAGGAAATATGTAGAAGAGCAAGTCTGGTTTGAACAGAATTCAGTTTCAGGAAATGTAAGGCCAGTTGCACTTATTTCCAGTATTCTTTCAAGAATGGCCAAAAGTGATTTGATAAGACGTAGAAGCAAAAGCCGATCTAGGATCCAGCGGAAACTTTTGTAATCATGGGATAACAGATGACAATAGGAAGTATTTTGACAATTTAGTAGAGCTATGAACAGTGGCATTCCATGGAATCAGTGCTTTCAACTTATTTATAAGCGATTTGGAATGCAAAAAACCCTCCAAATGTCATTTCCTTTGTTGAAAATAAAAGTTTTAAAAGTGGGAAATAGCGACCATTCTAAGCAACATAAAGCGAACCAGTTTTGTGTAGTGGTTAAGGTGCTGGCCTACAAACCAGGAATTCTAGTCCTGCTTTAGGCACAAAAACTAGCTGAGTGACTTTGCACCAGTCATTCTCTCAGCGCAACCTATCTTACAGCATAATTGTTGTGGGGAGAATAGGAGGTAGGAATTTAGGAAAAATCCCTTCTTAAACATTTCCCACACTTTCTGTGGGCTGGGACATCTACTGGTTGTCCTGTGTGCGGCTTTCCTTCCTGTCTCCCAAAGTCATTCTCCTCTACCATTACACATTATGCCTTTATAGACAACAACCATCATACTTGGAATCCTGCACACACAGGGCCTGTCTTATGTGGGCTGCAGAAATCTAGATGATTGTAAGATGGCAGCATAAAAAAGGAGTTTCTCTTTTTGCTGCCATCTTGCTGGATTTTTGTAGCGAAGGTCTAGAAGCTCTATAGACAACGCTTAGACAACACTGGGCACTACACATTGCAAAAAAAGCGTGTTAAAATTGGAGGAAAAAAGGGCAATCCAATCTCGAGTCTAAAATGCCTCTAAAGAAAAAGATTTGTGAAGAACATTCTTATAAGGAAAAAATTATAAATACTAACACTTTACTAAAAGTCTTGCTCATATGCCACTTACAGCATTTACTGCTAACGACAAGGAGCTACCAGTCATTTTTATCATGTTTTTATCAGTATAGCATACTGTATGCACAATTAAAGCTCTATTTTGCTTCAAGCATATGTATGCTATTTGATGCAAACTAGGATCTCTAATTTAGAGACTACCTTGCAATTCACCATACTTGGCCAACATCCAACAAACCAGAGTATTTCCTCCTTATATTCCACTTACTCATAGCTTATGTTTAAATGGTTAACTCACAGAGCAGGTAGAATGAATATCAACCATATGTATATGTGGAGAAGTAAGGAACTAGAGGAATCAAGTTATGTTTATTGCAAGAAATATTTTCTGATGAGATTTGTAAAGGGACAATTTTATGCGAGCTTGGTTTTAATTTTGGATTTGAATTTTACTGTGAATTGGCAAGTATAAGTATCTGTCTGAATACATTAAATTATAATGGATAGCTTGTTCTTATAATTAATCTAATTCAAAATTTGATTCACTTAGATCAGGGGTGTTAAACTCACGTCGTCACGGCAGCGTCACGTGACATTAGAACTTTCCCTTCACTAAACCGGGAGTAGCTAGCGCATGATGCATCCGGCCCCTGGGCTGGGAGTTTGACAGCCCTTAGATTAATAAGGATTAATTTTATGTAACAATCTCATCTTAATATCTACCGCTCACATAATAAAATTATATCCCATTCTAACTATATAATATTGTACTTTAAGAAACCCTTTCTCAATCTCCTGCATTCTAGATATAATTTATCTTTTGAATAGCACTGAATACATATGTTTTTGCCAAACAATTAGCACAGTAAAACTGATTGTTATTTATATAGCTGCCCATTTCACATTCATGACTCAGATTTTTTTCTCAGAGATAATTCACATGCATTTGCTTCATTTTCATCCCAAATAATATTTGCAATAAAAAGATTAGTCAAGTAAGTTTGTACATTTATGTATTTTATTTATTTTTTACAAAGAACACTTGCTCTCACCAGAGCAGCATAACTATTTCCATACTGCTATTGTGTGTTTTTTTTTTGCAAAGGGGGGGGGAGGAAAATGTTAAAAATATAATTTTAAATGCAAATATGTTAAAAAATCCTATCCTAATGCATTAAGAAAATACAAAACTAAGTCAGAATTCATTCACAATAATAATCAGCATGGATTTATGTCATGAGGAAGGGTGCAATGCTATGTAATAAATAAAGCCATTATTTTATGCCAAGGCAACTTAAGTTTTGCATTGTTAAATTGCTTCTAGCAACTATAATTATTTTAGATGAAGCAGACTTAATCTACATATGCAGTTTTCTTCATAGAATCTTGTACCCATTATTTTCAAGGAGAAGCAACAATGGCTTTGAAAATTCCTTGCATACAAGGTGGGTATTTGTCTTCAGGCTCCTAGTTTGATTTCAGAGATTCTACCAGCCCTATATATGTATCTTCGATTTAAGACACAAGATCTGTAACCTTTTTTCTTTTTTTTAAAAAAAAAGCCCAAAAACTTCATGCCACATTCCTGAAGGAATGACTTCTGTGTCTCATCTGCAAGACTTTTCACTATGTAAAGTGCAAATGTCAACAAATGCACACTGAGGTTGGGGGGGGGGGGCATTCACCCTGTAAAAATATTAGTTGCATCTTACGTCACATTATATGTATTTAAATATTGAGGCAGCAAGTCCAAGAAAAGTTCCACTTCTTGAAACTTAACTGTAGACTAATAAAACTTTCCTGGCATCTCCAGTATAAAATAGATTACTCAGCATGATTTAAAATAATATGTGCAATGACCATCTAGCTCGGAGAAATGGCACCAGCTTTAAGCTAGGTCAACTTTATGGCGATATTTGAGAATCAGTCTCCTGAGCTGAAACCCATTTTTTTTTTTTTTTGGCCACGGGGTGGAAATTCAAGACTCCCAAAAGGAATTCATTCCTATCTTCACCTTAAACTGCCCTAGAAGATGAAAAGGGATTTAAATCACAACATGCTTGTGATCTGCAGGCCATAAGTTGCCCATTCTTGAGACAGATAGGTCTTTGAAATGACACATGGACTGTTTGTCCAGACTCCCAAAGCAGCCAGCCAGGTTTCAGCCTAGTGTGTTGTGTGAATCCAGTCTGTACAGTTAGTGTAGGTTTAAGTAGGTCATGCAAATGCAGAACTTTGGGCAAATTCAATAAACTGGTTGGGTAATTATGGGTAAATCTGCAATGCAACCACAATATTTTGTCAATATTCTCACATCCCTCTAACTCACCAGGAAAATGTCTAGAGATTCTTGGTCATCCAGATCATAGTTGTCTCAAAGGTGCTTTTACAAAGGCAAATGGATTATTTTTTTCCCCCTGAGGAAGAAGAAGAAAATGTTTTGGGATGAAAAGCGAAACATTTTCTTCTTCTCAAGGAAAAAAAACAGTCCAGGTCCCTTTTTAAAAAGCATCTTTTGAGTCACCAGGAGGATTTAATTTTTTTTAATGTACAATTGTGTGAGCCCAGCTATTCAGCAAACCATGGTTAAGCAAGCCATGGTTTAGCTTATATGAATTCAGTCATATATGCTAAACAACTATTTGAGATGATTAATCACATTCTGACGAGAATTAATCAGATAAATGTTCTGCTAATGGACATCTGGATCAAAATATAACTATCTCTTGGATTTGCACTTGTTCAAATTTTGCAATGCATTTCTCAATTCCAAAAAGCATTCCAAAACATGTCAATAAAAAGCTCCAATAGGATAATTAAAACGATGATGTAAACTATAAGAGTTTACCAAGATCCTTGGTAGTACAGGGGTTTAAGGCACCCTGTTATTAAGCTGGTTATTAAGACCAGCTGCCTGCAATTACTGCAGGGTTCGAATCTCGCCAAGGCTCAAGGTTGACTCAGCCTTCCATCCTTTCTAAGATAGGTAAATTGAGGACCCAGTTGTGGGAGCAATAAGCTGACTTTGTATAAATATACAAAAGGATGAAGGCTATTGCTGAGCACATTGTAAGCCGCCCTGAGTCTTCGGAGAAGGGCGGCATATAAATCAAATTAAAAAAAAAAAAAAAAGAAATAGCATGTTTTGCTCTGATTTTAAAAACACAAGTGGAATGAATTCAATGATCTGCTTATTTGTATCTCTTTATCAGAGGGAAGGGCAGTTTTTGGACATGGATCTATTCTGCTTTTTCTCTATCCACCAATTGAAGTCAGGTATATGCTGAAAATTAAAGAAGGATCAAGGATCAGCATTTGAGTTTAAAGGCCTCTCACACAATCCCATCTTTCATAACCTCAGTAGTATAATTTAGAGTTTGAGGAGGCATCATATAGCTGCTATTGTTAATTAACTGGGACTCAAAAATCCTTATTGATCATCTTCTAACCATTCCAATATCTGCCTATAAATCTTGGTCTCCCTGCTTTTGATATTCCTGTGTGACCTAATAGTAGACACAATAGTGACCTGTTAGTAGCCACAATAGTCAGCCATATATCCCAGTGATCATGGACAAGTCTCACTGGTTTTCTATCATTCTACCATCTACTGTCCTGCCAGCAACTTCTGAAAGAGCCAAGAGAGGACAAAGCTCAGAAAGAAAAGAGGAAAATCCTACGCATTTCAGGAGCAGAAAAGGCAACTTAAGGCTCTTTGAAGAGAAGAGGCACTGGAGAAGATCTGCTACATAAAGGCAGCTGCGTCAGGAGCAGCGTACAGCAGTGTAATCCATCAACCTGGCAGACTGTAGTTGAGATATTTTCAAGTGGTGTCCCAGTTGCTTACAAATGCTCGCTGAGGAGAGAAACAAAAGTTACCCACAACATGCTCAATTGTTTACGACAAGACATTTGATGCCTTGGAAATGACAACAATAAACAACTCTTAAATCCAATGCAACCCTCATTTTAGTTTCAATAGGCAGCTAGTTTGTTTTCAGTTTGCACACTAAATTAGCAAATGAACTTCGGTGACTAAAATTAAATTTGCATTAGAGCTGCCATGTCTAACCTATGGCCCGCGGACCGCATGTGGCCCTGGACAGCTAGTAATGCGGCTCCGTAGGATCGTATAAAAATATTTTTAAAATGTTATTTATATACATTAACTATAGTATATATTTTATATGCAACCCAAGACAATTCCTCTTCACTCAATGCAGCCTAGGCAAGCCAAAAGATCCATGCTTTTTAGAGCAGTGTTTCTCAAACTTCACAAACAGAGCTCTGGTAGCGCAGCAGACTAAAGCACTGTTATTAACAGTGTTATTAACACCAGCTGCCTGCAATTACTGCAAGTTCAAATCTCACCAGGTTCAAGGTTGACTCAGCCTTCCATCCTTTCTAAGGTAGGTAAAATGAGGACCCAGATTGTGGGGGCAATATGCTGACTTTATATAAAATATACAAAAGTATGAAGGCAATTGCTTAACGCATTGTAAGCCGGCCTGAGTCTCCGTAGAAGGGCGGCATATAAATCAAATTTAAAAAAACACAAAAACTTGGCAACCTGATGATGGATGGACTTCAGCTCCCGGAATTTCCCAGTCAGCTATGCTGAGAGTTGAAGTCCACCCATCCTCAAGTTGCCAAGGTTGAGAAACACTGCTTTTGAGTATGTGTGCAAAGGAACACGCCACATTCTGGATTCATATCTTTCTCTTATAAAAGAGCGCATGGCTGAAGAGAAACCTGCAGCATAACCCACCTGCTTTGTGGGCAAAATATCTCAGGCTCCTTTAAGAAAGAGACAGGAGGAAATGATGGGAAAGACCTAGTGCTTTCCAAATCCTGGACAAGCAGATAATTCAAGGCAGAGATGTGTAGTGTTTGGATCTGAAGTGGGCAGGCCTTCCTGGCAAACCTCTCTGGGCATCAGATGGGATGGAGACAGGACAGATGCCTCCTGCAGTACCCACCCAGCCAAAACGGGGCACGGGGGCACGTGTGCTCTACCTGTGCTCCCTTTTCAGCCTGGATGGCCTTCTGCAGCACTTTGCTGGCCAAAATGGGGGGGGGGGTGTCCACACTTGTCCCCATATGCCCTGTTTTGGCTGCCAGAGGCACTGCGGGCTGGTCCTTTTGTCAGCTTTGGAAGCCATATTAGGCCAGAAGCTTCCATGCTGCCACCTTCTCACATATGGGAAAGTAGGAGGGGGGATTTAGTAGAGGGGTTGTCTGTACACATAATAGCATTCTTCCTGCCGGTCAAGGTCAGGCCAATCCTGCATCTGGAAAAGAAGTGGTCGTAGTGCTGTCTTGAGATGGGACGGATGCAGTGGTGGGGTTCAAATTTTTTACTACCGGTTCTGTGGGCGTGGCATGGCTTGGTGGGCATGGCTTGGCAGGCGTGGCAGGATACTGTAAAATCTCCATTCCCATCCTACTCCAGGGGAAGGATACTGTAAAATCTCCATTCCCTCCCCAATCCAGGGGAAGGTTTATTTGTTTATTTATTGGTTCGATTTATATGCTGCCCTTTTCCGGAGACTTAGGGCAGCTTACAATGCGTTAAGCAATAGCCTTCATACCTTTGTATATACCTGCTTAGTAGGGCTTTTGGCCCCCCCAAGCGGTGTTCTTTTTTATACAAAGTCAGCTTATTGCCCCCACAATTCGGGTCCTCATTTTACCTACCTCGAAAGGACGGAAGGCTGAGTCAACCTTGAGCCTGGTGAGATTTGAACTTGCAGTAATTGCAGGCAGCTGGTGCTACTTAACAGCACTTTAGTCTGCTGTGCCACTAAGGCTCTTTGCAGGTTATTGCAAAATCTCCATTTGCTCCCGATCAGCTGGGACTCGGGAGGCAGAGAATAGATGGGGGCAGGGCCAGCCAGAGGTGGTATTTACCGGTTCTCCGAACTACTCAAAATTTCCGCTACCGGTTCTCCAGAACTGGTCAGAACCTGCTGAAACCCACCTCTGGACGGATGGTGATTGGAGCATGTGACCGACTGAGGAGTGAGGGGATGGTTTTGGGGGTTTTGATTTACTGAGGGAAAACCTGGACCTCTCAGATTTGGGTTTTCCCAGATGTGCCAGTTTACCTATTCTAGTAAATAGAACTTTGAAAAATGCTTGCTTCAGAGTTTTTACTTGGAGTTGGGTTTTTTTCTGGAATGCTGAAACCTTTGCTATTTCCAAGCCAGCCGTGCGGGCCAGATTTAAGCACCCCGCAGGCTGGATCCGGCCTGCGGGCCTTAAGTTTGACACCCCTGTTCTATACCATCCCTGCTTACAGGTAGTTAACAGTTGACTTATAACTGATCGATGGTGACCTTTTGAGATTCCGATGGACTACCCAAAAGGTACTTACAAACCAGTTCCAAAGTTCTGATGGATACCCCACCCCCCGCAGTCATGTGACTGTATTTCAGGTACTCAGCAACTGGCCTGCATTAATGGCCGTTTGCAACATCCTGGGGTCATGTGACCGCAGTTTACATTTTTGCAGAAAACTCGTGTTTACTTGCAGTTTTGGGCAAATATGTACCATAGCGAACAATAAATTCAGTTAACAACCATGGTGTTCGCTTAATGACTGCAGATTCACTTAATGACAATGCTGACTTGTTTAACTACCACCAACCCTCTCAAAAAGGTAAAATTGGATCAGTCACGTGATTATGACCGTTAATGGGCAGGTTCCATTAAGGACATAAGTCAAGGAGTCCCTCTATTACAGAAGTACATGTTCATGCTTACTTGGCAACACGGGACAAAATCTCCTTGACTCGGACCACCAGCCTTTCATGTTGTATAGGATTGCTCTCAATGGTGCTGTGAAGCTTTGCCATGTAGAAATCAAGCGTGTTCATTGTGGGGGTCTCACCTGTGCCTGTTGGAAAGAATCCCATTAACTGCTTGAGCACCAATTAGTAACCTTGCTTAATTAACATTGTGTAGGCTACTCTGAAGATAGCAGAAAACAAATCTGGAAATCTTATCTGGACATAACTTTACAACAACCAAGAGTTAAACACTTGCATTTTTAACAAAGTAAAACATGCTGTTCAGAATGGTTTCTCAATGACGTATTTTGTTTTCCTACTGTATGGTTACAGAACACGTTGACCTGATTCAGAGTGATGACAATGCATAAATTTGCTTCCCCTCCATTTTCCATTTTAGCTCTAAAATGTAAAGCTGGAATCTAGCAAGTATCTAATTGGAAGAAATCAAGAAGTTTTCCAGTCAAGCTTATATCCCAGAAATGCTTGTAGCACCCGTAGAAATCTGATTTGCTTCTGCTGCTGGCATCTATTTTCCCTCACCCTAACCCTAACCCCTCCCCAATTTCCTATTGCCTTTTTTTCAGTAGCCTTCAGCTTTCATCCATTTATTCAATGATTGCTAAAAGTTCAGCAGCACTGAAAAAGCAGACATATGACTGACTGGTCATTAACGTTTCAGCTGTCACAGCAACCCTACAGCCATATGATTGTTATCTGGGCATTTAGGTGCCTGGCTTGCAATTATAACCTCACAGGGAGGTTACATAATCAGTCACATTATTATGATTTTCACTTTTCTCTGACGGCTTCCCACAAGCAACCACGACTGGGAAGCCAGTAGGGAAGGTTGCAAGTTGCTCTAGTCTAGGGGTCCCCAACCCCTGGTCTGTGAACCAACACTGGTCCTTGGCATGCCAGCAACTGGGCCACGCCAACAAATGAAGCCCCATCCGCGGGATGCAGGCAGTATAAGAAACCATGCCTCCCTCCAATCTGTGAAAAAACCTCTCTCCACAGAACCAATCCCTGGTGCCCCCTTGGGAGCCACTGCTCTAGTAAGTCACTCCTGCTTTTTCTCCATCCACAGCACAACTGCATTCATTTATCTTGGTCTACAACCTAAGTACAGCGGTACCTCAGTACTCACCGTTAATTGGTTCTGGGAGGTGCAATGAATACAAAAAAATGATGAGTACCAAGCACATTTTTCCCATGAGGAATAATGTACCGTGTTTCCCTGAAAATAAGACAGGGAGTTATTTTCTTGTGACCCCCCCCGAAATAAGCACTTGGCCTTATTTTCAGGGAGGTCTTATTATTTTTGAGGTGCAGGAGGTGACCTGCGTGGTCACCTCATGTCTGCTGCTGACACAGCCGCTTGTCGGCTGTTCGCCCCTGAGGCCGTGCACATGCTTCCAGCCATGGTTCCCAGGACTCTGCACCATGCCGTCGGCCTGGCCATGCCACTACGACCGGATGTCCCGTCGCCGCTGTCACCTCTCTGTTCATCGCTAATGGCTTTTGCGGCGGCCATTAGCGTGACAGAAGGGGGGCGGTGGCTAGGGTTGTGGGAGCGGCTGTTAGGTAAGGGTGTGTGGGGTGCATGGGGCATGTTCCCCCCTCCCTTCTCCCCCTCCGGCCTCGCCTCCTCACCTCATGTTGTTTGCGCGGCAAGCAGAGGAAATGGCAGGGACCGGCTGCGTATGTGTTTAAATATTTTCGGGGAGGGCTTATTTTGAGGGAAGGGCTTATTTTAGCCCATGCGCTCAAAAGCCTGATTGGGTTTATTATCCGGGGAGGTCTTATTTTCAGGGAAACAGGGTATGAGTCACAAGGTAGCCAACATGAACATGTTCTAGCTTGTGCCAAACAAACAATGAGTCCCAGGACAAAATTTTCATGTCAAAATGCGTCAAGTACCAAACTCAATGAGTTTCAAAGCAGTTGAGTACCAGGGTACCACTGTATAAATAACAGGCCTGTCTAAATCCAAAGTGTTTTTTCTTTCAGCAATAATCTTGGTGCAAGTCTCCAAATGGAGACTGGATGGTCATTTGTCAATTCCTCTAATGAAGAAGGGGTTGGACTAGATGAAATCAAAGATCTTTCCCAACTCTTAACAGTTCTATGATGGAAATGTTTTTCTATGCAGAGACAGACTTCCTGAAAGGACCCTGAAGAGTTTGTCCAAATCTTCTGGTAAATATCACCACCTCAACACTCTTGCATTTGTAAGAAAGTAAAACTTGATATTGTAGAATGGGACAGTGTTTTGCTTGTGGCACTGCCATGATCGATGCACTGCTAAAAGATTTATAGAATAACAGAGTTGGAAGGGACCTTGGAGGTCTTCTAGTCCAACCCCCTGCTTAGGCAGGAAACTCTTCAGACAAATGGTTATCCAATCTCTTCTTTAAAACTTCCAGTGTTGGAGCATCCGCAACTTCTGGAGGCAAGTTGTTCCACTGATTAATTGTTCTGTCAGGAAATTTCTCCTTAGTTCTAGGTTGCTTCTCTCTTTGATTAGTTTCCATCCATTGCTTCTTGTCCTGCCTTCTTTGGTGCTTTGGAGAATTGCTTGACTCCCTCTTCTTTGTGGCAGCCCCTGAGATATTGGAACACTGCTATCATGACACCCCTAGTCCTTCTTTTCATTAAAATAGATATATCCAATACCTGACTGCTATACACAAGTGTTGCAAAGCATGCAACACTTGTGTGTAGTGTCTCCTAAATTGGCAGGGGAAGCATTGTCAAACTAAAACTCTCCAGTACCTGGAATGGGAAGGCTGGCAAAACTGGCTGTCAGAGCTTGGCGCACCGTCTGGAGCTGTTGCTGCAATGCCATTGTCTGCCTCTCCTCCAGTGCAAGCTCCTGCTCTAGGCGCTCCTTGGCGCAGCTCATGCTCTCTGTGTGCTTCTGCAGGATGGCATTCTGCTCCTCAAACTCCGTGTTCATCTTACGCAGTCTCCGCAGCTCTGCTTCCCGGGCTGCTCCAGCAAAGAGAAAGGGAAAACAGGAGGACCAGAATTAAAAAAAGAGGGGAAAAAACAAAGATCACAATCCTGCTTTTTCAACCTCTGTTTCCAGTCCATGATAAAAATAGGCAACTGCTTGCTATAACCTTCTCCAATTTGACACCTTTCAGATGTGTTAGTTATAGCGCTCAGAATTCCCTGACTTTGACTGTGTTGGTTGGGAATTTTTAGGGGTACCAGAGAGAAGTTAGATTTCTGGACAGTCTATTTGTCTTCCATAACGTCCTAGCAAAAAGTAGACTCAACTCTAATGGCCTTGAATGAATGTAGCCAGGTGGGTTTATCTATGTAATTTGAACCGTGCACTGTTTGTCTTCTCCTATAATCCCTAGATAAATGATTCTGGAAGATTTAGTATCTAAGGAGAAATCACAACTGGAACAACAAGGAAAGATCTCCTAAGTGTTTTATGAAGAAAGTCAAAGCAAAAAGTGAGCTGGTTCAGACATTGCACAAAGCAAACACATCATAAAGTCAAGGGGGTTTATTTTTGGACTTAGCATGCACTAGGAATAAAGATACTGTTCCTTTTATGTTTTAGCTCAATTTGTGAACTGGACCAACTGTAATTTAATAAACGGTTATTAACAGAAGAATAAAGACTGTTAATCTAGGCATTTGCTTTAGAATAAATGTCTCTGGAGATTCTCAGTCATCCAGGTCATGGTTGTCCCAAAGGTGCTGTTTCAAGAGGCAACCGGACTTTCTGGTTTTTCTTTTCTTTTCTTTTCTTTGAAGATGTTTTGCTTCTCATCCAAGAAGCTTCTTCAGATCTGACTGGATGGTGAGGAATCGAAGGATTTACAAGAAAAATCAGGAAGTCTTGTTGCCTCTTGAAAAAGGACCTTAGAATAGTTCTTAGAACGTGCCTTTTGTGCCAATATCCATCTCTAGCATTAAAGATTTCCACTCTTTCAGTGATTAATGCGGCAATCTCTTTTCCATTGCAACTGAAGGCAAAAAAGCTCAATTCCAGATTTTCTAACCATTTTAAGTCAAGCTGGTCCTCCTTCCTCAAGTCAATTCACGTTTTAATAGCGCCTCAACTTTCCTAGAAAATTTGGGCATCTTTAATTTCAAATCTATCTTCACTGTGTGTCAAAACTTCATTGTAAAATATCTCTGTTGTATATAAAGAAATAGGAAAGGCAGCATCCCCCTTATATACACTCCAGGGGTGAAATTCGACCGGATCAGACTGGCTCGGATGAACCAGTAGGGACAATTTGAATCAGTTCGCTGAACCCATAAAAATCACCCCTGGTTGGCCCCGCCCACACCCGCCTGGTCGCTCGCTCGCTACTCACCTCTTCCGGCCACTTGCTCGGCCCTTCTGGCCGATATTCCACAGAATTCAACGTTAAATGCAGCAGAGAGAATCCGAACTTTTCTCCTTCCATTCACAGTGGAGCTGCCGCAGCCTGTCCCTTTAAGGTAGTCCCCGGGAGGGAGAGGGCCAGGGTGGGGACCATAAAGGGAGCAGAAGCTCTGCTGTGAATGGAGGGAGAAAAGTTTGGCTTCTCTCTGCCACAGCATTCACTATGAGCCCTTCTCGTGCTCATACACACATTTTTTCCTACCGGGTTCTGTGGGCGTGGCTTGGTGATGGTGGGATCATGTGACTGAGTGGGCATGAGTGACATTGAGTTGGCCACACCCACTCAGTCACAGGACCCCCACCCCCACCCCCAAGCCACACCCACAGAACCGGTAGGAAAAAAAATTGAATGTCACCACTGATACACTCACTCAGTCCAACAATTCATTCCTATCAGATCTGAGATTCAGGTTGCAGCCATTGCTTGTGGCTTTTGGAAGGTGGCACAGTGGGAAGAAATGTTATTTGGTATGCCACAGTTTCCATAAGGGAAACCACCCTATCTTAACACTGACTAGATTTCAACAGTTTCTTTTGTACCTTTGTTCTGGTCTAAGAATTCCTCTGTAAAAATAGGGACATCAAATGTTGAGAAGCCATCACTGCCCCCTTCTCCAATCTGCAAGAAAAGATAGGTAAGAAAGCTAGCCAAAAAGCATTAATAACTTAAAGGTTATATATTTTTCCCAGCTTGGCATGGAAACACTGAAAATGTGGGAACTATGTTTCCACAGAGCCTTAGAAGATAATATCCTTTCTTTTTCAGAATTAGCAATGAAAGGTTGGGTATTGCAATGGAGCTACTACACTATACATTAATGTGCTATAAGTCTGGCATCAACGCTTCAGGACAAAGCTAACAGGGATTAAAACAAAGCTTATATCTATGATTCTTCTTATAGTTGAGACGTCACAGCAGTTAATAAAAAGAACACAGCCACCATTAATTTAATGCTCAAGAAACTAAAATGGTATTATCTAGGCGATGCCAAATGGATTTTTTCTTAGAAGTGAACATATCGTTAATTGTTCCCCTAATTTTCAAATCAGTAGGATGTTAAGACTACAAACGGAACGCTTTCATGCAAATTCTAAATCTAATGTCTAGATCAAAAACTACATCGACATAACTGCTTTCCTGGAGTTTATCTGGAGTTTTTAGGCTCAGATTTTTCATTTTTTTTTTTCCCCAGATAGAAATGTTTTGAAATTGCAGCTCGGTTGCACTAACTACTGCCGGGTATGTGTATGTATGTGTGTACCTAGAGAAAGTGTACTCTTCACATTCAATATGCTAGATAAAAGGCAAAGCAAATGGATGGTGAAATATCTTACCTAAATGACTAGTAACTAGAAAATCAACATAATCACAATTTCTCATTTTCAGGTTTGAAATTTCTAAAAGCAAAATCTGAAGGGTGTCAAACTGGATTTCTTTGAGGGCCGGATCAGCACTGAAGTTCTCCTCCGTGGGCCAGTGGGAGAGGAGGGGGCAGGGAGCGGGGAAGGGAGACCGGACAGACGCCTCCTGCAGCACCCTGCTGGCCACAATGGGGCGGGGGGGCACACACGCCCTCTCTGCACCTCAATTTCACCCTCGATGGACTCCTGCAGCACTCTGCCAGCCAAAAATGGGCTGCCTCGAGGCCTCATGGGGCGTTCGCATGTCCCGCTTTCGGCCTCCCCAGCTTCCAGCAACACTCACGAGGCCTCCATGCAGCCCATTTTTGGCTAGCTGGAGGCTGGGCAGATTGAAAATGGGCTGCAGGGGACCGCATGCGGCCCATTTTGTCCGGCAGAGTCACCGCGGGCTGGTCCTTTGATAATTCCAGGCCGGCCCCACAGGACAGATTTAAGCACCCCAAGGGCCAGATCCACCCCATGGGCCTTGAGTGTCACACCCCTGCCTTACACCCTGACAAATTACCTTGTATCCATTCAGCAATGTGTTCACAGTTCCAGCACCAGCGTCCTCTAAAATAATATTTTTTAAAATAAAAAAATTAGTTAATCAAAGCAGCTATCAAGGAGCTGATAATGTAGCCATGATCTGAATTGAATCCCTCCTAAGGCTTATAACTTCAAGCAGAGGGGAGGAAAGGGAATATGCAAGGAAAATAAGAGACTGATAAATAAGACTTTACAGCTGGAAATTTAACTAATCAGGAGTATCTGATTGTGGGCAAAATTTGTTTACCCCTTTGGAGATCAGGAAAAAAAAAATCCAAGGAGGAACAAATTGTCTTCGGAAGTTGTGGGTGCCCCATCACTGGAGGCTTTTAAGAAGAGACTGGACACCCATTTATCAGATATAGTATAGGTCTCCTGTAAGAGCAGGGAGTTGGACCAGATCAAGGGTCCCCGATCAGCGGGTGCCAGCCCAGTACCGGGCTGTGGCCTATTGGGAACCAGGCCACACAAGAAGTGGGCTGGCACACATGCACGCAGCTCCACTTGTACGAGCAGTGGGCTGGTATACACATGCGCAGAGCCACCATTCACACGAGTGGAGCAGTACACACATGCACACTGGCCCACTGCTCTGGTTCTCCTCTTCCTTTACCCCAGCCAGGCTGCCAAGCTGCAAAGATTGGGAATCACTCAACTAGATCACTTCCAAGATATTGCATTACTGTTGCTATTATGGTTATTGTTACTGGAGCCTCCTTTTTCCCCACCAATGAGGCATCAAATCAAAATTGCAAGGAAACCTCTGCCAGTCTTTATGGGATCTTATCTAAAACGACTTAGTCTGCAAGTAAAGCAGAAAATTCTCATTCCTACATACAATATTGCTTGCAACTTTGTCTTAGGTAAGCTCATTTGAAAGTAGGATTCAGTATGATGTATACATCAAAGGAATGGCTGGCTAACTGTTATGTAACCATCATCCTACATCAAAACATAAATAGGCGGTATTCTTGTAGACAAATTTCCACTGCTCCATTTTATTTATTTATTTATTTATTTTATTCGGCTTATATGCCGCCCTATCTCACAACAGACTCAGGGCAGCTCACAACAATAAAACACAAGCCACAATAAAAATAAAGACTAAAATCTAAAAAATTTAAAATTAACCCATTAAAACCCTTAAAACCCCGTCATCAGACCAGGTCAAGGGATTTTCCCGGGTGGGTTCTTTTTAAAAGAGCAATTACAAAGAAGGCTGAGAAATTAGCTGGTGGGGAAGTGGGACAGCACCAGCGTCCTCTAGGAAGTGGGAAATCTGTAAGTCGGGGGTTCTTAATCTTTTTTGTGCCATAGACCAGTGGCCCCCAACCTTTTGGGCATCAGGGACCGGTTCTGTGGAGAGAGGTTTTTCTGTGGCCTGGAGGGGGCATGTGTTCTGACCTAGGCTTCCCCAAACCATGAAGCAGACTCCTTGTCCCAACAAAACCCCCTTTTATTTAATTTACAGTGAATTCCTCTCCAGCAAAGTCTTTCTTCTCCCAATCTTTCAAGATAGTTCAGACCTTTATCAGGCTTGGAGAGTGGCCAGGCCAATTATCTTTCAGATGCCGCAGTACTTGGCAAGAACAGGGTGGATAAAAATCAATGATTTTTTTAAAAAAATAAAGAAAATCAGATTTTTTTTATTTAAATCGGATTTTTTTGATTTAAATCGGATTTTTTTTTATTTTTATCAAATTTATTTTAATAAAAAACTTTTGGGGTAAAAATCTATTGTAAGATAGTTTTCTATTTAAGATACATAAATAATTTAGTTTATTCAGCATGAAATGGAGCTTAGTTATGTAGCACGAGGCTGTATATTCTGCAACACTGGGACTATCGGTGAGTCAACAGTGGGTCAAAGGAGTAGCAGAGATGACAGTTGCTCTTTAAAAATTATGATTTAAATCGAGTTGATTTAAATCAAGCCTTTTTACTAGGGATTTAAATCATGATTTAAATTGTGATTTAAATCAACTCGATTTAAATCAAATCCACCCTAGACAAGAATGCAGTAATGAACTAATTGTCCCCTGCAAACTCCACTCCCCTTTCACTCCTCTTTTATTCCCTCTGGGAGGGGCCATTCATTGTCCATCTGTGGCCTTACTCCCAAGTCGACCCTTGTTCTCCAGCTGTTCTCTTCATCTGGCAGCTCTGCATATGTGCACACTGGGAACAGGCTCCAGCTGCTCGTCTGCCTCATTGATGTCTGACTCCAAAGGCAGCTAATAACTGGCATACGGCCTTGGCCCCCTCTCTGCCTCCGATGCAGAGCCCTCATCAGAGCCTTCCCCAGACCCCAGGACTGGCTCATGTTCCTCCCCAACCTCCTCACTGTCCATATCTGCTGCCAGATCCGCTGGCCGCTGGCAGGCCACAACAGCATGGTTTTGCATCCTGCCTGCATCCCATGGATGGGGCTTCGCTTGTTTGCGCAGCCCGGTTTCTGACATGCTGCAGCCCGGTGCCAGTCCATGGATTGGGACTTGGGTACCCCTGCCGTAGACATTGAGGCTGGTAAAGCCTACACACCTCTTTTCAGCAAAGAAATGTATTTAAATACATAAAAATATGTAGACAGAAATGGTATTACAAAGTTAAGAAGCCTTTCTTGGAGTCCATTAATTACTTCGTTGCATGCATACATTACTGAATGAAAAGCTAAATGTGTCCCTTGAGAGCAACAATATGAGGAAGAAAGATAATAATGGTGAATCCCTAAGAGACAACTTGTACAATTCCTGTATGATGGATTTTCAAGTATCAAATGCAACTGCAAAACTGACCTTTTTTAATTTTCTTCTCTTGCATCTTCTCCGCACACAGCTTGTAAGCTTCTGATTGCTGGTATTCCCGCAGCTCCTTCATGTATTGCTGCTTCTCCCGTTCAGCCTCATCCAGATAGCGCTGAAAACACAGGAAAAGTTATGACTGACCCAATCCATAAACTCCATCTCTCTCTTTAACCTGTGTCTCAAAGGGGCTTTTTTCAGGAGACAACTGGACTTCCTTGTTTTTTCTTTGAAGATGTTTCTCTTCTCATCCGAGAAGCTTCTTCATCTCTGTGACAGGATAGTTGGGAATGGAAGGATTTATATTCCTTGCAGACAGCTGGTCATTTGCATCCTTTTAGAGGGTCATTGAAGCCCTTGGAGGTTTATCTGTGTCTTCAGGGTCACCTGAGTATTGCTCCTGGTTCCTTTAGTCTGCCATTTCCCCCCCACTCCTACTCCCACACCATTCAAAGGTTGTTCATCTCAAATTCTATAGTTAAAGTCTGTAGAAATTCTCTGTCATCCAGGTCGTGGTCAAAGAAAAAACAAGAAAGTTTAGTTGCCTCCTGAAAAAACACATTTGCAACAACCATGACCTAGATGACTGAGAATCTCTACAGACTCTTTATCCCGTGCTTATTGAAACATGCTTATAATCTTAGAAACTCATAATATGCCAATATGGGTAGTCCTCGACTTACAATTGTTTGTTAGTTGACTGAAATTACAACAGCACTGAGAAAAGCGACTTATGACATTTTTCGCACTTACAACCGCTGCAATATCCCAGTAGTCCAGAGGTGGGTTTCAGCAGGTTCTGACCAGTTCTGGAGAACCGGTAGCGGAAATTTTGAGTAGTTCGGAGAACCGGTAGTAAAAATTCTGACTGGCCCCACCCACATCTATTCTCTACCTCCCAACTGATCAGTCCTAGCTGATCAGGAGGAAATGGGGATTTTGCAGTAACCTTCCCATGCCACGCCCACCAAGCCATGCCACGCCCACCAAGCCACACCCACAGAACCGTTAGTAAAAATTTTTGAAACCCACCGCTGCAGTAGTCCCATGATTAAAAATTCAGATGCTTGACAGCCGGCCTCTATTTATGACAGTGGCAGTGTCCTGGGTGAATGTGATCACCTTTTGTTACCTTCTGACAACCAAAGTCAATGGGGAAGCCACATTCACTTAACAACCGTGTTACTAATTGCAGTAATTCACTCAACAACTATGGTAAGAAGGGGCATAAAAATGGGGAAAACTTCACTTAACTGTCCTGCTTAGCAACGGAAATATTGAGCTCAACTGTGGCATAATTCGAGGACTACCTGTAACCAGTGGTGGGATGCTGCCGGTTTAACAACTGGTTCGGTGATTGTGTGCTTTGTGAGCATGCGCCTAACGCACACTGTGAGTGCGGGCACAATTTTAAAAACAATAAGACTGACTTTACTAAATCTGCACTACTATTAATCTTGTCATCGTTCCTATCACCCATCTCCTCCCACTTATGACTGTAACCTTGTTGCTGCTATTCTTATGATTTATATTGACTGTTTCCTAATACGATTTGATTGCTTATTTGTACCCTATGACTATCATTAAATGTTGTATCTTATGATTCTTGATGAATCTATCTTTTCTTTTATGTACACTGAGAGCATATGCACCAAAGACAAATTCCTTGTGTGTCCAATCACACTTGGCCAATAAAGAATTCTGTCCTATCCTATCCTATCCTATCCTATCCTATCCTATCCTATCCTATCCTATCCTATCCTTCTGTGTTACCACTTGGAAGTAACACAGCTGAGGCACAGCAATCCCCTCTGCCGCGCCAAACAGCTGAGAAGATAAAGGTAAGTAAAGCGCAGAGGCGGGCGGGCCAACCTGATCGTTGGAGCGAATGGGTTTGCTCCCAGCTGATCGTCGGAACTACCGGTTCGCCTGAACCGGTCTGAACCGGTAGAATCCCACCCCTGCCTGTAACTGGCAACTGGCTTCGGATTTTGAAGGAATAGAATAGAAAAAGGGATTGATGTTATTGAACTTTGGTGTTGGAAAAGACTTCTATGAATACCACAGATAGCCAAGAAAACAAACAAATGGATCACTGAATACCCAGACTTCTCAATCAAGGCACAAATGGTCAGGCCCAAATTATTTTATTTCAGATAGATTATGTGAATAAAGAAGACGACCAGCAGCATAGTGGGTTAATTCAATTATAGCAATGATGGGTCACTGATGGGAGTCCTGAAGGGTCAGGTTGTGGACAATTACCCAGAAGAAAATCCAACTGTGTGGTCACTAGGAACCAATCTGATAGCACCTAATCAGACACCTGATTACAATAAAAACAGAATTCAATAACAGCAGAATTCAAAATTGTAGAAGCAAAACTGTAATAGTAACTTCTAGATCAGGGATGTCAAACTCGATTTCATTGAGGGATGCATCAGGGTTGTGTTTGACCTGGGGGGGGGGGTTGCCAGGGTGGGCATGGCCAGCTCAATGTCACTCGTGTCAGGGGCGCCTGTGGTGGCCCAAACACTCTACCAGCAAAAATGGGCTCCCAAGCTCCGTTTTCGGCCATGATGGCCTCCTGCAACCCTCTGCCAGCAAAAATGGAGCTCAGGAGGGCCATGTGTGGGCCTCCCAAAATCCGTTTTTGCTGGCAGAGGCACCGTGGGCCAGTCCTTTGCTGTTTCCAGGGCAACCCTGCGGGCCAGACCTAACCACCCCGTGGGCTGGATCTGGCCTGCGGGCCTTGAGTTTGACACCCCTGTTCTAGATTAACATTAGATAAGGACAAAATGCAGGTAGTCCTCCACTTACGACCATAATGGAACATATAATTAAGGGCGAAGGTTATGCTGGTCGTTAAGCAGGTTATCATGTGACCCTATCCAATTTTATAACCTTTATTTTGAGGCAGTCATCATGCTAACATTCCAGTTGTAAAGCAAACCTACTGTTCACAGTGAGTGTATTGTTGTTGTTTTTTTACTGGAAATTGGAAGTAAACTGGTTTCTAGCAAAAAACCTGACATAAATTGCAGTCACGGGACGCTGCAAATGCTCATAAATGCAGGCTGGTTACCTAAAAAATTGCAATCATGTGATCTGGAGTGGAGGGGGGGCATAAGAAGTTTGAATTCAGGTTGTACCTTTGGTGGGGGGGTCTGTTGTAAATTTGAATGGTTGCTAAGGGATCGATTATAAGCTGAGGGAACCCAGAAATAAGATTTGACACTTATTTGTGCCTAACAATCATATTTGGTATTTCTGCTGGCTTCAGAAAATCTTACGTATTTCCATGTTCTCTCACCTGCTTTTCTGTGGGCTGTAGTTTACTCCACTCTGCTCCCAACATTTTTGTGATCTCAGGGAAGGGCAAATCTGGGCGCTGCATGCGAATTTGCTCCCGTCGTTCATTCAGAAAGCGGACGTAGCCTGTCACGGGGGCCTTCGGTCCATTTGGAAGGATTTTCTTCCTCTTCTTGCCTTTCGGCCAGCCCCGCTTTTTCACTGGCTGCCCACAGTGGAAACAAAAAAGTTTGGGTCACTTTGCTCTGGTCACTCCTGCCATTTCTGGAAGCCTGTGTTCAGGGCTGCCACCACATATTTGTGGCAATCCCACACAAGCAAAAGGAAAAATCCTGAACTGCAATCCTGGTTGTGGAAATCAATATACGTGGAATCTCCGACTATACTCTAAACTGAAAGTTTCTAGTCCTCAGAAATCTAGAGACATCCTTGAAAGGATGGAGCACAGTAGAACTGGGGCAATTGGATGGAGCTGAGAGTTTACTGGCTGGATGCCCATCCTAACGCCTATATGGAGTTCTCAGCAGTTTTTTTTTTTCTTTGCACCCTATGAAACATCTGCCATGCCTAGGATTGAACTCTCAACCTTCCGAGTGGGAGGCAAGCATCTTCATCACTAGGCTACCATGCCGCTCAAGAAAGCATAATTAATCTATCAAAAAGTTAAAGTCTTATGCAAGTTGAGCTAGACTCCTAGTAATTTCATCCATGTAGCTTTCTTTGCAACAATGTAGAAGCTGTTTGCTATTTTTTTCTGAATGTTTAAAACTCCCAGTCCAGCCAATAATTCTGCTACAATGTTTTTGATGACTTCTCATTCAAATACAACTAGGTATGCTTAGTATTATGAAGTACAAATAGAGCTTTGGCTGACGTTGTCACTGGGCTGAGTGATCTAATCTATGCATCACCAAATTCAACAATTAAAACTTTTTAAAGCAAAGTCTGTCCATTGTTATTTTGACACTTTCAAAATTCCGAACGCCTTCACTCTGCTAAACAAAAAATTCCCTCAACACTGTCAAACTATTCACTAAGTCTGCATTGCTATTAATCTTCTCATCATTTCTATCACCCATCTCTTCCCACTTATGCCTGTATGACTGTAACCTTGTTGCTTGTATCCTTACGATTTATATTGATTGTTTCCTAATATGATTTGATTGCTTATTTGTATCTTATGACTATCATTAAGTGTTGTACCTTATGATTATTGACAAATGTATCTTTTCTTTTATGTACACTGAGAGCATATGCACCAAAGACAAATTCAGTTTCAGTTTCAGTTTCAGTTTATTTAAATTTATATACCGCCCTACTCCTGAAGGACTCAGGGCAGTGAACAGCCATAAATAAAACAAATATAATATAAAATTTAAAAACAAGTTAAAAGACATATTAAATAGATTTGGCCCACTAATTAAAACACCCCTATTTTTAAGAACAGATCCGAATTAAAATTAAACTCCTTATGCACGGGTGACGGTGCATAAGGAGTCCCGATCCAGAAAGGAACGCAACTGGCGAATCAGGCGAACCTGATAGAAAGTCCCCCTGGCCACAGCCGTCAGATGTTCTTCTAAGGACAGCCATGTATCCAGGAGGACACCCAAGTTGCGAGCCCTCTCCGTGGGGGCCAACGACTCGCCCCCAATAGCCAGCGATGGTACCAGCTGGCTATATTGGGACGCCAGAAACCACTTGGTGGTCCTTGTGTGTCCAATCACACTTGGCCAATAAAGAATTCTATTCTATTCTAAATGCTATAAATACACTCCAATTATATCACTCATAGGCCCCAATCACTAGATTTCCTGCTGACTGCTCTTTTTTTTTGTAACACTTCCTATGACAGCTAATCAAAATTTTGCAGTGGGAATCGGGGAAAATGCTAAGATGATATTACATCCTGATTTACTAAGGACATTTCCCTTCTCAGGTTATCTAGGTTTTAAAAATAAATCAGAGTCCTTCGGGAGAAGGGCGGTATAGAAATAAAAAAAAAAAATCAAAATTGACAAGTATGTTTATATGGACGCACCAGGGGGCTCACCTCCTCTTCGCCATGGGGCTTTTCCCCAATTAACCGAGGGGCCTCGCCTTTCTCCTGTTTAATAGCCACTAGGAAGTTCCCATGTTGAGCTTTACTTGCAGCGTTCCTATAATCCAAAATTACAAGCAAAGATTTCCACAATAGCAATGGAGAACTTCAAAACATTCCAAATCTACCATTAAAACTAAAACAGATTTAGGGACATAGCTAAAGAGTTAAAGGAATCAATAAGAACAGAAGAGAAAAATAAAATGTAGGATTATTTGTTTTAAAAAAAAAACCCAATGAAACACAATCAGACTTTTGATTAGTTTTGAAATCTTAAAAAAAACACTGTATTTAAACTTAAATACATAAAGCATTAAATGAAAAACAAATCCTCCTAGTTGAAAAGACTGTTTCAATACAATGACTCACTGGGCATGTCCAATTTGTTTTCAGTTAAGAATTGTAACAGGAATATTAAACCACTATAGAAACAAGTATGCAAATACACACAGCTCATTTGCTCTACTCATTCACTCAGAATGTGAAGAGACAGGATGCAAAATGTTTTATTCAACCAACAGCTGAGATAATAAGCAACCCACATGCAAGTTTAAATTGGTACCCGAGTCATCTATGTGTGAGTTGGGCCGCTATATAAATTTGTTTAATAAAGAAATGATCCTACCTTATTTGGGCACACACAAAAAATACAAGTTTGGGTTCAGTCATTAGTGTAAGTTACATGTCTAATTTGCTTAGAAGAAGAACCAACAGGAAGCATCCTCTAAGATGTAGCTTGCTCACGTGATTGGTTATTAAGCCAGTTTGGTGTAATTGGTAAAGTGCAGGTGTAAAAACCAAGAGACTCCGATTTCTAGTTCTCCCTTAAACATGAAAACTGGCTGAGTCACTTTAGGCCAGTCCTCCTCTCTCTGTCTAAGTCACCTCACAGGATAGTTGTGAGAGGGAAAAAGAAGGTAAGAAAAAGATGTACATCCCCTTGAGTTGTAGAAAATAGAAATAGAATATAAATATGTAGATAAACAAACCTATGTGTGGGACAGTGCCATGAAAACGTAGTCAGGGCTGGTAAATTTCAAAAATGAAAGAGGGATTTTAGAAGCCGGCCAGGAAAAAGAGATTTTGCATGTATTCAAGATGCAGGATTTCACGATTTGAGTATTTAAACATTTAACAGTATTTGTAACTATTCAAAATAGGTTTAGGGAAAGTTTTAGATATGAGTTAGGTCAGTGATCACTAACCTCTTTGCCGTTGCGTGCCAAAAGCTGGGGGAGCACGGGAGGTTGCCCATGTGTGTGCCCACACCCATAATTCAATGCACCCCACCCCTGCGCATGTGCGCCCCCCAGCTTTTAGCACATGATGGCACAGTGGGCCCAGTAGGCCCGTTTTTCACCCTCCCCAGACTCCAGAGGCTTTCTAGGAGCCTGGGGAGGGCGAAAACGGCCTTCCCCACTCCCCCGGAGGCCCTCCGGAGGCTGGAAACAGCCCATTTCCCAACTTCCGGTAGGACCGAAAGGCCCAAAAATCAGCTGGCTGGCGCACACATGTGTGCTGGAGCTGAGCTACGGCAATGCTCGCGTACCCACTGATATGGCTCCGTGTGCCACCAGTGGCACCCGTACCATAGGTTCGCCATCACGGAGTTAGGTTTTTGAGAAAGATCCCAGGTAGACAAACCATAGAGTCTGTCTGTCTGTCTCTCACACAATCCAAAATCCCCTTGCTCCAAAATAAAAAAGTGTTCATCACTTACAGGAGTCCCGTAGATTGCTGCTTGGAGCTCTGTGACATTCCTTTTTCTTGAATTCAAAAAAACCATAAATGTCCACTTAAACTAAGGAACCTAAAAAAACGACATGTGAAAATTATTAGTTTGTAAATTACAATTAGCTTGGACAGGAAATAATTTACACAGGGGGTTAAAATGGCTCTGAACACTTTTTCTGAATGCCTAAATGATGAATCATGCATCATCTAAACCCTTAGAATGGCTGAACAAAAGCCCTCAGGGCTTGCAAAGAAAACAAAATAGCTTACTTTCCTAAGTAAGCTGACCCTGTAAGAGAAGCTCCATTTGCATAGATTAAGACAGGGGTCTCCAACCTTGGCAACTTTAAGCATGGTGGACTTCAACTCCTAGAAAGCAAAGCTGGCTGGGGAATTCTGGGAGTTGAAGTCGTCCAGGCTTAAAGTTGCTAAGGTTGGAGACCCCTGGATTAAGCGATAAAGGCCTGGCAGGATCAATTTATGTTATGCCCAAAAGTTTCTAACCTGAAAATTTCAATAGAACAGGAAGGGGCAACCACAAGAGAAATTCTCCTCTGGAATATAATAATGGCCATCTTTCTCGATGGAAGCTCTTCAGCTATGCTGGATTGCTACTTCCATCATCCCCAGCCAGCATGGTCAATGGGAATTAGGGGAAATGTAGTTATATAGTAAATTAGCTGCCAAATACTGAATTGGGATTAGTCTATGTACAGTAATTTAAGTGTGTTTCAACCTTGGGAACTTTAAGACCTGTGGACTTCAACTCCCAGAATTCTTCTGTCAGCTTGCTGACTGGGCAATTATGAGAGTTGAAGTCACACATCTTAAAATTGCCAAGGCTGAGAAACACTGTAGCTCAATATTTTTGGAGTAAGAAGCCACCGTCCCTTCATAATCTTAGACTAATGATAGGGAATTTATGATCCTCCATATGCAAGTTGATCCTGTGGCTAGTACAGATTGCTACATGACATCTGGAGAGTTACAGGTATCCAATCTCTGTCTGTAGAGATAATTAGTGACCTGGGAAAGGTCATTCCAATTTGGAAGATACACCAAGATGCATTTTATGTCAAGATGGATAAATAAACACCTCTGCTTTGTTCATACAATACGCTTACAATAAACAGAAATACGGTTTTCTCAACGCAGTTTTCTGAATTTATATGACATGCTGTACCATTAACCACATGGCTTAAATTTACCTATCACATTCGTGTGGGCCAGTCTGTATTACGCAAACATGGCCATTGTGGCATATGGAGAATCAATCTCCACCTTGAACAAAAATGTTAATTGGCGCTCCCATTCATATTGTTGAAATTCTATATTATTAGAAAACCCTACAGAACCAAATAAGATGGAGCAGATGCCTCCCCCCTCAACCCCACTTCACTTAAAACACTCACTATACAGAAGTTGTTCAATAGGCAAGGCTGACTACTGAAATACACAACTTTAGAAACAACATTATAACTAATTTTTTGGGGGAGAGGAGTAAGGGAGAAAGCCCGCACCAAATCCATTAGGTGGGAGGGGTAAAAGAGAATCTCCATTTTAAAAGGCATTGCACCATCGTTAATAGGAGAGTTGTTGCCCTTGGGGGGATTGGGGAAAGGGGGGGGGCTTCCTGAAACCATTGAACTCTTCGAAATTGTTAGAAGAGCTCCCAACGGCCATGCTGGTTGGAGCTTTATGGGTTTTGCAATCCGGGACGTTTGAAAAAGCGTGCCAGGTGAGGCTGCTCTAAGCTAGGCTAGGGACAAAGAACCTGGGAAAATCGCAATATGTGGGGGAAGAAGATACCATTAAATTATACCATCAATGCTCTCGGATAAATGGAGAGCGAAGAGGATGGAAAAGAGGAAGCTAGACCGCCCCCCCCCCTCTTTCCCTCCCAGGATCTCCCCAAAATAAGTTCATGGATCCTTCCTGGATCTCCCACCTTGCGCAGCCCCACATCCCACCCACTTCCCCCCTCTTTGCTATGGCTGAGATCTCCCCGCTCCCTCTTATTGCAACCATTACAATTATTGACTCCCAAAACTTTCCTGGTCCTCCTGCTCTTTTTTTCTCTTTCTCGTCCCTTTCACCAGCAGAAAGCGCCGCCTCCGCCTCCTCCCCTTCCCCCGCCCAGCTGTACCATTATGCTAAACCAGCTTCGCTCTCGAGGCGCTGATTGGAGAAGAGCGGCTTCCCCTCTCTCTCGGGATAGGCCAGCTTCTTTATTTTCACCCCGCCCCGCGCGCCTGTAATGGAATACGTCATGGCTTCCAAGAGCATGGGTTGGTTGGAATTGAGGCCGGAGCCAATGAGAGCTCTTCAAAGGCTCTTCAAAAGAGCAAGTGTTCATCATGGACTGGCGACTTATAATGAAATCCTTTGGAGGCATTTCGTCGCCCCTTCCCATATTTATCAATGAGTTGCTTTTGTTAAGTGTATCCACTCATGCTTCGAATTTTAAATAAGGAGATAAAATCGCACGACATTGGACTATTAGTTCCCAAAGAACAAAGTTGTTGGCCACCTCAACAACTGTAGAAAGGAACTGGACCCGACTTCCGAAAGTTTTAAAGTCCTGGACCGGTTTCTTTTGGTTAGAGGCGGGTTTCAGCAGGTTCTGACCAGTTCTGGAGAACCGGTAGCGGAATTTTTGAGTAGTTTGGAGAACCGGTAGTAAAAATTCTGACTGGCCCCGTCCTCATGTATTCTCTGCCTCCCAAGTCCCAGCTGATTGGGAGGAAATGGGGATTTTGCAGTAACCTTCCCCTGGATTGGAGGGGATGGAGATTTTACAGTATCCTTCCCCTGCCACGCCCACCAAGCCATGCCACACCCACCAAGCTACTCCCACAGAACCGGTAGTAAAATATTTTGAAATCCACACATAGTGACCAGAGGTTGTAGCCATTGTCAAAGAAATCAGTAAATCAGTACCCGCAAAACAGGCAGAAATTCAACAGGAGAAGCTTCCCTTGGGTCCTCTATTTAAAAAAACAACAACACTTTATGCCCTCGTGCCCAGGAGAATCTTTCCTCGATTCTATGGAGCAGTGGTGAAATCCAATTTTTTTTACTACCGGTTCTGTGGGTGTGGCTTGGTGGGTGTAGCAGGGGAAGGATACTGCAAAATCTCCATTCCCATCCCACTCCTGGGGAAAGGATACTGCAAAATCTCCATTCCCACCCCACTCTGGGGCCAGCCAGAAGTGGTATTTGCCAGTTCTCTGAACTACTCAAAATTTCCACTACCGGTTCTCCAGAACCTGTCAGAACCTGCTGGATTTCACCCCTGCTATGGAGTGAATTTGAGATATCTACTTAGATTTCTGCCCAGTAACCAGCTCACCAATTCAAGAAAATATGGGTGCTTTGTTGATTCCCTCAGAATATTTTCAAATTTGGGGCTAGCAAAAACACAATTCCTGTACTTGCACAACATATTACATGCCTGGGCTGCTGCTGTTCTTATTGATTTGATTTGTATCGCAACTCTTCTCATCTAATCTGGGTGGCTGAGAATGAGGGCCAGTTATCAAGTGCTCAAAATTAATCACATGACCATAGGGAGGGGGTCCGGCCATCAGAACTTCGGAACTGGGTCATAAGGGGTGGGTATCTGTCTAATTTTAAATAGTCGCTAAGCAATAGGTTGTAATTCAAGTACTACGTGTAATGGGAAAACAACAGACATTTAACAATCTCAACAGTGAATCTGAGAAAATCGGGCACAAATTGTTTTTCCATAAATAAAAGAAGTGAGCAACTGGGCCTCATGTGCTCCAGGTATACCAGCAAAACATCTGTATTCCCTAGAGAAACTGATAACATCTGCAAATGCCCAGAGACAGAAATAGTTTGCAAGCTCGTGTGCATCAGGACTGGGCATTTTTTCTCCTGCAGTTTCCTGCATGTGTGTCTCCTGTGACTGGGCAGTGGAACAGGTGCAGCTCACCAAACTGAACTGTCCACTGGAAGGTGGGAGATTGGGTTTCCAAGTAGCAGAACCAAAGCGGGGATCACCTTACAGCTTTTCTGTTCTACCTGCAACATCAATAATTTAATTGAGGCCATTGTCCCCTTTGTTCAAACACCTGGCATCTCAATGCTGCGGAAGTCTGGAAAGCAGTGCAAGAAAGACAACAGAAAGCAGCAGAAGGGGTCCCCCATGGAAAACGGTGTGGCCCAGGAGTCTGGAGGCTCTCAGCCTGCTGCAGAAGGGGGAAGAGGTGCTCGGGGCCAGAATGGCGCAGTTCCAAGACCACCCCAGCCGCCACCCCGGGTGCGGCCTCGGCTCATCTTCCACACCCAGCTGGCTCACGGAAGTCCCACTGCCAAGATTGAAGGGTTCACCAGTGTTAAGGAGCTCTATGCCAAAATTGCAGAGGTCTTTGACATCTCCTCAACAGAGGTAAGGAAGGGGGCAGCTTAGTGTGCTGGAAGCATTGAAGGAAAGGGCTTGGCTCTCAGCCTTTCAGCCAAGTGGGTGGCCTGGTCCTTGGCACTGGAAAAGATTCACCAAAGCATTAGGCAAGGAGACCAGGCTCCAATGCCCATGATGGGTAGTTAGATGTTCAGCGTGGCTGTACTGTAGTCTATATATATATATTTTTTTAAATTTGATTTATATGCTGCCCTTCTCCGGAGACTCAGGGCTGCTTACAATGCGTTAAGCAATAGCTTTCATTCTTTTGTATATTTTTATACAAAGTCAGCTTATTGCCCCCACAAACTGGGTCCTCAATTTACCTACCTTAGAAAGGATGGACGGCTGAGTCAACCTTGAGCCTTGGCGAGATTCGAACCTGCAGTAATTGCAGGCATCTGGTCTTAATAACCAGTTTAATAACAGGGTGCCTTAGACCACTGTACTACCAAGGCTCTGTATATTACTGTGTTACTGGGAGGGAGGGAAGAAGGAAGGAAGGAAGAAAGGAAGGAAAATGGGAAGAGGAAGGAAGGAGGAAAGGAAGGGGAGGAAGGAAGGAAAGAAGGAAGGGGAGGAGGAAGGAAGGAAGGAAGGAAGGAAGGGCAGAAGGGAGGAAAGAAAGAGGAGAGGAAGGAAGGTACAGTGTGCTGATGCAGCAAGCATCCCATTAAGAATATATGGTAACAAGATGAAATGCTCAGCATCTTGCCAGAAGAGAGAGGTATTTTTGTATAGATATTCTGAAAAATACTTCAAGTATTACACATAAGAAACAACAAAGGAGTCCAGGGAAAAAGACCATGAAATAGCTCAGGATAACAGAACAGAGAAAAATACAAATGATTAATTATCAGGTTCCAGGACCAAAGAGGGATTGGGAATGAGAAGGCATGAAGGGGCAACTGAAGAGCTTTCACTGTGTCTGGAAGCAGACTAAAAGCTGGGTCAGCAATGTTTAGGCCTATGAAAACTTCAGCTTTGTCTTTGTCTTTTGTCTTTTATTAGATTTATATACCGCCCTACTCCCGAAGGACTCAGGGCGGTGAACAGGCACAAAATAAAATACATAAATACAAAAGTTAAAAGATATAATTAAAACCAGATTAAATAATTTAATTAAATTAAAAAATTAAAATTAAAAAATCCCAGTAATTTAAAACAAATTAAAATTTCGATGTAAAAGAATTTTAAAACAGGGAAGAAAATTAGGCCAGGCTGGCTTGCTGGAATAGAAGAATCTTAAGAGCACGGCGGAAAGTGCGTAGATCCGGGATCCTCCGTATCTCCGGGGGGAGCTCGTTCCAGATAGTGGGTGCCCCCACAGAGAAGGCCCTCCCCCTGGGGGCCGCCAGTCGACATTGTTTAGCTGACGGCACCCAGAGGAGCCCCTCTCTATGAGAGCGTACCGGCCGGTGGGAGGCTGCTTGTGGTAGTAGGCGGTCCCGTAAATAACCTGCAGGTTAAAGAAGAGTAAGGAGTTAAGGAGTAATTTGAACTGCAAAGCTCAGTTCCCACAAAGTTTACAGTCTATGGCAGGAGAAGATGGGTGATAGGAAGGACAAAAACAAGCATTACTAGGGAAGAATAATCTTAAATATAGATTCATTTATGCGGGGGGTGGGGGGAGTCTTTTCCAGTCCAGTGTGAAGATGCCTGTATAAACTCCATATTTTCTTCCCCATTTTAATCGTACCACTTCTGCTTCTAAAAGCAACAGGCAAGGAGAGGGCTTTGCCCTCAGATTTCCTGACCTTTTGACTTCTTCCACAGAGACCTTTTCCCTATATAAAATATAAATGCATTTGCACCTCCTTCCAGATTCTGTTCTGCACTTTGAACACCCACAAGGTAGATATGCAGAAACTGCTGGGCGGCCAGATTGGTTTGGAGGACTTCATTTTCGCTCATGTCCGCGGTGATACCAAGGAGGTGGAGGTCACCAAAACAGAGGATGCTCTGGGACTCACCATCACAGATAATGGGGCTGGTTATGCTTTCATCAAGGTAGGCCTTTGGGAATAAGGTAAAAGACTGACATGCTGATTTGCAAGCCATGTTTCTACCTCCAGTAGAATGTGGTACAGCATATGTGATACCTTGCTCAACAGTAGTAACTGTGAGAGGGATCTTGGAGTCCTAGTGGACAACCATTTAAATATGAGCCAGCAGTGTGCAGCAATGGAATACTGGATCCAGTTTTGGTCGCCATGATGTAAAAAAGATGTGGAGACTCTAGAAAGAGTGCAGAGAAGAGCAACAAAGAAAATTGTACCTTTTCCTCATTATTTCTTAATAGTTTCTCATTCAAATACTATGCAGGTCCAACCCTTCTTACAGAGGTGTCTACAAAGCATGGTCAAAAAAATCAAAATGGCAGCCACAATGGCGCAATCAAAGTTTTGCCGGTTTAAAAAAATATGTGGAACTTTGATTGTGCTGCTGCAAAAATTTTGACGTTTTTACCATACCCTGTCACCAGTGTTACTCAACCTTAGCAACTTGAAGATATCTGGACTTCAACTCCAAGAATTCATCAGCTAGCATGCTCACTGGGGAATTCTGGGAATAGAAGTCAAAACATCTTCAAGTTGCTAAAGCTGAGAAAAATTGCTACTCCTGCCTCACTTTTCAAGGTCAGTCAAGGTCATTAGGCCATAGAATTATTCTCTTTCTAAACCTTCCTTTTTTCTACTTCTCCATCTTATAGCGTATTAAGGAAGGTAGTATAATGAACCGCATTCCAACGGTCTCTGTTGGGGACAGCATTGAAGCCATTAATGACCAAACCATTGTCGGATGCCGCCACTACGAAGTTGCCAAGATGTTGCGCGAGATGCCCCAGGCACAGCCATTTACTTTGCGCTTGGTGCAGCCTAAACGAGCTTTTGGTAAGTGGATATTTGAGCACTGAAGAGAGGGCTGGACCGCAGAGTCCCACCATAGGCATAGCATCACAGCCCAGCATCACTGAGGAACAGCCAGTCGGTCACTTTAAATGCCCTCCAATAGTTTTTGAGCCAGCAAAAATAAATGCATAAAATATTGTTTTTCTCCCCTGATGGTCAAGGTCTTTTCTGTTTCATTGATGAGACCAGAGAGCAAGTGGTATTGTTCTTATAATTTTCGTATGGAAGAACCTAAGTAAACGATTTGCGGATTCTCTTGGTTGCTTTTTCCTTCCTGCTGAGCATTTCCGCCAGCAAGAAAAACAATGACTAATCCTCCGTAATGCATGGTTGATCCCAATGTTGATGGGTTCGTTGAACAGCAAGTTTAGTCACTTGTAACATTGTCCAATAGATGTGAGGTACAGAGAGAGATGTTCAGCTTCTTCTTAGACCCTTCTCCATATCTGCAGTCTTTCTCCAGGTTCTTTTGGACACAGGTTAAGAACCAGTGGTGAAATGTAAAATTTGTTACTACCGGTTCTGTGGGCGTGGTGGTGGGTTAATGTGACTGGGTGGGCGTGGCCAACTTTTTTTTTTTTTACTTTTAAAAGCACTTTTTCTACAACCTATTCAGCCAAAGAGGTTGTAAAAAAATGCTTTTAAAAGCTCTGACGATCCCAGCTAAGTTGCCTGATCATTAGAGGCTTTTTTTTCTTTTAAAAGCATTTTTTTTTTGCTTTTAAAAGAAAAAAAAAAGCCTTTGACGATTGTGCGGCTCAGCTGGGATCGTCAGAGCCCTTTAAAAGCATTTTTTTACAACCTCTTCGGCCCAAGAGGTTGTAGAAAAAAATGCTTTTAAAAGGCTCTGACGATCAGGCAACTTAGCTGGGATCGTCAGAGCCTTTTAAAAGCATTTTTTAAATAATCTCTTCGGCTGAAGAGGTTTTAGAAAAAATGCTTTTAAAATTAAAAAAAAAAGCCTCTCATGATCGCACGGCTCAGCTGAGCATGGGGGAGGCAGAGATTTTTGCTACCGGTTCTCCAAACTACCCGCCGCCATCGCTACCGGATCAGGCGATCCGGTCCAAACGGGGGGAGCATTTCATCCCTGTTAAACACTCTTTCAAAAGAGCACTAGGCCCATGTTCAGGAAGAGGCCAATGGATGTCACAAGCCATAAAGGAAGGGTTGTAATCATGATCAGGGGTGCTTGCACTCTTGCTGATTAGCTGGGCTGACAGGTTTGAAAGAGTTATACAGAATGAATTATGGAATAATAAAACTGTAGATTTGGAAAGGACCACAAAGATCATCAGATTCATGGGTGTCAAACTCACGGCGTCACATTGCTGTCACGTGACGCATCACGACATTTCCCTCCCCCCCTTTGCGGAGCTGGGGTGGGCGTGGCCTGCGCATGACGCATCCGGCCTGCAGGCCCCCAGTTTGACACCCCTGATCTAGTTCAACCCTCTGCAACATGCAGGAAGACCAATCAAATCCCCTATGAAAGGTTTTCTTGAAAACCTTCAAAGATGGAGAATCCACAGTCTCTATAGATAGAGAGACTACCGGTTGTGCAGGTAGTCATTCACGCACACCCACAATTGAGTCCAACATTTATGTTGCTAAGTGAGCCATTTGCCCCATTTTATGACCTTGCTGGCTACAGTTGTTAAGTGAATCACTGCAGTTGTTAAATTAGTGACTTTGCTTGTCAGATGGTTGCAAAAGGAGATCATGTGACTCAGGGCATGGCAACTGTCACAAATACATGCCAGTTGCCAAGGATCTGAATTTTGATCACATGACCATGGGGATGTTGCAATGGCCGTAAGTGTGAAAAATGGTCATAAGTCACTTTTTTCAGTGCTGTTGTAACTTTGAACAGTCACTAAGTGAATGATTGTAAATCGAGGACTACCTGTACTCATCTTACTTGCTTCATCAGCAATTCTGTCTAAAATTTAAACAAGATGTCAGTTGTAATGGTTGCCATTTTGCTTTTGGTCTCAGTTCATAATGCTAGTTCTTATTTGTAGAATCCCAACTGTTTTAAGTATCTGAATAATCCCCTGAACCCATGTTAATCTTGCTGTAATTTAAGATCTTTTTTAGAGGGCCTTTGCTAGAGCCCAGTGATGGCTAACCTTTTTTCCTGTCACGTGCCAAAAGCGGGGGAAGCGGCGGGGGAAGTCGTGCCCGCATGTGCCCACACTCATAATTCAATGCGCCCTGCTCCCCCGCGCATGCATGCGCAACCCCCTATGCTCCCCCCGCTTTTAGCACGTGATGGCATGGTGGGCATGGTAGGCCCGTTTTTCGCACTCCTCAGGCTCCAGAGGCTTCCTAGGAGCCTGGGGAGGGTGAACGTGGCCTTCCCGATTCCCCGGAGGCCCTCTGGAGGCCGGAAACAGCCTGTTTCCCGACTTCCGGTGGGCCCAGAAAATCAGCTGGCCTGCGTGCACATGCGTGCTGGAGATGAGCTAGGACAATTCTCGTGTGCCCACCAATATGGCTCCGCGTGCCACATAGGTTCGCCATCACGGCTATAGCCCATCCTCAACAGTGGATAAATTGGTGAAAACAAGGGACAAGGTCTTGTCTATAGTGGCACCATGATTATGAAAAGCTCCCCCAAAGTGTTGACGCTTGCATTATTTAATTATTTGAGGCAGGAAATACTTTATTATTATTTTTTGCTTTAGTCTTCATTTTATTTGCTGCTTTGATTTTTGTTGTTCAGGATTATTTTCTTCTTTATTCATGTGTTCTTTCAAGTTTTGGATTTCCTTAAACTTATTTAACTGCTCTAGATGATGATGATGATGATGATGATGATGATGATGATGATGATGATTTATTGAATTTGTATACCGCCCTACTCCCGAAGGACTCAGGGCGGTGAACAGCCAAATAAAATACATATAATACAAATGTTAAAAAACCATTAAAATACAATTAAATAATTGGCCCAGAAAACAAAATTTAAAACACCCCAAATTCATAAGACAAATTTAAAATTTAAAAATTTTAAATTTTTTATAAACAATTATGTTATAAAAATCCAGTTTCGGTTAAAGCCTCTCCTGGTTTCCCTCTTTGTTTTTCCTGGTTTTCATCTCTTCATCTCTTCCTTTCTCTTCCTTTTATTTGTATCTAGCACATGAGGAAGTCAGATCAAGGGCAGAAAATCATCCTCCTTGCAGTTTGAAAAGCAGGCTGCTGTCTGATGGAAATTTTAAATATTATCACCTCCCCAAGGAGCTTGATCTTTCCTAAGGAGCAGCTGATGTATATTGTAACCTTACGAAATAATAATAAGCAGAATGGTTTGATCGGCCATTTTGAAAGAATGTCACAGATGAGAACAATTCCCAGACTGCATACCGGGGAATTTTAACAAGGATTCTTACAGCCATGCATTTCATTTAATTCAGTTTTGGTTAAAAATATGGCTTAGGATCTCAGACTGATTCAAAATTGAAGTTGATTCCCTGTTGTAACAAAGGCAAGAAAAAAAACCAACCCTCTTGTTTTCATTTCTAATTTAGGTTGCTAAAATGAAAAGAGGTTGGCATGGGAATCTGGGCTTCCCAAATGTGGGCAGATAACCGCTTCCAGGAGTCATAGCCAACATCGTCCATAGTGTAGGATGCTCAGAGTTGTATGGTTAGAAGTTCTCCATTTCTGTGAGGGAAATGTGTACAGACCAGTGGTGAAATCCAATTTTTTTACTACCGGTTCTGTAGGCGTGGCTTGGGCATGGTGTGGCTTGGTGGGCGTGGCAGGGGAAGGATACTACAAAATCTCCATTCCCACTCCACTCCAGGGGAAGGATACTGCAAAATCCCCATTCCCTCCCCCCTCCCGGGGGAAGGATATTGCAAAAACTCCATTCCCACCCCACTCTGGGGCCAGCCAGAGGTGTTCTCCGAACTATTCAAAATTTCTGCTACCGGCTCTCCACAACCTGTTAGAACCTGCTGGATTTCACCCTTGGTACAGAAAATCCTTGACTTTTTTAGTGACTGAAGTTACAGCAACACTGAGTAAAGTGACTTATGACTGGTTTTCACACTTACAACTATTGCAGCATCCTCGTAATCATGTGATCAAAAGCATTTGGCAACTGGCATGTATTTATGACAGTTGCACTCTTCTGGGATCACGTGATCACCATTTATAAGCTTCCCAATTGGCTTCCAACAAGCAAAGTCAATGAAGGAAGCCAGATTTTTTTAACTAACACATGACCACCTTTGGTGGGAAGGTAACAGTGTTCCATGCGACTTTGGTGTTTAGTCATGCCGGCCACATGACCACAGAAACGTCTTCGGACAGCGCTGGCTCTTCGGCTTTGAAATGGAGATGAGCACCGCCCCCTAGAGTCGGGAACGACTAGCACATATGTCTGAGGCGAACCTTTACCTTTACCTTTAGCCATGTTACGAAAGTGTTAGCCTAAAACATATGTGTATGATAGCATCACCTCACTGATCTCAGAAGTCTTCTTAGCAAATAACGTGTGGATGGCTGCATTCCATAGCTGGCTTTTTGTGGGTGTGTCCATAACATGCTCCCCAAATTCCAAATATGGCCAGTGGCCCAAAGGAATGCCATTCCTTTCCTAGTAGATGCTTTACTAGGTGTAATAATCAACTGCCTCTAGTCTTCAAGCCATTTTTTTATTCCACCCCCAAGAACTTCAAGGGATTCTAGCAAAAATAAAAAGTGAATTCTGTAACATTTTCATTCTGCTGAAGAGTTTTGTTGTGCTCAGACATATTCTGTTATGTCCATTGTCTTTGAACCAGATGTTGAGTCCTTGATCTTCTTTTCTCCTCCCCTCTGTAGATATGATCAGCCAGAGGACACGAAGCAGCAAGAGCTCAAGTGAGGAGAAAATAGGCAGCGGAAGGGAGACACTACGGCTGCGTGCAACGGGCACTGCCACCATAGAGCAGGCAGTGAGTATGCTCTGGGACAGGGATCGGATTAACCAGGTGCCCATATTCTCATAGTACTGTATATAAGAAACTTGGTGGCTAGTTGGAAATGAGTTGATTGCCTCAGGGGTCACCTCAGGAAAATGCCTGTTAGATACAATTGTAACAGGAAGGATTTCTGAAGGGTCATGAGAAGGCACCAAATTTTCATTGCTTCTGAAGCTTCTGTGCAGCCCAGTGTTTTTCATCCTTGGCGGTTTGAAGATGTGTGGACTTCAACTCCCAAAATTCCTCAACCATCTGGGGAATTCTGGGAGTTGAAGTCCACACATCTAAAAGTCGCCAAGGTTGAGAAACACTACAAGAAGTTTATTTATTTATTTATTTTATTTATTTTTCTTATATGCTGCCCTTCTCCCAAAGGACTCGGGGCGGCTCACAGAAATTAAAACGATGAAAACAATAAAAATAGCTACTAAAATAATCAATTAAAATCTCCCAATTAAAAATCACTCATCAGATCGGCAAATTTGTTGGAAAAGCCATGTGTTCAGGTCACGGTGGAAAGAGCAGAGGTCGGGGGCCATCTGGAGCCCCGTGGGTAACCCATTCCTGAGGGTCGGTGCACCCACAGAGAACACTCTCATCCTGGGTGCCACCAGCCGACATTGTCTGGCCGATGGCACCCGGAGGAGGGCTGTCCTATGTGAGCGCACAGGGCGGTGGGAGGCAGGCAGAAGGTGGTCTTGCAGGTACCCCGGGCCCATGCCATGCAGGGCTTTATAGGTAAGTACCAGCACCTTGAAGTGGATCTGAAGGACCACCGGTAACCAGTGCAACTCGTTGAAGTTCTTGTCAACACTGGCATTTCAGTTCCATTTGATCTCCTTTCTTCCTTCCTTCTGTTCACAGCCAAGTGAGTTTGAGGAGGAAGCTGCTGAAAAAATGGATGAGTTATTGGAAAGCTACATGGGCATTCGTGACCTCGAATTGGGTGAGTAGGGAGTGACGCATGATATGGTTGAAAAAATATGTGATTCCTTTCACCTTGCCCTCACTACTGCCTGGGTGGGACCTCCAGATTAGGAGACAGCCTACCTTCAGATTCTGAATTTGGGGAATTATATTGTAGAATAGTGTTTCTCAACCTTGACAATTTAAGATGTGCAGACTTCAACTCCCAGAATTCCCTAGCCAGCTGGCTAGGGAATTCTGGGAGTTGAAGTCAGCCACAACTTAAAGTTGCCAAGGTTGAAAAACATGGCTGTAGAGAAGGGTGCTGAATCTGGATGGCTATTGAAGAAGATGGATTTTCAGTTTGCTACAGCAAGACAATCCGTACATGTTTTCGTGTGAAATGAAGCTAACAATTAAAGAGAGATAAAGAGAATTGTCCTAGACAGGGTTCTTTAGGTTTTGATGAACCTTCCCTTAATTTTGTCTAAAAACGATACCAGAAGTAGACAACGTGGCACCCTTAGATACCCATGTGCTTCCCATCTCCTCCATTGAATTTAAGGAGATGGAACTGGTGGATCATCCACCAGATTGGTATCCATTAAGGCTTCTTGATTAAATTAATAATCAAACAAGGATCCTGGCTAATTATTGAATTAACTGGATAGCGAGCATGCCAAAACCTTCATATTTATTTGCAGGAGTGCCTGTAGGCTCCGTGGGCTCTCATTGAGATGTTGAACAGCATCCTAGAGTACACTTTGTCTTCAGCTGGGTGTCCCACTACAGGCCAAGCCCTCCCTCGCAGCCTTTTTATGAATGCACCCAGAACACACCCAAATATGTCTTTGCTCCAAATGATGTTTTATCCCTGTGCTGAATCCTAACCTCTGGCCCATTTTCCACAGCATCAAGCATGGTAGAGATCACCAAAGAATGCCAGAGCCCTGAAGACTTTGCTCGCGGGCTGGATTCGCTCCTGGGTGAATTTGCCTTCCCGGAAGATTTTGTCTCAGAGGTCTGGACTGCAGTTTGCAAGAGCAGGGAAATCCCTGAGTAGTTTCAGGAGATGAGTTGGGCAATGAAAGCTGTTTCTTTTCTTTGCCACCCCGCTCATCCTTTTCTTCTTTTCTCTACTCTGCAATTCTCCATATCTTGCATGCACTGGCATCTACATCTTGGATTTCCATCCAGAATTATCACCCATGGCTCAAGGATGACACCTTTGCAAAATTTCCAGAGGTGACAGTAGCACCAATGACCACATGCTCTCCTACCGGGGTGGAAGGAACTTACCTGTATGGAGGGAACAGAGAGATATTACCATTTGGGTGGTTACTTCTGGTTAGCATCTATATGGGATCTTCTTCCAGTAGTATTCCAAAATACAATTGCTATCCTGTAGTCGGGTGGGCTGCTGGGGGTTCGCAGGGGTTCGGGAGAACCTCTAGCTAAGATTCTGTGCAGTTCGAAGAACTCCCAAATCCCACTCCAGGCTGGCCCCTCCTACCCCTCCCCTCCCAGGAATCCCCACGTGACCTGTTTTGGATGCAGGTAAATGCAGGGCGCACATGGAGGTTTGGAGAGGGCGAAAAACAGGCCTACCGGAAGTTCAGGAAGTCCGTTTCCAGTCTCCAGAGCCTGGGAACCCTCCTGGAGACTCAAGGAAAGCCTCCAGAGCCCGGGGAGGGCAAAAACACTCCCCCCCCCGCAGTGGTACAGGAGGCCGACTAGGCGACGCCCACCATGGCCACGCCCACCCAGCAACCAGGCAGAGAACCCCTTGCTAAAAATTTTGAAGCTCACCCCTGCCTGTAGGTCTACGTTAACAGGTCAGGATGGCATCTTCTCTGGTTAAGATCTTTAAGTTACGCTTCTCATAATTGCAGAATAGATAGGAGAATGCTAGGAGAAACATTCTCGGCTTCTTGGCAACTCACCGCACTGCAATTTCAGGCTTCTCTTAAAGGTGGGTATTTTTAGTCCAGTTCTGTAACTGGGAAGGATTTGAACCATCATTCTTCACAGTGGTTTCTGCAGGGCATAGTGAAGTAAGTCAAGAGGACAGCCACGATAATATGACACATGCAACACCCATTAAAAATGGGAATTTCAATCTCGTAGTTGCAACTACTCTCTTGATTTTTTTTAATTCCCTGAGGATACCCTTGATTTCTTATGTAATTTTTTTTTTAGTTGGTGGTTGGTTTTTAAAAAGAAAAATCTCTTCCAAAGACCAGTCTCTTGAGCACGGGTGTCAAACTCGTGGCATCACATTGCCATCATATGATGTAATGCAACAGTTTTTCCCTTCGCGGAGCTGGGGTGGGCATGTCTAACCAGGGGTGAAATCAGGGGTGAAATCCAGCAGGTTCTGACAGGTTCTGGAGAACCGGTAGCGGAAATTTTGAGCAGTTCGGAGAACCAGCAAATACCATCTCTGGCTAGCCCCAGAGTGAGGTGAGAATAGAGATTTTGCAGTATCCTTCCCCTGCCATGCCCACCAAGTCATGCCCACAGAACCGGTAGTAAAAAAAAATGGATTTCACCACTGGGTTGAAATGCTACAGGTTTGGACTGGTTCGTCCAAACCAGTAGTAAAAAATGCCAATGATCAGCTGTGCCGTGCGATTTATATTCGCTAGAAAGCAGGAAATCCTGCTTTGGTGCGCACAGCGCATGCGTGCGCAAAGCAAACCGGTAGCAAAGCGAATCAGTAGCAGACTTCGGAGCATTTCACCCTTGTGGCTAGTGCGTGACGCATCTGGCCCACTGACGCAGCTGCCAATTTGACACCTCTGCTCTTGAGGAAAGCAAGGCTCCTCACCTACCCTTCAATGAATTGGCCAGCATATAACGTATAGTCATTTTGAAGACCCATTTGGAGCAAACGCAATCTTCACCCTGCATAGACAATTTCATTTGTTCCTAATTAGTTTCAGGAGGCCTCAAAGAGAATAACTGGGCTATTAAGTCCAATCATTTTATAGACTCATTCATAGAGTTGGAATGGATAACTTCCTTTCACTATGCAGAGATGCCCAAGTTCCAACTCATAGTTAATTAATTTCTGCCTGAATATATGCAAGAAAAGGGAGATCATCCGAGGATTCATTGTTAGTATTAATGGAAGAGAATATTGGTAGCTACCCGTATTCCACTTGATTATATGTGAGAAGGGTGTGGTAGAAGACACCTAAAGTTGAAAGGAGTATGGGTAGTCCCTGATTTATGACCACAACTGAGCCAAAAATTTGTTACTAGGCAAAACATTTTACAGGCAGTCCTCAACTTACAACAATTCATGTAGTTCAAAGTTACAACGCAGGGGTGAAATGTAAAATTTGTTACTACCCATTGTGTGGGTGTGGCTTGGTGATGGTGGTGGGGTAATGTGACTGGGTGGGCGTGGCCAACTTTTTTTTTTTTAACTTTTCAAAGCATTTTTTCTAATGGTTTGAAAAGCCTCTGCTGATCAGGCAACTCAGCTGGGATTGTCAGAGACTTTTCAAAGCATTTTTTTTACCACCTCTTCAGCCAAGAGGTTCAGGAAAAAATGCTTTGAAAAGCCTCTGACGATCCCAGCTGAGCCGCGCGATCATCAGAAGCTTTTTTTTTTTTTTACTTTCAACAGCATTTTTTCATCGGAAGAGGTTGTAGAAAAAATGCATTTAAAAATTAAAAAAAAAAAGCCTCTGATGATCGTGCAGCTCAGCTGGGCATGGTGGGGGGGAGGGCACAGGGATTTTTGCTACTGGTTCTCCGAACCACCCGCCGCCATTGCTACCGGATCAGGCGATCCGATCCAAACCGGGAGCATTTCACCCCATTACAACGGCACTGAAAAAAGTGACTTATGACTGTTTTTCACACTTACGACCTTTCCAGCATCTCCATGATCATGTGATCAAAATTCAGACGCTTGGCAACTGGTTCATATTTATGACCGTTGCTGTGTCCCAAGATCATGTGATCTCTTTTTCGACCTTCTGACAAGCAAAGCCAATGGGGAAGCCAGATTCACTTAAAAACCAGGTTACTAACTTATCTACTGCGGTGATTCACTTAACAACAGAGGCAAGAAAGGTCATAAAACAGGGCAGAACTCACTTAACAAATGTCTCACTCAGCAACATAAATGTTGGGCTCTGTTGTGGTCGTAAATCGAGGACTGCTTGTATGACCTTTCTTGCCACCGTTGTTAAGTGAATCATTGTAGTTTTTAAGGTAGTAACACAGTTGTTAAGTGAATCTGGCTTCCCCATTGACTTTGCTTGTCAGAACGTCACAAAAGGTGATCACATAACCCCGGGACACTGCAACCGGGACACTGCAACCGTCATAAATGTGAATCAGTTGCAGAGTATCTGAATTTTGATCACGTGACCATGGGGATGCTGCAACGGTCATAAGCCACTTTTTTCAATGCCATTCTAACTTCAAACGGTCACTAAATGAATGGTTGTAAGTCAAGGACTATGTGTATTTTGTTATCCGGAAGCGTAACAAGAATGAATGGGTTCTGAATGACTGGGGAGCACACCAAAGGGACTGGTCAGAATAGAAGAATTACATTGAAGTGGTTTAGTTGTGGAAGGCGAAGAAATGAAGATGGAAGAATGAATCAAAATGAAGGACCCGAGAAAGGAGTTTGGGTGGCGGGCTGATCTTGCTGAGAGCCTCAAAAAGAGAGAGTAGAAAAATTTAAAGAAAAAATGGTGGTGTATGAAGTGCTCTATGGATATTGGGAACAAAGGTGATTTGTGAGGATAGGAAGGTATGGAGGAGTCCCTTGGGAGTTGGGCGGCATAGAAATTTGATAAATTAAATTAAATTATTGGTGTAAACAAGTTTTCACTGTGTTTCCTCTCCTTTTTCTTATCTTCTGCTGTTATTTTTTTTTCTAAGCTATTTCATACTCCATGTCTGAGCACAATATATATAATCCTCTCACCCACTCCGACATGATAATTATGTGTTTGTGTTTTATATGCAATTTTGTTTATGTCTGTCAGTTTGTTTTTGAAATAATTAAAAATATTTTTAATTAAATATTAATGTTAATATGCCCCTAAGGATGGTTGGCATTGGATGTGTAGGACTATTCCTGAGCCAGCCATCTTTGGGGGGTTTTCTGGGTCGGAGGTGGGCAGCTGTGGCCCCTTTGCAGCCTGTGGACTTCAACTCCCAGAATTGAATTCAACTGCCATGCTGGTCTAGGAATTCTGGAAGTTGAAGTCCACAGGTCATAAAGGGACCATGGTTGCTTACCCCTGATCTGCAGAAGCCCCTAAAGATGGTTGGTATTGGATGTGTAGGACTATTCCTGAGCCGGCCATCTTTGGGGGTTTGTCTGGGTCGGAGGTGGGCAACTATGGCCCCTTTACAACCTGTGGACTCCAATTCCCAGAATCCCTAGTTAGCATGATAGAGCTGGCTTGTAACAAAGCCTACACAAAGCGATTCAGATGGACTACATTTGGTTGAAGTTAATGCATGTCTCACTTGCAAAAACCTGTTTAATAATTTACTAATGAATTAAAGGGCCAGGCCCTGATGTGTAGGATGACTGTTGTTGTTTTTTTTCCAAACTCCACGTCGAAGCCAAAGCAGCCATTCTTAATGACATCATGGGCTTCTCCTAACCTCATTGGCTGGAGGTTGCCATGGCAAATGTCAACATTTCTAGCACTGTTGATTCTTTTGGACAGCAGCACCGCAAGACCCAGTTCAAAATACCTGGATCGGAAGAAAAGCGACTCCAAAATTATTTTATTTAGTATTTATTTAAAAAGGGGGCAAGATCAGAAAAAGCAGACAATGTCATTGGAGGATCTCTCGGCAAGCAATAGGAATCTCCGTCTCCAGGTAGAGGAGCTGAGAGAGAACATAGCCAGCTTGGACTCCGAGAACCAGGAGTTTCTCCGAGACAAGGAATACATCAAAGAGCAGCATAAGTGTCTTCGGGAGACAGTGAATCACCTTAAGTCCTCCATGGAACACCTGCAGAAAACTGTGGAGGACATCAGAGAAAGTTTGGATCACGTCAACATGGCGATCCACGAATTAGCGCTGCAGAACAAGTCTTTGGTGACAGCCAACAACGACCTCAACCAGGAAATGCACGAGGTCACCAGCCAAGTGGCCGTCTACAAACATGACAAACCTACCCACGAGAATGACCTCAAGGAGATGCAGAACCTTCCGTCGGAGGTTCACAAGTACCTGCGTAACCTGGAGGATAAACTGTCTGAGATGGAGCACAACTACTGCGTGGAGAAAACCCAATCCGGCCAACTGAAGGAGAAAGTCACGGCTATTCAGAGAGCCAGAGAACACCTGAGGAACCGCATCAAAGACCTGCAGAACCAACAAGATCTCTGCGTGCAGCAGGCCACGTTTATGCGGCTGGACCAGGAGAACCAGGTGCCAACGGGCATCCTGATGCATGAACTTGTGGAAGCCAGGCTGGTGGGAGTGGCCCAGGATGGGTCAAAGGAAAGGAAGTTTCTGCGTTGGTTATGGGTGGCAGCAAAATGCTGATGATGTTGCTGTTTGGCTGCTGTCTAATCCTTGGCCTTGTCTTGGCATACACTCACTTTTTTAATCCGTTGTTCATCTCTGAGACACTTGTGGTGCTCCTGAGTGACCAGAGCATTGAGAAACTTGTGCACCATTTCTCCCCGTATCTTGTACAGAGAAACGATGGCCTTTTACCATTTTGAGAAATGAAATTCTCTCTCTCTCTTCCTTGACTTACTCCCTAGGATGCAAGTAGAAGAGCATACCTGATAATTGAATTTGGTGGACAGCAAAAATGGATTCTGTGTCTTGGTCTCCAGGGTTGGAAACATATAATCCCTAGATATATGTATATAGATCTTTTTTCTATTGTTGGCCCTATCTTTTTTTTTTTTGTATTGTTTTCTTGTTTCTTCTTTTGGCTTTTGCTTAATTAAAGACAATCAAAAATAAAAATTATAAAAAAAAGAAATAATTAAAAATATTTTTAAAAACCGCCTTCTTTTGCAGTATTTCATTAATATATGTCATGGAATGAGCCTCACTTCATTTTCCTCCGCTTGCAGACGTCTGATTACCTAACTAGGTAACACCATCAGTGCCCTAATGAGACATCTACAAGCAAACGACCACATTTAGGAAACACCAAGGGACTCCACAATCTACTTTATTGTGTTTATAAAGTCTAGCACTTTTTCATAATAGCATTAAGCCCATGGATATAAGGGGCCTGTGTAAGACCTGACAGTATTGGGAGAAAAGGACAAACGCTACTTTCAAACTGAAGCCGCTAAGGTTAATTGCTCAGCTGTGGCTATCTGCTAGCTAAGCAAACAGCATGAAGTCACAGCAGATAAAAGGAAGTACTGTGTTTCCCCGAAAATAAGAGCCTGTCTTATATTTTTTTGAACCCCGAAATAAGTGCTTGGCCTTATTTTTGGGGATGTCTTATTACTTTGGGGCGTGTTGAGCAAGATGGGGCTCCTCTTGCCATCTTACCTGATTTCCAGCTCTTTCTCCCTAACCCTAACCAGAGGAAATGGTGGGGACCGGCTGTGCATGCATTTAAATATTTTCGGGGAGGGCTTATTTTCAGGGAGGGCTTATTTTCGGGGGGGCTTATTTTTAGCGCATGGGCTCAAAAGCCCGATTGGTCTTATTATCAGGGGATGTCTGATTTTAGGGGAAACAGGGTATTGGGTAACATCCATGTCATGGTTCATAGGACATGTGGATGATTAAGTCTTTGAAAACTAGGTTTTTAAATTTAATTAATTAATTAAATTTATATGCCGCCCCTCTCCAAAGACTCAGGGCGACTCACAATACATTTAAAAAATCATTATAAAAAGACATTGAAAAATTAAAAACATTAAAAACTCATTCACACCATTCATGGCTGGATCTTGCCAGATCACAAGAGCGAGATCAACGGCCCCAGGCCTGCCAGAAAAGCCAGGTCTTCACCGCTTTTCGGAAGGCCAATAGGGTGGAGATGGTCCGGACCTCAGGAGGTAACTGGTTCCAGAGAGCTGGGCAGCCACAGAGAAGGCCCTCCCCTGCGGGCCCGCCAGCCGACATTGTTTAGCTGACGGGACCCGGAGGAGACCAATTCTGTGGGATCTTACCGGTCGCTGGGAGCTATGCGGCAGAAGACGGTCTCGAAGATAACCTGGCCCTGAGCCATGTAGGGCTTTAAAGGTAATAACCAACACCTTGAATTAAATCACAGTAACAAGAACCTAACACTTATATTTACTGTTTGAACACTGTACAGTTGGCTCTTTATATACAATTTGTTATGGACACTTCAGGACACTTTTAAGTTCCTCTGCATCATGGATGGAATTTATGACAGATTCCAAAATATATCTGCCATTTATAACTCTCTCAATACTTCCCAACTCTTCTTTGACAGCTATTCTTTCCTGTCCCCAAACTTCACTCCATGAAAGTGAAACACTCCACCTAAAACAGCTCTACCTTGAAGCTTCTAAAGTTTTTCTTTTTCTGGAGTATATCTACCAAAATGTTTCCTTCAAGGTACAGAATACAGGAGGGATCGCCTCTTCTCCTCCTTTCCATCTCTGTTTTGCTCTATTATGTTCATAAAGGGATTAGGACTGGAGTAACCAAAGTTTACTCCCTACATGGCTGGCTGGGGAATTCTGGGAGTTGAAATCCACAAGTCTTAAAGTTGCCAAGGTTAGACACCCTTGATTTACAGTATTACATCTAGTGCCTTTGGAAACTTCTATGCATGTGAATATATATAGATATGTGTGTAGATCAGAAGGGACTCGGTGGCTCAGAGGCTAAGAAGATGAGCCTATCGATCGAAAGGTAAGCAGTTCAGCGGTTCGAATCCCTAGTGCCGCGTAATGGGGTGAGCGCCTGTTACTTGTCCCAGCTTCTGCCAACCTACCAGTTTGAAAGCATGTAAAAAATGCAAGTAGAAAAATAGGGACGACCTTTGGTGGGAAGGTAACAGCGTTCCGTGTGTCTTTGCCGTTTAGTGATGCCGGCCACATGACCACAGAGAGGTCTTCGGACAGCACTGGCTCTTCGGTTTTGAAACGGAGATGAGCGCTGCCCCCTAGAGTCAGGAACGACTAGCAGATATGTGCGAGGGGAACCTTTACCTTTTTATGTAGATCAGGTAAATTCTTGCCTATTGCTCAGAGCTGAAGAAGCTTCTTGGATGAGAAGCGAAACGTCTCCAAAGAAAAACCAGAAAGTCCAACTGCCTCTTGAAAAAGCACCTTTGGGACAACCATGATCTGAATGACTGAGAATCTCCATAAACGTATTAGTCATGTCCTTAGAAGGGAATAACTGCATTGAGTTGCCTTTTATCCAGATTTGGCCAGCTAGCTGAGGCTTTAAAAAATTTTTTTTTTTAAATTTAGCTGATGCTTATTAAATAAATAAACATCAAGCTTTTTACATTTTTGCTGGCTGAACTGAGTGATGTGCTCCTTTGCTTCAGTCTGGATATAGGGATTGCTTGGGGCAGACTAAACTGCAAGTATCCACAGTAATTTTCCAATGCTTTGAAATCCAGCTTGCCAGGATAGTGAAAGGATCCAAAAAATGACGATCACAAGTATATTGTATACTGCCACAGGATTTATTACTGCAACAATCATTTCTTTTGAATAAATCCATGCATTTTGAATTGCCCTGGTCATCCTGCATTTAGTCGTCTCCTCTGAAATCCCTCTTGGGATCAATTTCCCCATTAACTTTATTTATTTATTGAATTTATATTGCCACCTATTCGCCCATGGTGACTCAAGGTGGTTTACAGAATGTAAGACCAACTTTCTGCTTAAAAACTGGCTCCTTCTCTTCACCTGAGTCAGGTTGCCAAACTACAGGTAATCCTGGAATTACGACCATAATTGAGCCTGGAAATTACAGGCAGTCCTTGACTTACAACATTCTGCTTAGTGACCGAAGTTACAACAGCGCTGAAAAAAGTGACTTACGACCATTTTTCACACTGGTGACCGTTGCAGCATCTCCGTGGTCATGTGATTTACATTTGGATGCTTGACAACTGACTCACATTTATGACGGTTTCAGTGTCCCCGAGTCACATAATCACCGTTTGCAACCTTCTGACAAGCAAAGTCAACGGGGAAGCCAGATTCACTTAACAACCGGGTTACTAATTTAACAACGGCAGGGATTCACTTAACAAATGTGGCAAGAGAAGTTGTAAAATGGGGCAAAATTCACTTCACAAATTTCTCACTTAATAACTCAATTAATTGTGGTTCAATTGTGGTTATAGGTTGAAGACTACCCATACAGTTGTAAGTCATGATGGACATAAAGTGGGTCACTAGGTAATCAGACCAAATTTTAGGACTTTTTTCCACGGTGGTTTTTAAGTGAATCCATTGTTTTGCTATGGGCTAAGTTTTGCTGGAAATCTGGCAAAACCATCGCAAATCACGGCTAAGTGACTGCGGGGTACTGCAAACTGCCAGTTGCGTCCCAAATGCAGTCAAGTGACTGCAAGGGATGGGAGCCGCCCTTATGGCAATTTGCAGAACTTTGGAATTGGATTGTAAGCAGCTTTTGGGGTGGGTGTGGGGGCTGGAACTTCAAGCGGTCACTAAACTACCAGTCGTAATTTGAGGCCTACTTGTATGTTCCTGCCTTTCTTCTTATTCTGAAGAACTGTCCTTCCTACTCTTGGAAAGATTCCAATGTGAAGCTACATGCTATATTTGGGGCTATGGGTTGTACCATGGCGGGAGCTTCTGGAGCTGAAAGGCCACATCCAATGGAATAGCTCTCAACTTTGAAACGGATTGGGCCTGTCGCAGCCATTTTCACCGTTTCTCTGCTTGATACACTTTGGGCAGGGGTGGGGAGGAGGAAGGCGCTCTGGAAGGTCAGATCAGACATCAACACCTTACTATCTCGTGGAATCAAGCAGGGGTGAAATGCTCCGATCTGGTAGCGATGGCGGCGGGTGGTTCGGAGAACCAGTAGCAAAAATCCCTGCCCCACCCCCACCCCATGCCCAGCTGAGCCGCGCAATCATCAGAGGCTTTTTTTTTTGTTACTTTTAAAAGCATTTTTTCTACAACCTCTTCGCCCGAAAAAATGCTTTTAAAAGTAACAAAAAAAAGCCTCTGATGATCGTGCAGCTCAGCTGGGATCGTCAGAGCCTTTTAAAAGCATTTTTTCTACAACCTGTTCGGCCGAAGAAGTTGTAGAAAAAATGCTTTTAAAAGTAAAAAAAAAAAAGTTGGTCACGCCCACCCAGTCACATTACCCCCGACCAAGCCACGCCCACAGAACCGGTAGTAAGATATTTTACATTTCACTGGAACCAAGGTCATCCCAACAGGTGCCAGCCAGAGACTGGAAGAGGTTACCAAAGAGACACCAGAACATGTATTTGGACAATATGACCAGTGACAAGGAGGGAGGGTGTGTGTCTATTCTTGAACTATACTGAAAGCGCGGGAAATAACCAGAGCTGGTTTTGCATTTCAAAAGTGCTGATATGATGTACTCAATAAAGCAGTTCTTTGAGAAAGCTGAAAGTCTCAAGAGTTGCTGGGTTGGTTGGGTTCATTACTCGGAACGTCGACAATAGCAATAGCAATAGCACTTAGACTTATATACCACTTTACAGTGCTTTACAGCCCTCTTTAAGTGGTTTACAGAGTCAGCATATTTATCCCAAGAATTTGACTCCTCATTTTACCGACCTCAGAAGGATGGAAGGCTGAGTGAACCTGGTGAGCCTGGTGAGATTTGAACTGCCAAATTGCAGGCAGCCGGCAGTCAGCAGTCAGCAGTCAGCAGAAGTAGCCTGCAGTACTGCATTCTAACCACGGCCCTTATACTTATACTGTAGCTTAGAGATAAATCATAGTACACTCCCAGGGCCTTTACCCCAATGCAAACTATCAAGCAGTATAGGTATAGATCAGGTAGTCCTCGACTTACAACCATTTATTTAGTGACTGTTCAAAGTTACAGTGGCACTGAAAAAAGTGATTTATGATCATTTTTCACACTTATATGACCACTGCAGCATCCCCATGGTCACGTGATCAAAATTTGGTTACTTGGCAACCGGCATGTATTTATGTCGGTTGTAGTGTCCCGGGATCATATGACCTCTTTTACGACTTTCTGACAAGCAAATTCAATGGGGAAGCCAGGTTCACTTAAGAACCGTGTTGCTAATTGAACAATTACAGTGATTCGCTTAACAACTGTGGCAAGAAGCATCATAAAATGGGGCAAAAAACTCACTTAACGACTGTCTTGCATAGCAATGGAAATTTTGGGCCTAATTTTTGGTCGTAAGTTGAGGACTACCGGTAAAGCATAGCACTCAAGAGCTCTCTTGCCCTGTTAAAGAAGGAATCCTATGAGCTGGACCTTCCTCGGGCTCAACACAAGATCTTGCTACTGAAACACCGATTCCTGAGTAAATTTCCTCCGTAGGGATGGATTGAGCACCGGGTAGAGAGAGACAATAGAAGGCCTGCTCTTGAAGCTGGGGTAGATGCGTCTCAGTACCGCTCGGCGGAAGAGGATGTAGACCCAGGGATCGAGAATCTGGTTCCAAGTGGCCACCCGGAGGTAGATGAGCAGCAACTTCTCGGTGTCCTCTGGGATCTGATTGGAAGGCAGGTTAGAAGGGGGCTCTTGAAGGGCTGTCTGGAGAATGAGTATCTGGAGAAGAGAAAGGTGGGATAACAAGAGATACAACAATATTTCAATACCAGTGGTGGGTTTCTACCGGTTCACCCCAGTTCGGGCGAACCGGTAGCTGCGGCGGCGGGAGGCTCCATCCGGACGTAATCATGAACGCACTGCGCATGTGCAGAAGCGTCACGCGTGAGCGAAGCAAGCACGCACGCATGCTCACAGTTCCAACCGGTAGTGAAGGTAAGTGAAACCCACTACTATGCAACACCAAGTTAACTTTGCCCAAAGAAACATCTATCACAGGGGTGTCAAACTCGTGGCGTCACTTTGTCGTCATGTGACACATCGTGACTCCCCCCCCTTTGCTAAACCAGGGGTGGGTGTGGCCAGCATGTGACGCATCTGGCCCACAGGCCGCGAGTTTGACACCCCTGATTTATTAGAATTGGGTTTCCCAAACTTAGCAACTTTAGATGTCAACTCCCAGAATTCCCCAACCAGCATGTGGAATGGCTGGCTGGGGAATTCTGGGAGTTGAAGTCCACATGTTTTAAAGTTGCCAAGGTTGGGAAACTTGGTATTGGGAAGATTGCCTAGGAGGAAAGAATATAAAATAAATTTGTTTAACCATGTGTGAAATAATAAGTGCTTTCATAAAAGATTGAAAACACTTGATGGTTTTCATTTTTTTATTTTTTTGCTGAAACGGTTTAAAAATGACCTGGGTGATTTTTGTTTTCGTTAATTGAAAAAAAAAGGTTGAATATGAGGAGAGGGGCATAGAAACTTTAAAGGGGGAGGGAGAAAATAAGCTTGCTTGTAACTGCTGCAAAGAAAACCGGATGGTGCTTCTTTTGGGTAATATCGTTTTTCTTTTCTGCATTTTTTTCTTTCATCTTTCTTATTAACATTCTGCTTTAGATGTTTTCATTACTTTTATTTGTGCAAAAAATTTTCAATAAAAATTATATGTCGATGAGAAGAGAGATGTGGGAAGGGGTAGAGTCAGAAAGGTCCCTATCCCTCTCTCTCTCTCCCCCTCTCTCTCCCTCTCTCTCTCTCCCGCTCTCCCTCTCTTTCTCTCTCTCCCCTCTCCCTCTCCCTCTCTCTCTCCCTCTCTCTCTCTCTCCCCTCCCTCTCTCTCTCTCTCTCTCTCTCTCATACACACACACACACACACACACACACACTGTACCACCTTAGAATCAACCTTGCTGAGTACAGGGACCCAAATCAAAATGCATGTGTAATACAGGTAGTCCTCGACTTACAACCATTTATTTAGCAACTGTTTGAAGTTACAACACACTGAAAAAAATGGTTTATAACTGGTAATCAATCATACATCGCGGTATCCCCACAGTTGTGTGATTAACATTTTGGTCAGAGGTGGGTTTCACAGAATTTTACCACCGGTTCGCTGCGCACTGAAAATATGCGTGCGCGCCTTCCAGACATGTGCACGCCCTTCCACACATGCACTTTATCACGCGCGTGGCTTGCACGCCTGCGCGCGGTATAGAAAACGTGACTAAATAGGATGACATAGCGCTGGGACGGGTGGGCAGACCCGCAAGTCAGCACTACCGGTTTACCCGAACCGGCTGAATACCACCAGTGATTTTGGTGCTTGGCAATTGGCATATATTTACGAGGGTTGCAGTGTCCGAGGCTCACACAATTGCCATTAGCAACCTCCCCAGGTGACATCCAACAAGCAAAATCAATGGGGGAAGGTGGATTTGCTTAACGACTGCATGATTCATTGAACTGCAGTGATTCACTTGACAACCATGGCAAAAAGTTATAAAAACAGACATGACTCATTTGTTTAACAACGGAAATTCTGCTCCCAATTGTGGCCGTAAGTTGAGGACTACCTATACTGTCACTGCACCAACGTTGCAATATATATGCTTATATCAGATATCATGACACAAGTGGGAGGGTTATTTTTCATGTTGCTAAAACAGCTATCAACTGTTAAATTGATGGAGTAATAGAAGATGCCCTTCCTTCTCAAAAGATGGAGCCAGTCAATCTGCTGTAGGGAAGGTCCAGGGGGAAATGGAGTTTTGTTGTTCTAAATTGTTTTTCATTTGAAAATAATGTTTATTTAGAGAACTTATGTTAATCATTTTTATCTTCCTTCAAATAAAGATCGGATTCTTATTCTTTGCTTCCAATCAAGACTGAAGGAGTCTAACAACTAATATATAATTACGACATTTATACATCGTAATTGCCTGTTGTTGTTATCTTGGCATTGTCCTAGTTTCTGACACAAACAGCTGCTTTCAGCCTTTATTAAACATATCCAGTGAAGCAAAGGTGGCAAGTTCTCAGAGCTATAATTCCACGGTCAAACTGCTTTTACCATTAGGAATTTCTTTCTAACATCCAAGCTTGGAGGCATGCTGGCATAAAAAAAAAAGAGATTGTTTAATAAGCAGCTTAGAAGCAAATCAATTAATATATAAATTCACCAATTAAATTTAGGCCCATTTGCACTCTTACAGAAGGTTTGGCACAAAATGCACGAAAATGTAAAACTGTAACTGAATTGGCAAATTGGAGCATTAATGAACCTAGCCATTCACTAATGAATTAGTTGAAGTGTCTTTTTCAAACTTGGAAATTTTAAGATGTACAGACTTCAATTACCAGAATTCCCTAGCCAGACAGACTTCTGGGACTTGAAGTCCACAGATCTAAAACTGGCTAAATTTGAAAAACACAGGTTTAACTGATTAGCAGGCTTAACTACTACCATGTGTCCCCGAAAATAAGACCCTGTCTTATATATTTTTGAACCCGAAATAAGCACTTGGCCTTATTTTCTGGGATGTCTTATTATTTTGGAGCGCATGGAGCAAGACTGGGCTCCTCTTGCTGTCTTACCTGATTTCCAGCTCTGTCTCTCTAACCTTCACCAGAGGAAATGGCGGGAACCGGCTGTGCATGCGTTTAAATATTTTAGAGGAGGGCTTATTTTCGGGGAGGGCTTATTTTAGCATATGCGCTCAAAAGCCCGATTGGTCTTATTATCAGGGGATGTCTTATTTTAGGGGAAACAGGGTAATGGGTGTTGTATAAAATTGGGTAGAGGGGAATTTGATGTCTACTGCTGCTGTTGCCCTTTTGCATTTGAGAAATGTGTTTGGTATTAAAAAAAGAATACTTGGGGCCAGTGGTGAAATGTAAAATTTGTTACTACTGGTTCTATGGGCGTGGTTTGGTGGGGGAGGGGGTAATGTGACTGGATGGGCGTGGCCGAAGAGGTTGTAAAAAAAATGCTTTTAAAAGCCTCTGATGATCCCAGCTGAACTGTGTGATCATCAGAGGCTTTTTTTTTTTTACTTTTAAAAGCATTTTTTCGGCTGAAGAGGTTGTAGAAAAAATGCTTTTAAAAATAAAAAAAAAAGTCTCTGATGATTGCACGGCTCAGCTGGGCATGGGGAGAGGGCAGGGATTTTTACTACTGGTTCTCCGAACCACCCGCTGCCATCGCTACTGGATCAGGTGATCCGGTCCAAACCGGGAGCATTTCACCCTTGCTTGGGGCCCAACTACATACCATTTCTCAGTGTCATATCCTGACAAAGGAGCCTCATTGCCTACCTGTTGCTAAGGTAAGAGTGAAGCCACTCTGTCTATCTTCATCCCACTCAATGCCACTCAAATGTTTTACAAGCATAGGAACTGCAATCCTTGATTCAACAAAAGATCCAATGATGGTTTCATGTTCCAAATCTAGGCAGGCCAGTATTTTTGAGACTGTTGAAAGAAATATCCTTCTGGTTCAGTTCCAAACCGGGAGAAAGACCCTAGAAACATGGAGGCTGATTGGAAAGATGGTTTAATGATGAAGCAGACCCACCAAGCACATGGTTCTGGTGCAGCTGACCACATGGAGTTGAGAGTGGGGGGTATTTATACCTTCTCTTGGGCTTTGCACTTGAACTTCCTGTTCCTGTGCAAGAACATGTATTCTATTGGCTGTTGTCAGACTCCCATGGGGCCATGTACAAATCCTAGCAGTTTGTCTGAGCTATGTTTGGTTGAAGTTTCTGCGGGTGATGTAATGAAGGGGCGTTGGCTAATTCCTAGTGTGGCTGAGGGCTAATCCTACCTTTGTTGGATCTTGGGTGAGGGTATTTGCTTATGAACAGAGATATCTATCTCTTTATCTCTTAAGTGCTGACATTTGCTGTGGGCTAGAAGGTGGGGGCTGCTTTCCAAGAGCACGTTTCTCCATTTCTCATCCAGGGAAATATAATATTCTGCCTTTTTTAATATTTCTCAAAATATTTCATTCTTCTAGGAGAGGGGTGGGTGCTAACTTTCTACAAGACTGACTAGTAGGATCCATCTCTGCTGCTTGTCCACATCCTTTTTTATAAATATATATACTTGAAACCCATTGTGTTCCAACTCTCTCTATTAACAGGCGATAACTCCCAAATTCCACTCCCTGCTCCAGATAAATCACAGTCTGATTCTGTCCTCCACTTGGCCTTTTTTGGAGAAGATTTAATAAAATTTTGGCAAGTATTGCATTGACATTATGAGTGTTTAGTCAGGGTCAGTTTTCCTTCCAATGTCTCTAGAAATAAATAAAGCTGTCTCCTACTCAACATCACTGAGAGATTTTAGACTACAAACCCATCGGCTTCCATAATTGGGTGTGTGTGGATTAGGGCAGGGGTCTGGCTGGGGAATTCTGGGAGTTGAAATCCTCCAGGCTTAAAGTTGCCAAGGTTGGAGACCCCTGCCTGGATCAGGGGACAAAGGGAGTTGTAATCGATCTGTTTATCAGATGTTGGCAAACGGAAACAGGTGTTTCAGATTTGAAATGTTTGCAAAGTTTTCTTAGAAAGTCTTTATTTAAAAAAATATTTTACAGAATAAACTATTTTTTTAAATTTTAATTATTCCACCCTAATTAAGGAATGACAGTTGCTTTAATCAAAATAATTTGGAAGCTTGGACAGTCTAACACAAAGAGTCAGCCTTCAATATAACTACTTTTTTATGATAAAGTTTCTGGCATTATTTTTTTCCACAAAAGATTTAATGTCTATTTTATTTAGAAAATAAAAATGAGAGGGTGCTGCAGGCAAACATGCCCATCAGTTCATCAAAAGGCAGCAACTGAGAGACTGAGAGGGAAAGTGATGGACAAAACCCTCACTAGTTCTATCTTAAGGACAACTATTATTACATCAAAGCAGGGGTGGGTTCTAATTTTTTTACTACCGGTTCTGTGGGCGTGGCTTATTTTGTGGACGTGACTTGATGGCCATGTGACAATTCTTTAGCATTTAGCAGAGGTACTGGTCTACCTCTCCTTTTAACTGCTTGCAGAGCTGTACCGGTCTACTCATTTGTTTTTGGAGGCACCGGTCTACCACCACTGCCTTTTAACACTGATCAGCTGTAGGGCGGCCCTTTGAACTGGTGACATCATATCGTCACCACTACCGGCTCGGGAGAACCGGGCCAAACCGGGAGGAACCCACCACTGGTTGGTTGCCAAGGGCCCAAATTTTTATCACATGACTTTGGGGATGCTGTGACAGTCATAAATGCAAAGACCAGTCATAATTCATTATTCTCAGTACCATTGTAACTTTGAATAGTTTCTAAACAAATATCAATAGCATTTAGACTTATATACCACTTCATAGTGCTTTACAGCCCTTTCTAAGCAGTTTACAGAGTCAGCATATTGCCCCCAACAATCTGGACCTCATTTTACCGACCTCGGAAGGATGGAAGGCTGAGTCAACCTTGAGCTGCTGAAAATCGAACTCCTGCCAGTGGGCAGAGTTAACCTGCAGGACTGCATTTTAACCACTGCGCCACCACAGCTCAAATGGTTGTAAGAGAGGCTTTCTCTGGGAAAAAGGCTAACACTTGAGGACTCACCAACAAGGGAAGCCAACAGACACTTGCAATAACCATGATCATCAAAAGCTGGACCATCATCTCCACCTCGCTGTCTCTCCGGCGTTGCACGGACTCAGAGTCATGATAGACTCGGCAAAGGGTCACAACGCTGACTGTATTGAAGAGGAAGGAAAGACCCACAGAGAGGAGGCCCAACAGGGCAAACAGGAAGCAGAAAACAACATTTCGGGCATCGTGGACCAAAGTGAGAAAACACCAGGAGTTGGGGTACTGCAGGCTATAGTGCCCCAGGCCAAAGAAGGGTAAGAGACCAAAAAAGAAACCCAAGGCCCACACCACACCCACCAAGGTCCAGGCCCTCCGTTTGGAAATACCAGCAGACCGGGAAAAGGGTCGGTTGATACCCACAAAACGCTCTCCAGCCATGGTGGCACCTAACAAGAGAGGACATTGCCCGAAAAAGACCATGACGAAGCCCATGAAGTTGCAGAGGTGGCAACCAGGATCTACATCCGTCCAGTCAAAGCGGAGGAAGTGGTAAGGAATCACGATGACAAAAGTGAGCAGAAGGCCCATGAAGTCCGTCACCACCAAGCCACAGAGGAAGACTAAGAAGGAGGAACCAGATGGGCTCTGCATCTTCCTGGAGGAATTAACCAAAGCGCACAAGGCAAAGAGGTTGGAGAAGAGGCCGATCAGGCCAAATGTTGTGGCGAACCAAGGAGATGCGAGGTGTTCCTTGTATTCCTCGCTGACATTCACTCCCCTGAAGCAGGATCCAAGATGTCTAGCAGCGCTGGAGTTTTCCGACTCCATAGTTGGGAAGTGGGAGATCACCGCTGTCATTTTTCCAATAGGGAACAACAACGACTACATTCAGCACAGTCCCATGATGTTGCACCAAGACAGGTCTTCTCCTGAAGGTGTGACAGTGCCCCACCAAAGTTTTCTCCCTTCCATTTTGTGGATAGCAAGGAACCTGCTGTGTTCACTTGAGAGGAAGATAAGGAAAAAGAGGAGGATCAGTCAGCATTTCATGCTTAAAAAATCCAAACAAGATTCCCCAATGCCACACACCCAAACCCTGAGATGCAAAAGACTTGACATTTTTGATCTTTGTAAATGATGACACAAAGCACGCATTCTGAAATATTTTGCACCATTTATTCTAATTATGCTATCTACAGCATGTTGTGACCTAGGCCCAAGTAGTTATTACCAGATACAATCAGTCCTAAACAAACATATTTTATTAGAACAGCTGAGAATTACTTCATTCTCAGCTTAGTCCAAATTAAGTCCAAAACAAATCCTTCATAAACAGTCCTTTGGCCTTATGACAAACCAGCCTTATCACAAACACCCCCCAGTGCCCCATTTTGGGCCTAGTAGGCCTCCCTGCAGCCTCCTGGGAGCAAAAACGGGCCACAGGCGGGGGGGCGCAGCATACGTCCCCCACAGCATCCCACCCCAGATCCCGGACCTGCGCACGTTTCGCCGTGCTCTCAAAACTTTTCTATTTCAGCAAGCTGGCCTGGCCTAACTCCCATCTTTTAAATTTTTAAATTTTTTAATTCGTGATTTTACAAATTGGGTGTTTTAATCTGTGTTTCGGCCGAAATATTTAATAATTTTAAGGGATTTTTTAATATTTGTATTATCTGTATTTTATCTTGGCTGTTCACCGCCCTGAGTCCTTCGGGAGTAGGGCGGTATAGAAATTTGATTAATAAATAAATAAATAATAAATAAATAAATTTTGGGTGTAGTAGGCCTCCATGCACTTATAACCCATAATGCAATGTGAGGGTGACCCCCCCGTGCGCCCTGCCCACTGTACATCCACACATGTGCACGCAACCCCCCGCCCTCCCCCCTCCCCCTGTGCATGTGCACACATCTTCCGCATGCGCCCCGCCCCCCACGCATTTGCAGCAGGGACCCAAAAATAAGCTGGCTGGCAGGAGGCGCACACGCACACGCATGCGCGGTAGAGCTGAGCTGGGGTGATGGCTCACATTGTCCGCAGAGAGGGCTCTGTATGCCACCTGTGGCACGTGTGCCATAGGTTCACCATCACGGGGCTAGGGGATTCTGGGAGTCGAAGTCCACATAACTTAAAGTTGCCAAGGTTGAGAAACACTGCTTGGGAATGACCCACTAGTCAGCTTCATTGGATATTTCCATTGGTCTCTATTACTTCATGTCCTATATGCTTAGATAATCTATACATATAGAATTTCTATAGCATCCCTCCATTAACAACATTGGTAGAGACAACTATAATGCTGCATTGCTTGGGGAGAAAAAAAACCCAATATTTACGCAAGAGTGATGTTCAGCATCCTTGACTTCAGCTGGGCTACATCAGTCAAACATTAGGAGAAAATTTGGCCAGGACAATAATCCTCCTTCTGTTCTTTGTTTAAAGATCTTTTAAAAAGGTAATTCTTTCCAGCTTCTCTCATCAATCATCCCACAGAGATTGAGATGGGTGGTTTGATTTATTTAAACTCTTCTCTATCCTATTCTTTTTCTCTCTTACGATTCAAGAAGGCTTGGCCCTCTCAAGTCCCGCTGTGCTGAGTCATCCTGCCAGGGGTGAAGGGATCAGCAAAGAACATTGAAAATGTCCACCAAGAGCAATTGAGCTCAGAACTATGGTCATAAATTGTTGCAATCATAAGTCTAGGCACCCATGTGACCGGAAGTAATTTTCCACTTTTTTTTCATGGTAGTCATTCAGCAAACATCATTGGGTGGCCTGATGACTCAACAGTTAAGAAGCTGGATGTGTTGGCTGAAAAGCCGAAAGCCCAGGTTTGAGATCCATTCATCGCATGATGGAGTGAGCACCGGTCTTCACCTAGCTCCTGCCCACCTAGCAGTTCAAAAGCATGCAAATGCAAATAGGTAAATAGGTACCACTTCAGTGGGGAGGAAGCAGCACTCCACAAGGTCATGATGGCCACATGACTGCAGAAATGTCTTCACACGGCACTGACTCACCACCTTGAAATGAAGATGAGCACACACCCCCATAGCCAGCAATGACTAGCAGTCTGTGGAGATTCTCAGTCATCCAGATCATGGTTATCCCAAAGATGCCCAGAACTGAAGAAGCTTCTTGGATGAGAAGCGAAAATGTCTTCAAAGAAAAACCTTAAAGCCCCCGTTACCTCTTGAAAAAAGCACCTTTGGGACAATGACTAGCAGAGTAAAATCCGCAGGGACTCCTTTCCTTTAAACAACCACCATGATTAATAAGCAAACACCACTGTCATAAAGTGAACCCATTTGCTTTTTGCAGAATGCTGCAACCAGTAGCAAAGCTGACCTGCCCAAAATTGGTCACATGACTGGCAGTGTATGTGTGTGTCTGTGCACAGCCAATTACAACAGCCAGGGATGCTTTACAAACCATAAAGCACCCATTTGGTGGCTATCATAATTTAAGCCACTTGTAAAGTGATCGGTCATTAAGCGAGGACTACCTGTATTCCCAGCAGAATCACCAATGCAGGGGTGAAATGTAAAATTTGTTACTACCAATTCTGTGGGCATGGCTTGGTGGGGGGGGGGTAATGTGACTGGGTGGGCGTGGCCAACTTTTTTTTAAAAAAACTTTTCAAAGCATTTTTTCTAATGCTTTGAAAAGCCTCTGCCGATCAGGCAACTCAGCTGGGATCGTCAGAGACTTTTCAAAGCATTATTTTTACCACCTCTCCAAACAAGAGGTTGCAGAAAAAAATGCTTTGAAAAGCCTCTGACGATCCCAGCTGAGCCACGCAATCATCAGAGGCTTTTTTTTTTACTTTTAAAAGCATTTTTTCGTCAGAAGAGGTTGTAGAAAAAATGCTTTTAAAAGTTAAAAAAAAAAGCCTCTGATGATTGTGTGGCTCAGCTGGGCAATTTGGGGGGGGGGGTTGCTACCGGTTCTCTGAACCACCTGCCTTTATCGCTACTGGATCGGGCGATCCGATCCGAACTGGGAGCATTTCACCCCTGGACTGACAGTATAATGCTGGATGATGGGCCTCGTGGACTAGATTCCACGAGGCCCATCATCCCAAGTGTGAGATCTTTTGTAGTATAAATAGTCCTCAGCTTACACCCATTCTGAGTCTTCTTCTCCTGAGTCTCCGGAGAAGGGCGGCATATAAATCAAATTTAAAAAAAAAAAATCATTTAGTGGCATTTCAAAGTTACAATGGCACTGGACTCATGATCATTTTTCACACTTAATAACCATTGCAGCATCTCCATGATCACGTGATCAAAATTCAGTTGCTTGGCAACTGATTCATATTTATGACAGTTGCAGTGTTCCTGGGTCATGTGCTCCCCGTTTGTGACCTTTAGACAAGCAAAGTTAATGGGGGAGCCAGATTCACTTAACAACAGTGTTGCTAACTTAACAACTGCAGCGATCCACTTAACAACTGTGGCAAGAAAAGTTGTAAAACGAGGCAGAACTCACTTAAAACAACTGTCTTGCTTAGCAATGAGAATTTTGGTCTCTGTTGTGGTGGTAAGTCGAGACTAGCTGTACTAATGGTTTTTTTTGATGCAACTAGATCAAAGCCCTTGGGATATTAGTTCCTGAGCTTGCCATATAGGGGAAAAAAAATCTAAAGACGCAAAGATAAAATTATAATATGAACATGGAACATAAGAAACTTAGCATAACTTCTGCAGGAATTGGGTATGTCTACTTTAATGAAAAGAAGAACTAGGGGTGACATGATAGCAATGCTCCGATATTAAGAAGAGGGAGTCAACCTATTCTCCAAAGCACCTGAAGGCAAAACAAGAAGCAATGGATGGAAACTAACCAAGGAGAAAACTAACCTAGAACTAAGAAGAAATTATCTGACAGTTTTAGAACAATTAATCTGTGCAACAGCTTGCCTCCAGAAGTTGTGGGTGCTTCAACACTGGAAATTTTAAGGAAGAGATTGGATACCTGTGAAATGGTTATAGGGTTTCCTGCCTAAGCAGGGAGTTGGACTAGAAGACCTCCAAAGTCCCTTCCAACTCTGTTATTCTGTTATTATTCTGAAAGGTAGATAAACTATATACTGAGACGTTACCCTTGGCATCAGCAAATTGAAATGATTTGGAGCTGCAGGAAGTCCTTGCGTTATTTAGCCTGGCAATTATTGATACAGTTGTGCCGGCCATAAAGCGAATCACCCTGTGGACTGGACCTTATTTTATGACCTTTATATGACAGTCTTTAAGCAAACTCCATGGCTGTATAAACAGTTTCTGGTTTCTGGCAAAACTGTCATAATTCACGGTCATTAAACCGTGGGATGCTTCAAATGGCTACGTATGCTGGCTGGTTGCCAAGCAGCCAAAATATAGTCACATGACCACCTGGGCGGGCAACATTGGAATTTCAAAATCAGGTTGTAATTAGCTTTTGGGGAGGGGTCCATTGTAACTTCAGAAGGTCGCTAACTGGTTGGTTGAAAGCAGTGGTGAAATCCAAATTTTTTTACTACCAGTTCTGTGGGCGGTGGCTTGGTGGGTGTGGCAGGGGAAGGATACTGCAAAATCTCCATTCCCACCCCTCTCCAGGGGAAGGATACTGCAAAATCTCCATTCCCACCCCACTCCAGAGAAGGAAACTACAAAATCTCCATTCTCACCCCACTCTGGGGCCAGCCAAAGGTGGTATTTGCCGGTTCTCTGAACTATTCAAAATTTCTGCTACCGGTTCTCCAGAACCTGTCAGAACCTGCTGGATTTCACCCCTGGTTGAAAGTCAAGGACTATCTGCAGATACTTTCAGTTAGATCATGCTATTTGCTATTGAAAACCTACACACACAAAAAGAAATGGCACTGAAGGGATATAGTCAAGATAGAACTTGGGGTCAATGACTAAATAATATAAATTAGACTTAGTGGGCATTCCTTTACCTTCCCAGATTAAAATATTCTTTATTCTTAATATTAAAAGATATCAAATAGAATATTTGCC